AACTGCTCCCACTGCTGACGCAATGTCAGGTCTAGTGCAAGTAGCTAGGTAGATTAATGCACCTACAGCACTGTTGTATGGAACATTAGCCATTTTCTCGTTATCTTCATTATTTTTAGTCAATTTTTGGGACAGATCACTTGGAGTAGAGACAATGTTACAGTCAACCATTTGATATCGCTCCAAAATGACATCAATGTACTGTTTTTGGGAAATGAATATTGATGAATTGTCTAGATTGAACAAAAAATCAATTCCTAAGAATGATTTCAGCAAGCCCAAATCTTTCATTTCAAATTGAGCTTTGAGTAAATCTTTGATTATTTTGATTATTTCAATATTTTGTCCAGCAATCAACAAATCATCAACATAAACCAGAATGTAAACTCTTTTCTTTGCCTCACCTCTCCAATAAAAACAGTTGTCAGACTTAGTTTGAGTAAAGCCAAGTTTAACCAAACAATTATTCAGTAATATGTTCCAATTTCGTCCTGACTGTTTCAACCCATAGATGCTTTTGTTCAATTTACAAACTGAGTTTTCATCTTCAATAAAACCTTCTGGTTGGTACATGTAAATATCTTCATCTAATTTACCATTCAAATACGCTGTTTTTACATCCATCTGATGTATAATCATTTTGAACTTGACGCATAATGATAATAACGATCGCAATGTTGGGAACTTGGCAACAGGGGCAAATGTTTCTGAAAAATCTTCACCTTTCACTTGTGTGAAACCTTTTGCCACCAAACGTGCTTTGTAAACGATTTCTGATTTGTCACTTCGTTTAACCTTAAAAACCCATTTATTTCTAATAATATTTCTATTATCAGGTCTTTTTACCAATGTCCAAGTATTTGCTTTCATTAATGAATGATATTCATTGTTAATTGCATTAAGCCATTGTTTAGCTTCATTGCTATTAACAGCTTCTTGATAGCTACTTGGTTCAGCAGTTATCATAAGAGCTTCATTTCGATGCGACCTATTTTTATCATTTTTTGGTTGATATAACTCATCTTGATCAATAAGTAAATCATCATTCGCTGTTGTTTCTGTTCTCATATTTTTGACTACTTCATCTTCATCAAACTTAACATCCCTGGCAAAAATTACATCCAAAGTATTAGGATCAATCAATCGCTAAGCTTTTTTGTTAATACAGTAACCAGTAAAAATCGCTTCAATTACTTTACTATCGATTTTTGAACGTTTTTCCTGTGGTAATAAAGCAAATGATTTTGATCCAAATACTCTTAAATGGTTCAAGTTTGGTTTGTGCCCTTTCCATCGTAAAAAAGGTGTATCAAAATTTATAACCTTCGATGGACAGCGATTTCTCAAATAACTAGCTGTTACAATTGCTTCAGCCCAATAAGATAAGTTTAAATTTGCTTGATGAAGCATAGAGCAAGCCATTTCACGGAGCGTTCTATTCATACGCTCGGCAACACCATTCTGTTGATGTATATAAGGTAAAGATGTTTCATGTTTAATACCCTTTTCTTTGAACAATTTTTCAAAATCAGTGGTCAAATATTCCTTAGCATTATCTGATCGAAAACATTTAATATTTTTTCCATGTAAATTAGTGACCGAAGCTTCATACTCAATGAACTTTTCGAAAGCTTGACTTCTCTCTTTGATTGGTGATACAAATACCCAATTTGACCAATCGTCTATGAATGTAATGAAATATTTCATTCCACTGAAAGATGGGGTTCTGATGGGTCCGCAAATATCAGAGTGTATCAAATCAAGTACAGCTTCAGTTGCCACTCCAGTTCTCGATTTGAAGGGTTGTCTTGTCATTTTACCTTTGATACAGCCATTACAGATTTTACTTGTTTCTCCAGTCAATTTAATATCATTGACAATACCTTCATTTATCAATTTTTTCAAATTTGAATGATTAACATGACCAAGTCTTTGATGCCAAAGGTTAATATCAGTTGACCGAATGTTATCATTGCTCGCCAATACCATTTCACTCTTGTAAATTACTTTACAATTGAGGATATACAAGTTACCAATTTTATTTGCAGTTGCAAACAATTTATCTTCATCGTCATAAACGAAACATTTATCCTTTTTCATTGAAAAAGATGCGCCATTTGAAGTTGCTTGACCAACCGAGAACAAATTTTGAGTCATCTTAGGTACATGATAGACGTTTGTTAATTTGTAATAATTTGTTTCTCCATTTACCTTAGAAGTCATTTTGATTGTACCTTTACCTTCAATTTTCAATGCTGTTCCATCAGCTTGATACACATATTCATCATCAATTTCAATGTAATCCATAAAGAAATTGACATTACCAGTCATGTGTCTCGTAGCCCCAATTTCCATTCAAGTGTATCATTGCCATCATTAACTGTGAATGCTTTCTCCTTCTGCTTCACATCAGTATTGAATGTTTTCACATTTGTTGCTCCTTTACAATCTCGAGCAAAGTGACCAAGATTACCACATTTGAAACATTTAAGATGGTTCTTGTTCTTCTTCTTCTTATTTAGCTTCGTTTTATTCGAGAAATTGTTTTCAATAGCTAAAGCTTTAACACCTCGCTCAATAGATTGATTACCAGAATTTTGAAGCTTCATTTCATGATGTAAAATCTTAGAAATCAATTTTTGTAATGTAATTTCCTCGATAAGAATTTCAATAGAATTGACAAAATTACTGAACTTTACTGGTAATTTGTTCAAAAGGACAGTAACCTTTTCTGATTCACTTATTTTTTCATCCAACATTTCAAGTTGACACCAAATATCTTGTAAATGTGCAATTGAATTGATAATCGGTTCATCAGTATTGAATTTATAATGCGACAATTTGTCCTTCAAATGACAGATGTGAGCCAAACCTTCAGGTTGAAAGGTTTTACACAAAATATTCCAAACCTCAAAGGCGGTTGAAGCATTCTGAACTAATGAACAATATCTCGGTGAAATTGAACAATTCAATAATCCAAGAGCTCTATCGTTAGACCTCTTTTCTTGTCTAGTTTGAAGTAAACTCTCATTAACAACAATATCCCAGAGTCCTTCTTTCCTCAACCAGTTCATCATTCTGAACTTCCAAGATGGGAAATTTACACCATCAAAACGTTCAACCAGAACTGAGACATTGGAAATATTCATATCCGTGACTGAGCCCATAACCAGTTGGTTTAATTCAGGTCCGAGTAAATATGAATCAAGAACTTTATTGAATATATGTTAACACAAAGACGTATAAATTGTTACTTAAGGATAATTCATTAACTACGTACGATTATATTCATCTGGATTATTTAGCTAACAATGAATGTTACGACTAACAATGTAATCAACAATACATTATTTCAATTAAATTGAGCTTTTCAATGTAATTTTAACATTGAGTTTTGCAGAAAAATTGAAATTTTCTGTGTTCAAATTTTATTAATTGCTTAATTAGTTTATTTGAAGCCTCGAAATTTTGAAAAAATATGCAATAGACTATCAGCTATCTGATACAGTTGATTTTTTCTGAATTGCAATTAAAGAAATTATTCTTATTATGATTTAATCCGATCACAATGAAATCAGTAAAAAGTTGATCAATTTAAATTGTTAATTCATAATTTATTGAAATGCTGATCATTTTGAAAATTATACCGGATTGAAGCTTGCAAAATTCTCTATCATTAGTGAAAAAATATCCACAAAAACTGAATTTTTCGCCTAAAAATCATCGACTGTACTCGAGCTTTGAAAAAAACGAACGAACTTTCTTGGATATCTAATATTTTTCATATTCTTATACTTTTTGATATGTTAAACTCAAATCTGAAGTCAATTTTCTGATTTGCGCAGCCGATATTTTGATAATTGTGCTTCACTTAAAGTCTTACAATGTTTTACAATATCTTTTCATTGCATACATTTAGATACCGGGGATTCAGGGTCTTTTTCAAAATTCATGATTTTTGGTAGGGCGCATAATTGACCATGATTTTGAAAAAGACCCTGAATGACTTTGAACTTTTTATATAATACTGTCCGGTCAAATATAAGCTCAGAGGTTAAAGTCCTATGTCAATATGTCAACTGATTGAAAAGTTATCAGGTATCGACCAGAAAGAGGTCACTCTTAGAAACAGACAAAATAAAAGTCATATCGAAAAAACCCGCTGTATATTTTTTGTTCATGCTGAAAGAATAACGTTGAACTAATCTAAATCAATTTTAAACATGATCTGGCCATCTGACACTCATTCGAAGTTAAACGACCTAATAGCGATAAAACGTAGCCAAGACATTGAAAAGGTTTTTCCGAGGCACTCTAACTTGATTACTTCACGAGAAATCGCCCTAAATTGTTTCATCTTTGAAGCGCGATCGCGGCCGAACGCGTCACTCTAGAGAACTTTTGACAAAAGTTAACAGTGTTTTTTAACCCTCCTTTCATAAAATCAAATTCATTTCGAAATCTATTAAGGTCGGTTTTTGGTGACAGATACCCCTTTATGATAAATTTCGTCGATATCTTGAAGATGCCATTTTGTACTCATTTAACACTAAACAGAAATATCAAAGTGGAATTGTTAAATCTATCGAGGATTACTCCATTATCATTGTCAATGCTGTTCTTCCTCTGTTTAAAGCTTTTTGGCCTCAGTTAATGGGATGTGGTGTCATTAAATTATGTTCAAGCTTTCTTACCTTTGGTAATCCTCTTTTTTTTGGATCAGCTGATTGCTTTTGTAGCCAGTGGTGATCCGAAGCGGCGGGGTTATGTTATTGCGTTAGGAATGGCTATTTGTGCACTTCTTGAATCTATGTTAAATGGGCAGTACGAGTTCTGGATTAATGTTACTTCAATGAGAATGCGAGCTGCTCTCATTGCTAGTATTTATCGAAAAAATAGTTTACCAAGTTTCTAATATTTGGATAACTTATATTATTTTATAATTTAATATTTCCTTTTTTTCAGAGTTTAAAATTATCTAGTGCAGGAAGGAAAGATTTTACTGCTGGTGAGATCGTCAATATAATGGCTGTTGATACTCAAAGAGTTGTTGATTACATTATGAGGAATAAGCACTAATTAAAAGAAATTAAACACATAAACATACACACTTTTTCTTATAACAAAACACATGTTTTTCTACTTTTCTGCCATCTAGTTTTTATAATCAAAACTTAATGTAAACTCAATACAAACCTACCTGTTTTGATACAGGTGACTCAACCAAACAATGTTAACGTGAAATAATGTCCTAAAAACCTAATGCATCATAACTATGTATTTTTAATGCTAACTAATTTACATATTGACCTTACTTTTACATAACAAACTTTGACCTACAACCCTTTTGTCTCAATAGGGACATATATAAGGACCTATGGTCAACCATATTTTTGTCAATTGTCTTTACTAATAAAGTCACTTTTAAGTTACTCCCTCTGGTGTTTTCTTTTTAAACCATTCAGCTTCATTTGAAAAAGTGAGTTAATGGTTTCCCTTCTTTATTCTTCCTCCCCTTTTGACTGTTGACCCCTCTTGACCGTCACAATTGGCGCAGTCGACAGGATTGAACGCCCTCTATCGTTCAAAATCATTACTAATCCTGTTTTTTCTCTTTGTCTCTATTCTACAGTGGAATTCTTGGAACTCGAGCCCAGTTTCGACCCCTCATTGTTGGAACCCCCTTCAACCCCTGGTCATTGGTTTGGTGGCTCCCTCTCGGAGGAAGAAGAAGAAGTACCTCCCTCTCCAGCTGTTAAATCACCTCGTGGTCCAATTATACTCACTGGTGGTGGCCTTAAGTTCAACTTCAACCCTCCTAAAGCCATTCCAGTCGCTCCTGTTGGTCCAACTCCATCTCCAAGTATTGTAACTGGTCCAATTCGTCCATCTGGTCCTCGTGATAATTCTATTCGCCCTCTTGGTGGTGTCTTACCAGCTTCAACCACAACTTCGGTAACTCCTGCGGTACCTCTGACTAAGAGCCAGAAAAAGCGACTCTGTTACAAGCGCAACTTAAAACAGAAACGCTTAGAATCAGAATCTTCTGGTACAATCTCGTTGGCCGTTGAGCATAACGTTCTTAAAGAGAAACGAAAGGTTGAAAAGCGAGCTATCAAGGCTTTTCATACTGGAATCAAGGAAGCAGCCAAAGCAACCGAGAGTGAAAACGTGGTCCCTGCATCATTCTTCCATTCAAGTGAAAATCATCAATACTTCAAAGATAACCTTCCAAGTCGTATACTATCAAGAGAATCTCTTTCTATCGCTGAGAATCGAGCTAATCGTGCCCTTAAATTCAATTCTATTGTATCAGACTTTGCTCCCAATCCCCAACCAACTGTAAATAATCCTAGTGATTATCTCCATCATCTTGTATTTCACAAATAAACATGGCTAACAAGAAAAACCGTAATTCCGCCGCTGTTTCTTCAGCCACACCAGACTTCAACACTTCTAATATAAGCCAACCAGTCTTCACCCAACTTAAACTAGACAAGTTCTCTGGTAATAAAGAAGAGATTCGTGTTCAAACATGGATCAAGCTGTATGAGCAACATGTAGACTCTGAACATGACACCGAACTCATCAAGCAGCTCATGTATTATCTCAAGGACTCTGCTCTCGAATGGTATGGTGACGAGATTGTTGGTAGCAATATTCGTGATTGGGAAACAGTAAAAGAACAATTGATCGACCGTTTTGGTTGCGAAAACCAACACCCGTTAGTCGCTGCCCAGCGTATAATTCTAAGCAGAGATGAGGATGTAGAGAAGTATTACCGACGCAAAATAAGACTTCTACGTCAAACATCCCTCTCTGAACTAGAAATTATACAACAGCTTACCGAAGGCTTGCCCTTCTCTTGGAGGTTAACAATGACTTCTGCCCGTCCTCGTACTACTTCCGCCTGGATCCAGATAGCAATGGAAACAGAGACACACTACAAAGCAAATGAAAGACGTAAACAAGCCTTACTGAAGAAAAGGCCAGCTAAAACATTAGTCGCAGCTCCTCCACACAACAACAGCCGTTCAAATCGCCCGTCAAGCAATGGTAAACCTCCTCAATGTCGTATTTGCCAAAGACTTGGTAAAACTGAACATCATTGGCATCGTGAATGTCCTAACAGACAATCTTTTAGTGGATCTCAACAAACTTGCAATGCTGAGGAAGGTAATCAATCTGATGAATCATCTGCAACTGCCTGCTTCGCTAAGAACATTTCACCGATTGTGAAATTCTTAGACGTTCCTCTAGCCATCCAGGGAAAACAGATGGAAGCCTTCATTGATACTGGTAGTACTATTAGTATCATGAGCCTGAAAACAAGTCAAAAACTCAAACTGCCACTGAATAGTAATGACAAGATTGTAATCAACCAAGTTGAAGGTGCAACTAAAAGCATTGGTTCCGTTGTCGCTCAAACTACTATACACCGTACTACTAAACCAGTCAAATATTATGTTCTCTCTAACTTCAGATACCCAATCCTCAAGGCTGAGTGAATCTTCTGTAACCTGATTTAAGAATTTCAATTCTTTATTGTGTTGTATGAAAATGACTTCCTTTCAAATCGATGAATTTTCTAATTTTTAGGTCGCCTTTGCAAGTTTCTGTACTTTTGTGTTGATCGACTCCTCCAATATTCTAGATGCAAATAAAGCCTTCGTTTCACTTTCTTTATTCAATATACTCCGAATACCTCTTGCACTTCTTCCTATGGTCGTTTCTTATGGGGCGAATGTAAGCATTTTCATTGTTTTTGTTATATCAGTTTTACTCTAATTTTTTCTCGTCTCTTTCAGTTTATTATTTCAATAAAACGTATCAATAAATATCTTCAAGGAGATGAGATAGACCCAGAAACTATTCAACATGAGCCGAATCCGCATACTCCAGTTGTTTTAAGAAATGGAACTTTTAGTTGGTCCAAAAATGATTCTTCTGTTCTCAATGGTATTACGCTCGATATCAAAGATAAAAGTTTAGTTGCTATTGTGGGTCAAGTTGGAAGTGGAAAATCATCCTTACTGTCAGCTCTTCTCGGTGATCTTTACAAAACCGAGGGATATGTGAATGTTTATGGGAAGATTGCTTATGTCCCTCAATCAGCTTGGATCCAAAATGCTACTGTTAGACAGAACATCACATTTTCACAGCCATATATTGAAGAGAAATACAATAAAGTATTGGAAGCATGTGCTCTAACACAGGATCTGAAAATATTAACTGGTGGAGATTTAACAGAAATCGGTGAAAAGGGCATTAATTTAAGTGGCGGTCAAAAACAACGAGTCAGTCTTGCTAGAGCAGTTTACGCAAACTCTGACATTTATTTCCTCGATGATCCTTTGAGTGCAGTTGATGCTCATGTTTCCCGTCACCTTTTTGATAAAGTCATTGGTCCAACTGGAATGCTAAAAAAGAAGACCAGAATTTTAGTTACCCACAGAGTTACTTTTCTACCTCAAGTTGATGAAATTATTGTACTTAAAGATGGTCAAATTACTGAACAAGGAACATATCATGAATTATTAGCTAAAAACGGTGAATTTGCTCAATTTTTACTACAATTTGTGAGTGAGCAACATGAAGAACTTGCAGAAGAAGACAAAGAAATAATCGAACAGTTAAAAGAAAAAATGGGTCCTGAGTTTGAAAAAAGAGGATCTATTGTTAGATCAGAAACTCTTTCCAATAGCTCAGATGGAATTCGTAGACGAACCATGTCCAATGCCTCACGTCCATCAACCAAAAAAGGTAACACTAGTCGAAGTATGTCACAGTTACGAGAAGAGCCTGAATCGACCAAAGGAAATGGTGAAAAGTTCAAATTAGTTGAAACTGAAGTCGCTCAGACAGGAAAAGTAAAATGGGGAGTTTATTGGGAGTTTTTTAAAGCTTGTGGCCTGGTTTCATGCTTGCTTGTAATTTTAGCTTTCTGTTTATCAAGTACTTTTAACTTACTATCGAGTCTTTGGTTGACTGAATGGAGTAATGACTCTCTTAATCCAGCGGCTGCTAATGATACAACTCTCAGAAACATTAGGCTTGGTGTTTATTTTGGTCTTGGACTATCGGAGACAACATTTACATTAACCAATAGTATTATACTGAACTTCGCTATTCTCAAAGGCGCTAGACTTATCCACGAAAAGATGCTTCACCGAATGTTTAGAGCAACAATGTCATTTTATGATACAACTCACGGTTATACCTCAAGACCCTGTTCTATTTTCTGGAAGCTTCAGACCTAATTTCGATCCATTCAGAAATTTGGAAATCTTTAGAACTTTCTCGTTTGAAAGGTGTGCATTGAGTCAGGATGGGTTATGAATGAAGGTTTCAGAGCGTATTTCAACTGTTCATAATTGTTTATTAAATTACTGGTTTTAATGATAACTATAAATAGTTGATTGTCTAAGCAGAGGTTACAACTTCGATTTCATCATCATCTTCAACTGGCTTTGGAGCTGGCTTTGGGCCTGGCTTGTGGAATTGGTTGAAGAATTTTCCAGCTTGGTCTTGAATCTTTTCGTTGATTTCTGAGGAAAAGAAAAAGAATTTAATTTAGACACTTTCACATAATAAACAAAAACTATGATTTCAAATTTACCTCCAAAGAAATCAAAGATGTCTCGCTTTACAATGCTAGATTCAGTTGAATCTTCATCTTCATCATCGTGGTGCTCTGATGAGTAAATTAAAATGTTAAGACTGATTCGAGAAACAAATTTGCATGCAATAAAACACTTACTGAAGATATCTTCGAAAGTCTTTTGGAGTTGAGCGAAAACCTTAGCGGCTTCGTCTTGGGCCTTTTCATTGATTCCTGTGATAAACAATTAATAATTTGTTTTATTATAAAGAAATGATGGAAGAAGAGAATGACTTACTCCCGAAGAAATCGAAGATGTCTCGCTTTTCAATGATTCGTTCAGTGGTAACTTCACCGTCTTCAATTTCAATTTCAATTCCGTGACTTCCTGGGTGCTTCTCTGTTGATTTTAAAACATTTTTATGTCAATTTGTTTCAATTTCTATGAGAAAAAATACTCACTGAATAAGTCATCGAAAACTCGTTGAAGATCAGAGAAAGCCTTTTGAGCTTGAGCTTGAGCCAATTCATTCAATCCTAAAAGAGATTCAAAATTATGACAAAATAAATTATTAGAAACTGAATCAAATTATTATTTTTCTTATAATTTCTAATTACATTTGATGAGCTACTTACGTCCAAAATGTTCGAAGATATCTCGCTTTGAAATTGATCGTTCAGTTGAATCTTCAGAATCATCATTTCCATGATGTGGCTCTGTTAAATAAAAAAAAGATTGAGTTGAAATGAAGAAATCTTAACGAAAAAAAGCAATTCTTACTGAATGGGACGAAAATGCTTGCGAAAGCTCGTTGAAGACCATCGAAGACTTTTTGAGCTTGAGCTTGAGCTTGTGAGTTCATTCCTGAGATAAGAAGATAAGGTTATTATTTTTGATGATACAGAATTGAATGAAATTCTTACGTTCAAGGTGTTGGAAGATGTTTCGCTTGACAATGGTTCGTTCAGTTGTATCTTCAGCATCATCGTCAGAATCGAAGAATGGATTCTTCTCTGTTTAATCGAAAGAAAATGGTCATTAATTCTATCAAAATCAAGTAAATTGTGTAAATTACTTACTAAACAAATTGTCAATGACTCGTCGAATGTTGTTGAAAGCTTCTTGAGTTTTGGTTTGAGCAAATTTGTTGAACTCTAGATGGACAAGTGATTCTCATTAGACTCATTTGCTTACATTGGATGGAAGGTGAAACTTACGGTTGAATGACTCTCGAAGATCTCGCTTTTCAACGGTAACTTCAGCATCGCCATCTAAAGTGAGGTTAAAATATGGGCGTAAAAATTATCTTCACGATTATTGACACTTCCAATAAGATGATTCAATGTTACACACTAGAGTATGATTTCAACGATTGCTCGTTTCAATGTATTTTTTAAACCTTTAACCTGACTTACTTTCAACATTAAAGACAGGAGTTTTTCTGTATCTTCAACTAAATTGCTTTTATTACTTTCAAAGCCTCGAGTTGATTTATGGCTCGTTTGGTAACATTGATAACATCAAACAGATGGGAAGCTTAATTTGGATTAGCTTATATACTAATTGATCAAAATCTGTTGCTTTTAATGAAAATTTTTAGCAAAATATAAGTTCATGGATCAACTTACTGTTTTGGAATCGGTTCAATAAAGCTTCTCGGAGTTTGTCAAGGCTTGCCTTGAATTCAGCGGATTCTGTATTGGGTGAAGAGTAACGAGAAATTGTGAAGCTACAAATTTACATTGAAAAGTTAGTTAGACTTACGTTGCTTGAAGGTTTCTTCACTGATGAATCTTTTGTTCAATGAGCCAGCAGAAGCAACTGAAATAGATAAGAAATGATAAATGAGAACAATGAATATTTCCAAGTAGAGTCACAGATCGATGCTAATTTCAAGCTGATGAGACTCACCTCCGACAAGGCAAAGGGTCACGATGAGGGCGAAACGCATTTTGATCAAGTTTACAGTCAAAGGATCGTCCAACTACAATCTACAACTAGTTGATAATTCCAGAGAATGGCTCTTAGAACTGAAGTGATTCCCGTTTTATACCATTTTTTGGATAAAAAGCCAACTCGCCTGATTGACATATTTATCCTGTTGGAACAGAAGTTTAACACTCAAACTATTGAGATGTCTATCAAATCTAAATGCGTAATTCCAGCAATCCCTTGACTGTTTGAATCTGTTCTGTGAAATTAGCTAATTATGTCAATGACGAAAATGTTGGACTTGGAGTGCAGTGAAACTTGAAAAGAAGCCCGAAATTTTAAAAATTGATTTATAACTAGCCATTTATCCAATTTTTTTATAGACTTCCATAGCCAAGTTCAAGTAATTATTGGACTCAAGTAATAATAAATGCATAATAAATAATAAATAAATATGTATTTCTATTTGTTTAAACCATTTCCCCATGCTTCGATTTTCCGGCAAATCAGCTTAATTACCTTATATTTTTGCAAATTTGTTGATCTTTTTTTAATTTCAATAGATGAAGATTTAGCATATGCATATACTTTTTCACCTTTAACAAGATTAAAATTTGCAATTAATGTAATTCTTGCTGAGGTAATCAGCAGAACAATCAAATCAAATTTCCAGGTGATAATTGAAAGCAACCTTGACTTGACAGTGTCAATGATAAGTTTCGTTGATCTCATGATCTTTCAATCTTATGATGTGTTTTAGAAGTGGCATTGTGAAATAATTCAAATATGATTATTGAATTGTCCATTTATATTTTCAATCTAATTTAAATTGCTTCTGTAATGTATGACTTATGTAATGAATTTTCTTGATGGCTCATTCTGTTGATGAAAGTCAGCTTGCAATCCAAAACAGAGCTTGATATTGACGGTAATTTAAGGACATTTTTTAAGATTTTGTTGGAATCCAAGTAAACAAGTAAACAAAATAAGAATAATTTTGATAAAAATTCAAGTAATCTTATGATATTAATGTGAACAGAAAGCGAAAATAGCCATTTTGTGTGCCATAATCAACGTTTCTAGAATATAATAGCATCTATCATTTTGACTTCGTTGCAATAAAAATTAAGTGAAATGTGGCAAGGATAAAATCTGAAAGCTGCAACCAAAGATCCTGGTTACCCCATCTATTATGATTGAACAACCTTTTTCAACTCCAGAAAAGTAAGTTGGTATCGAGTTATCGATATTGAGTTTCGAAAAGATTTAGCATTTGCTTTAATTTAATATTAATATTTACACATTTTAGTACTCGAATTTCTCGAAAATAGAGATATACTTTAATCAAATGACAAATGTTTTTCCTTTTAAGTATGTTTATAACTTTATGTGATACAGCGAGAAGTCCTTGTTAGATCGCGTCAAGTTTGCATAGTCCTTGAATCAATTCCTTCCCGAAAAGCTTGGACAACTCGAATCTAAAGCAAAATTTAAAATGAAAAAACCATTAGAATATGTAAGAAATATAAAAAGAAAATAAACTAGTTTCACGGAAAAATTGAATTTTCGATAAACGCCATCTACTATACGTAAGATGCTTAATTATATTGGTAGTATAGTAGACGGTGCTTATCGAAGATTTACTAATGCATGAAACTAGTGTATTGCTTCAAGCAAAGGAAATCTTCACTATTCATCTCCGAAAGTTGAATTTTCATTATGTCCAGAGCAATATTCAGGTATTATGAGCCTTTTATTAATTTTTTACCTGTGCTCTTAGTCTCTGTAATCCACGGAACCAAAGGACTTGTCCTTGTTTCTTAGTAAACTGGCCTGGTCGATACTCAGTTGTTAAAACAGATTCAATTTCCTCCGATTCAGGAACAGATGAACCAACAGTGAATTTTTTGGGTAGAATATCTTTTGGAATTGAAATTAAAATTTGGTGCCAAATAATGGATGAAAATCCAATAAATATGGACCAACCCCATTGGTCTAAGGTTAATGGATGAACTTTGAATGCGATTCCAGTGAAATTGATGATTAAAATCTGCCATTTAAAGAAATAAAAAGTAAATTAGATTATTATTAAAAGATTTTAAAGAAAAATTAATGAAAATTTCGATTAAACAGCATTACCTGCATTACTAAAGTACCAATTAAAACTGAGATATAGATTTTGTTATCAAAAAGCTTGGCGAAAACATTGCGTTCATCATTTATTTTTCGCGCATTCAACTCGTTGAAGAGAGACATCATTACCAAACAGTTGAATATAATTGTGTAATGTTGACTTGGTTGTGCATTAAGAGGTAAATTCATTCCTGAATCAATATCAAAAAGCATCGGACCTGAAATTTGCGAAAAATTTATGTTAAATAGCGGTGATTTACAGGAGAATCATTTCATTACCATAGAATAATAAGATTAAAATCACAGCAGTTTGGTACAATGCATGGCCCAAAATGTTCCTTGCCATTCGCCTTGAAATAATTGGCTTATTTCGTCCATAAGGTTTACGTAATAAAAGTTGAGGTGTAGGTTGTTCAGTAGCAAGAGCGAGACCGGCAAAAGTGTCCATGGCAAGATTGACCCAAAGCATTTGAACAGCTTGTAATGGACTATCCTATTGTAATTGAAAGTCGATTAGTTTGAATCTCGATTAGAAGTAAGTTTTTCAGTATCTTTTACACTGATCTTACATTTACAGCACAAGCTCCAATGAAAGCAACTAAACATGCGACAATGTTGATTGTCAATTGAAATTGAATGAATTTAGCAATGTTATCATAAACATTTCTACCCCAACTAACTGCTTTGACGATTGATGAAAAATTGTCGTCGGTTAAAATAATATCTGATGCTTCTTTGGCTACTTCAGTTCCTGATATTCCCATGGCGAATCCAACATCAGCTTTTTTCAAGGCAGGACCATCATTGGTTCCATCACCTGTTACCGCTACTACTTGGCGTCTTGAGAAGAGTTTACTTTCAATTAAATGTTTAACCTGTAATAAAAATGTAAAAATTATCAGTATATTATCTTCTGGTTTATATTTAGATTTCAGCTTAATGCAACCTAAAGAAATAATTAGAATCAAATCTAATAAGTGCAAATATTGTACCCTTTAATTTGCCAATCATATATTTTGTGGAAATACTCAAGGTTAATCAAGAAGCCAATTAACAAACAACTGTTCATCAATCTAGCTGATGCAATCTCTACCCTAACCAGGCAAATATAAAAAAGTGTTTCAAAAATCTACAGATCACTGTAAGTTACAGTCTGTAACACAATTCAACTCACAATACTGGTACAGTATTTCCTTGAGTTTTTTGCCATTTTGGAGTGCTGACATCTATGTGAACTACAGGGGGAAACAATTAAATTAGCAGTTTAAACAATTATTCCACTCTAATGACTTCCCCCTGAAGGGGAAAGGGTTGAAAGGCTAAAGGGGAGTCACTAGATTTATTAATTGTTTAAACTGTAAATCTAATTTCCCCCTGTAGTGCACATAGATGTCAGCATTCCAAAAAGTCAAAAAACTCAAGGCAATACTGTACTTCAATTTTTATCCAGATCTTTACGATTTTTAGATACGGATTATATTTAGAACAGTTGAATTAAAGTTGAATTTTCACAATGAACCTGCTTAAACATAACCCGATTGTTGTACTTACCAAAATATATTTATCAGATGGAGATGATCGGGCTAAAACTCTCAATCTAGGCCAAACAGAGTCAAACAGACTTTGATCTACTTTCCCATACTCATCACGAATCAGCTTATTGAATTCTTTGCCTTCCAAAACTAAGAAATTTTCATGCGGAGATAAAATACCACATTTCAATGCAATTGAACGTGCTGTATTAACATTATCACCGGTAACCATTCGTACAATTATTCCTGCCTTTCTGCAATTTTTAATGGCTTCAGGAACTTCTGGTCTAACAGGATCTTCAAGTCCAACCAAACAGAGGATAGTCAATCCAGATATAATCATTTCTTCGTCATCCCAATCAGGTTCTTTGGTTATTTCAATTTCATTTTCTGATGCTGCAGAACCATAAACATAATCCTTATATGCTACAGTCATTGTTCGTAATCCGCTACAAGCCATAGGCTCAATAACATCAGTGATAAGGCGAGACTGTTCAAATTTTGTTAGCTGGATCACTTGCCCTTCAGAGTTGAAAATATATGAACATCTTTTCATTATGATTTCACTTGCCCCTTTGGTATGTACTCTGAAACCGCGATCAGTTTTGATAACAGTGCTCATTGATTTACGTTGAGAATTGAAGGTATAAACTTTGTACAAAGATTCTTCTGGTGTTTCACTACGAATTTGCTGATAGTCACGGCCCAGTTTCAAGATAAAATCAAGCAAACCACATTCAGTCTTGTTTCCAACATGACGAGGCAATGCACCTGGTTTTTCATCAGGCTAAAATGAAAATACATTAAATTAGCTAACTTTTTACATTCAAGATTGATAATCTAACCATAATCTGAGAAGTGTAACCAGTGTTGATTGAAATGCTTTCAACCACAAGATCACCAAGGTTTTTCGGTATTTCGTTTATTTTAGGTAAAACTTGCCAAAATTTACCGGCGATATAAGCATTAACAACTGTCATTCGGTTTGTGGTCAAAGTCCCTGTTTTGTCTGAACAAATCGTCGTTGCATTTCCCATTGTTTCACAGGCATCCAAGTGTCTTACAAGATTATTGTCGTACATCATCCTCTATAACAAAAATAAGAAATTTATTAGATGAAAAAAGGGCATCAAAATTACCACAATTTGGGAAATTTACTTTGACCGAATAAGCTAATGCTAAAGTAACCGCCAATGGTAATCCTTCCGGTACAGCAACAACTAGCACTGTGATTCCAACCATAATAAATTTCACAATGAATTGTAAATCCTTGGAAAAAGACCATTTAGCATGGCGAACTCCAAATTCATCAATGCAATATCTTACAATTAAAATCATTACAGTTACCAATGCTATTGCAGACCCTTTAATGAAAGATTAAACTGGATGCATTAATCGAACTATAGCTCGGCTAAATTTCCATATTACCTAAATAAGTAATTTGAATAGCTAATCGAGTTATCTTGGCTTGCAAGATTGATTTGGTCGATTTATTTCTCTTATCTTCAGACATTTGATTGTCATCGTCGTTATTTAAAGCGTTTTTGGCAAGGCTTCCATTTAACTCGGGCACTAAAATAAATAAAAGTTAATTAGTGATTGTCAGAACAACGTTCTCAGATTTTGTGCACTGGTAAGCAAAATTCAAAAATGATAAGGGTCTTTCTTGTGTACTCCGTTTCTTACTTTGTTTATCATCTTTTTGAACTTTTTTATTCCGAGTAGCACCAAGAAGATTCATAATGATTCCGTTTTGTGAATTGATACCAACCGCTGTAACAACCATTTTGCCACTTCCTTCCATAACATGTGTTCCAGACAAAAGGAATGGATCCGAATCGGGATTTTTCGTAACATGATCAGATTCACCAGTTATCGAGCTTTCGTCAATTTTAAGATCATTACTCTGTATCAAAATCCCATCAGCTGGGATAAGGTCTCCTGGAAAAGAGAAAAAAATGTCAATACAATTTGATGTAAAAAACGGTATTTCATGTGAACAAATATTTAGTATTTCAAATGAATTTATTATAGTTTTTAAAATATTTGTAGAGCCATGAGAAAATTCACATTAAGTTCATAAAATTAGAGAAAGGCTTAAATTCTCAATTTATCAAATAGATTCCAGTGGAGGTTTTCAAACACAGAACCAAGCTCTGTTTTTATTATGTTCAATATTATTCTCGGAATTTTCACAAAAGCGTTCTTGAATTTATTTTATCTCACCAATTAACCATAATATTGGATTGATAATTACTTGTCTGATTTCACCAACTAATGGAATGAAAGATTAAAAGAAACACCTTCCATTTGCGTTGAAAGTTACCAACTTGTTAACTTCTATTTAATTCCAGACAAGTCAATTCGATTCAATAAAATGTCTACATCTTCAACAAGTGTCAAAGGATTACGTGTTATAAGGCGACCAGGTATAACGTTGGATCATCTGCACCAGTCGAAGGAATGGGCTGACCTTGAAGTCCATTTAGGTTCAAAAGTATACCAAATTCATCGCAATATTGTTTGTACAGCAATACCGTATTTCAAAACCATGATGTCAACCAACTTAATTGAAACACAATCAAATGTTATAACAATTAATTATCCGCATATTGATTGTGATGCCTTCGAATGGCTATTGAACTGGTCCTATTCAATCAGTCAACAAATTTCTTTAAGCAACGCAAAATCATTGCTGGTGGCAAGTGATTATTTCCAAGTGAATAGTGTCTTCCAATTTTGCTGTGATTATCTCGATGGAGTGATTGCAGTTGATAATGTCTTGGATATAAAACAATGGATAGGTACATTTAACGTCGGCAATCTTCGTGATAAAGTCAATAAATTTATTGCTCAAAATTTCAATTCGATCGTTTTGACACCCTCGTTTGTTAATCAAACACTTGAACAAGTAACTGAAATAATAACTGATAACAATTTGAATGTTTCTAATGAGATTGATGTTTTCGAAGCAATAATTAGGTGGACTAAATACAAACATACAGAAAGAAATCTTTGTACACCTAAACTGTTGATCCATTTACGGTGGTGTCAGCTGAGTTATGATCAAATAATCAATCAAATAAGCAAACACGAAATCGTAACAAGCAATGAAGATTGTCGTCAGATAATTATTGATGTTTTATCGTGTTTAACATTTGAATCCAGTTACAATCAGCACTCCTCAACTTGGAAACAGCCAAGATGCCAGCTTATTAAATCCGATACAGAATCAACCGATCTGATTGTGGCCTGTTTAGCATCACCTTCAACCTTTGAATTGTCTTTCCTTGATCATTCGACAAATACATTCATCTCTTGGTTAAAAGTTAATCAGCCGCTAATTAGAGAGAACCACAAAGCAGCTATACTTGGCTCTTCATTGCTCTTGATAGCTCGAGATTGTATTTCCCTTAATCTGATAAATGGCAGGGTCTATCCATGTCCAAAAGAGTTGAGGATTTTCGACTGGCCTGACTTAGCATCAGGTAATGATTGTGTTTATGTTTCTGGCGGTTTGAATGGTAAGCCTTCAGATATTGTCTATAAAATTTCTCGTTTTGATGATGAGAGCTTTGATATAATACAATTACCTAGGCTAAAAAACTCCAGAGCAGGTCATCGTCTCATCATGTGTGACAACAGTTTATATGTTATCGGAGGACGAGATGAATCTAATATACTTGACTCTGTAGAAAGATTTGACTCGGAGCAAAATAAATGGCAAATTGTTACACCAATGGTAACAGCACGAAGTGCACATGGTGTTGCAGTCCACGGTGATAGAATTTTTGTTGCTGGAGGCTATGATGGTTCATCGTTTTTAACTGATGTCGAAGAATATAATCCAAAATTAGATAAATGGATACCAATGACTCCATTAATAGTAAAGGGAAAAATTGTCTCTTTGATCGCACACCAAGAAAAATTGTTCACTTTTATTCGGTCACCAGCCAAATTGGTTCAAATTTACGACTTTATCAGCAAAACCTGGTCAGTTACTGAAGCAGATTCTCTTACTGATGATTCGTTGATTGCAGTAACACAAATACCGTCAAATTTTTGTCAAAAAACTGATGAAAAATAGCTACAGTAGTGATCAGGTTTAAGTTAACTATTATACGTTTACATTGCTTTTTTCTCATCTCTACAAACTAAATATGCTCGAAATATGGACACTTAAAAATTAACTTACTCTGACCCATTTTAGTTTACTCAACCCTGAAAACTACTGATTACTGGTATACTATGTCCAATAATTCATCTCATTAAAATTACCAGTTAATATTTTTCCAGTAAAATAACCAATCAATCAATAACAACAATGCCATCTGTTTTCTTCATTTTAAACTAATAAGGTATCACTACGTGAATAGTCAAGTGTGTTGTGGTGAAAAAAGTCTGGTTTTTAATCCGGACAACTCGAGTTCGAGTCTCCATGTATCTCTCTTTGACATTTGATAAATATCTGGGTTCTGGTACTCAGGATGTTAGTGAGAGTCTTACTGTGAGACAATAGTCTCTCTGAAAGCATGGCACAGATGTCCTCTGTAGTAGTCATGTATAAGACAAGGCTTGTGTTAAGCCACAAGTAATACAATATAACAATGTGTATAACAATCACTGAAAATTTTTTGCTCCAAAATTGATTAAAATCTAGTGCCTTTAGGATCAATTTTTTTAATATTTTTTTAAGAAAAATGGCCAAGCTTAGTATGGCAACTACGAGTGTTGGACATAGAGTAGGACAATATTGACTCAATGGTATTGCAAACGAATAAATATTGATGATTCATCAACAGTGAAAAATATTTTATTGAAAATGAAACTAAGATTACCATCAACTGTAATTTCATTGCTAACAAATGTGAAAAAGAGTCATTGCTGTTTCCGCAAAATCAGATATGAGTTCAATTAATATATAATAACTGTTATGTCTGTGTTTACTTGCAGAGTAAGCAAGTGAACACAAGTAAAGTACTTAAATAAGTAGCTGACAACTGTTCTTAACAAACTAGTAATTATAATAGAAAGTTATCTAATCATAGAGCATTAAACATGGCATTATTCAGCTAATTGCTGTGATTACTAGAAAAAGTGTCGAGTCTTAAATTCTTAACGCAAAGGAAAAAGTTGAGCGCTAAATTTACATTGATTCCTGTCGGAATAACTGATCACAAATCCCGCGCAACACCTTGATTATTGGTATTGGTACAAAAATACACGTATGATGAACAAACTCTGCAATCTGATGAATCTTTTTTTCTTGACAATTTGTTTAACCAGACCAGGAAATTTCTAGAATCAAGAATGCGTTTCAGTTTATTATCAATTTAATATTTCGAGAGAGCAACGTGTAAAGGCAAAATTGTGAGTCGGTTCAATCATTTTATAACAACAATTTTTGCTCGCCAAAGTTGAAGCAAAAACTTATCACCGGCTTCATGTTGACTGGAAATATTAGTCAATTCAAGTCAGTAATTAAACTAAATTATGATCATAATTTACCTTTTTACATTTCAATCTATTGCTAATTGGTACACAGAAACCAAGTATAATTAAGTGCTTAGTTGGTACACAAGTGTAAAATAATCCTTTCAATCATAACTATCATTTTCCAAAGGTTACTTCAACTGTTCAAGTATGCTAAGTTAAATATTATCAATAGACATTATCAAGAGACAGAAATGGAGGAAAAAAGTAGAGTAATCTGATTGAGGCAGTAAATGGTGAGATTTGGAAAAGGTTCCAGATAATAAAGACAAGATATTAATATTGCTACCAGTTCATCATTCTTACACTAGGTCAGACGATCGCTCGCCAAAATCGAAGCGTTAGTTAAGGATTGAATCTATTGTATTTTTATTAGATTTAACAAAAAACGAAATGAAACTTCGAAAAAAGTTGAGAAATTGATGCATCTTAGTTTTACTCCTTAACCATCCAGTATCGAACATAAATGCTACATTGCATTCTCTTGCATCCGAAATCTATGGAATGTTGCAACTTCAACCCATTGTTACACAGAGAAGAAGACATTGAAGAAAAAGAGGATTCGTAATTTTTCCTTTACCCTTTTGACAAGTTTCCTTACATATATATCTATCGCTCACGGCTATATGCGGAACATTGAGTTGCAGATAGCAACATACTTTCTAGGTCTTACGTAGAGTTCAAATAGGCGATAGTGATATAGATATTCAATCCATCATGCAGCTTAACTCATTCGAAATTGTTTAGAATGTCTACCGGGTTATTCAAAAGTCGTGCTTCATAATCCGGTAGTTCTCTGCGTAAGTTTGGAGGATTTTTTCGTATTTAGAGCTATATTTCGATGAAGATTAGAGATACGATTATGTTTCTATATGGAAGTGAAGCGAATGAAACGATAATTTTCAAATGGCCTTCAAATGACCTCTGCAAGTCAAAGGTCGAAATCGCAATTACCTTTGATGGTGGTAATTTAATTTTCAGGCCTGCAATATGTTCTTAACCAGGCATGTTGCAAATATCAAGTTCAAGACCTCATTCGTTTAGGAGATATCATAGATACAAAAAATTGCTTTTGTATGAGTTTCAGACTTTTTTGCCCCTTTTTGGTCAAATTTCGGTCTCTATTGATGATATAATGATGAATCTTCATGAGAGTCATCAAAATGTCTCGAAAATTTTAAAACGACCTTCAATTGACCTCTAAAGGTCAGAGGTCAAAATCCCGAAAAATGACCTCCGATGACCTTGAAAAGTTGATCGTTTCACCGTTTCATTATTTTCTGCCTTAATATCAAATATCAAGTCTAAGCAAAGTTCTGTTCGTGAGTTATCTTGGTAACAGTAAAACAAAAAGTGGATTTTGAAAAAGGCATATCTGAGTTAAAATCTTCACTTCGTTTCACTACGCTCCGATAATTATTTCAAGTCAAGCCAATATAAAATATGAATATGAATAAGACTTGAAATAATTTTTCTAGAAAAAGCCAAATCGTTTCATCCAATGAAAGATAATTGCTGAAGCTTGCCATCAAATATCATGAAGCATTATTAGATTCACTTATCAGGTTGATGAAAATTCGACTTACCGTATTTGAGTTGTAAAACATCACCGACAACAATTTGGTCGACCAAAACTTGAATCGCTTCGCCAGCGCGAATGGCTGAGATTTTACTTTCTTGGTCAATCCTTTCACGCAATCCTATTCAATTGATTAGTTAATTTTTGTAAATAAATTTTATATTCCATTTTAAATTGAAATTACCTCGAAATTGTTTTTCTTTGGTGTAATCGTTGAAAGCGGTAATAAGGACAACTATCAACACAGTAATCAGAATAGCTGTTCCTTCAATCCAATTAGCAGTTCCTTCATCGGAGTTTGCTTCTGATTAACAACATAAACATTATGAGATTAGATTATTTTGCATGATTTAAATGAGACAATTAAAGATCATCAGAAAGCAATTACTGCTCTTTGATAGTCAGTAATGTTGATTTATCCAGCAAATGAAATAATCTTTTTCATCCTCAAAAATGATGAATTTGACAAATTCGACAAATCGACGAGATTAAATCAATTTTACCAGACGATTAGTAAATTTGTTTACAGTTAAATTAATTGAATTATCGCAGGTTTCAATCAAACTACATGGGAAAACCAGGGATTGTCAGGTGTACCTTCTGATTTATCTTGTGATGTAGCAAGTGAAAGACCCAGCGAGATAACGGCAGCAACCAGCAATATTAACAAAGTTGGTTCTTTTGCAGCAATCCAAACCAATTGGATGAACTTTTTAGGTGGCTTTCTGTCAATTTCATTTGATCCAAATACTTTTTTCCTATTTTCAATATCAGATAATGAACCAGAAAGTCCTGAGGAAGAAAGGCAAAGAAATTTAATCAGAAATCTTGAATGACATCAACAAAGTTGAAGAGATGTTTGCAAAATTGGGACAAAAGCGAATTTATTGGTTGATAAAAGCTCAGATTTGATTTGAATATTTCCAAGGAAAAGTGAAAATTGTGGGAAATTAAATGATAAGTAGACAATTACCTTCATTGGAAGATGTAGCCAAAGCTCGACAAAGACCAAGTACACTTCCATATCTTGCACTGAGCTGATCAAATCCTTCCTTTCCTCGAGATTGCATTAGATTTTTAAGTTCGTTAACAGATGCACCAAAGATTGATCCATCAGAAATGATGTTTGGATTCATGATTGATGGGTTAGGGTTAATTAGCTGGTTAATTAACACGATAAGTATAAAAAAGAAGTCACTGGAATTGAAGAACAAAGAAAGCTAAAAATGTAAACAATCTTGAGAAAGCTTTAGCCAATGGGAAAAGTAATGTTTATTGAAGAGACAAAACACTTGAACCAGTAACACATGTTTTGCTATTTATTTTGATTGTCGATGGATTGTAATTTAACTTATAAGTGGGTACTACTAGTTTTATATTAGTTAAGGTGACCGTGAGACGTGAGCAAAATGCCTTTAGAGAGTCAATTTTACTACATAATACAAGCAACAGAATAATCAACAGTTGATAAAAGTGCTGGGTGCTGGTGAGAAAGGAGAAGTAAATCAACGCCGATAGTCATTGATATTAGTAAGACGATGATGGTAAATTGTTAGCTGAATAGAACTAAATTATGAAATACGATGAGCATTTTATTGATAAACTAAATAACAGTTTACTCATTTTATTTGCTTAAATACTTAATTACTCAATCGTCTGTAACAAACTGTGGGTAATGTTAACTATCTTTTACATGCAATAAACGAAATAAGGTTCATTTAAATGTAAGCCCTTCGTGATAACTAATGACTGTTAAGGCAATGAGATTTACAAATGGAATATCACTGATAGAGGGAATCACCGTGAGATACTAGCAGAAACACTTAAATCACTAGATGGCGACTGACAAACCCTGAAATTATCTTGAATGTTGAAAACCAATGAACATGAAGTAAACTTTAAAACGATTCTTCCTGGTTGGTATTATGCTCGTTATTACACATACATGTTGAAGTATACCATAAAGCAGTTGCTGTTGTTGTTCCTGAGAGATGAAATATAAAAAATGAAATTCATTAGTTCTTGGATAACAGAAAAATCTCTTGTAATCTCTTGTAATAGTCATTCAGTGGAAACCTAATGATGTACTTTGAATCCTGAATCCATGTGACATTCGTCCTGCTATCCATGAGAGATGCGATAATTTCTGGAAAAATGTCCTCCACAATTGTACGACGTCCACTAATCATAATAAGTTCACATTCAAGTCTCACATTTAAAGATATACATTGAAAATCAGACTCAATGGGATCCGAAAAAGATGAAGATGTTGGACTCATAGTGTTAGTTGAATTGGTCATAAGAGTCTGGGTCACATTGGCAGAGGCAGTAGTATTTGTTGAACCGATGTTGACTGCATTTTTGGCGGAAGCAGAGCTGTTATTATTAACATTGATACTAGTTATTGGAGGAATTGTGGTGATTGAAGTTGAAGAATTGGAGGCTCGTCGACCACCACAAGCAGGCGTAATTATACCAGGATGGCCAGGGGAACAACAGGATAAGGCTGAGTAAACAAGAAGATGACGATGAAGAAGATGATGAGCATCATCTGAATCATTAAGATAGACTAAGGTTGTATTGGAGGTGTTCTGGGTTCGAGACAATTTACCGTTCTTGTTAATATTTGCAGATGCACTCTGAGCTATCCGTGAACAGGTTACAGGACATGTTAGTGATCTGAGTGCTTTCTCAAATCTTTGTTTTCGCAGTTCTTCCAACAGTCTAGAAACATAAAGAAAACAGAACAAAATGTTGCCACATTAACAAAAAAGAAAGCAAAACTTTAAAAGACGCAAAGAAAAATTACCTAATTAATTGTGAAATGGCATAAAATTTAGCTTCCTCGTACAGCAGATCAAGTTCTGGATAGTCTTCATTGACTGGTGCTGTTGAGGTTCTCAAAAAGTTAAGTATATGACGAAACATTTCTCCATCTCGATCAATGAAATAATGTTGTTTCAAACTGTCCAGTACAATGGGAATGGAGCCGTTAAACATTCGCGCTAATCTCGACTCTGGATACCTAGAAGTTTAATTTAATGATGAAGTTTGATCCTTTGATAAGATTGGCTAGGATCGACTGATATTATTGTGGGCTAATATTAACATATCACTCCTCACAATGACTTACTTGGTTAAAGTTTCAAGGGATGAAGTATATATCGTTCCACCTACATCAATATGAACTGGAGCTGTATATCTAGAAGCGGCGGCGACACAGGGTATGCCTGATATTTTGTGATTAAAATTAGGTGATCCTGTTTGTGAACTCGATGTACTTGGGTTTAACGAACCTGGACTCAATGATCGCACGACTGATGCAGCTAATCTATCAGTATTAGCTTGAGCCGCTGCCGCAGCTAGACTGTTTAGTTTAGCGTTTTCCATAAACTCAAACAAACAACGACGTTTAGCCAGGTTGACTGTACACTGTGAGATGGTCGATTGATTAAATTAAGTCTCTGTACCAATGGAAATGGTGATTGTCACGATTAGTTGAACCAGAAATTGATTGGTAAAGCAATAGATGAAAAGAGATTCAAAGAAAGATAGACTAAATTAGATTCGTCGAGATTTAACATTTGCTGTGAACTTACATGGCTTTAATACGATGAAGTTTGATGGTAATAAGTGATAGTCAAGGAAGGCATTTTGACACTCCGAATTTGGACTAAAAATATCTTGAATGTTGAAAACCAATGAACATGAAGTAAACTACAAAACGATTCTTCCTGGTTGGTATTATGCTCGTTATTACACATACATGTTGAAGTATACCATAAAGCAGTTGCTGTTGTTGTTCCTGAGAGATGAAATATAAAAAATGAAATTCATTAGCTCTTGGAAAATAGAAAAATCTCTTATAAATCTTACCTTTGTTAAATTTTATCCTCCTTTAACTGAGTAACTCGTTCCATTAGCCGCTTCATCTCACTGGTGTTGCTTAACCTAGTACTAAACTACTAAGAGCCAAACGCTTCACCAGTTGCCTCTGATATGGATGAATATGGAAACCAAAATAGTCTGATGAAACATCACCTTCTGCTCTTCTTGTCCATGGATGATGACGATAAAACTAAAATAAGAAATGATTCAAACACATGAAACAAAACGTGAAATAAATAAAGTAACTTTTATTCATAAAGGAATAATAAACAAGGAACTTACCTTTTTCAAGTGTTCTCAATGGATCTTGAAGTTGAATCGATTAGAGGCACCAACAATCGATTAAAAAACACACAAAACATAGAAATTAATGTTTCTTATCACATAAACAACATAAAACTAAACGACTTTAAACATTTGAGAAAATAGACAAACAAAAGGTGTTTAAATGACTTAAATTTTATTATGATTATAAGGGAGGGAAATTATGAGAAAATGAGGAAATTGACATGTAACTGAATTGCTTTATGAAAATTATCAAATTATCTTTTTTAATATTTAAATTAAACATTTCCTTTTTTTTGGAGGCTCTGTCTCTGGTTCTGGTTCTGGTTCTGGTTCTTGTTCTGGTTCTGGTTCATCATTCAACTCCAATCGTGTGATTTCCACAACTGGTTCTTCCGTGGCTGCAGCTGGGTTTATGGCATACTTAGGATTAAATTCGCAAATGTAAACAAAAGATTTAGATTTATCCTTTTTGGCTTTCCTGGCTAAAACTCTATATTGATGTTTGTGGTCTACATCAATAAGATCACTGATTTCAATAGAAAGCCCGATGGTCTTCAACTCTGTTTTGAATTCTTCAAACTTTTCCATGGGGATGGTGCACATTTCATTCAAAACAAGAGACTGAAATTGATCAAAAGTGAATTCCGATATATTTGCAGGAAGGAAAACATAATTTATGTCTCCTGCATATCGCTCGAATGTTTTGAATTTCAAAGTAGATAAATTTATCATTTTCTTTCTTTTGACTTTAAAAGTCTTATTGTTTGGACCAACACAGGTGAGTTTCTTTCTGAAATCTCCGTGTGTAAATTTTATATTATAATAAGCGAAGCTTTTCACCAGATCTTCTTTTTCATACATCTTAAACTCCTGACATGGAGTATCTTTGGACACATAAGAAGTGTAAACTGCAAACAGAAATTAAATACAAAATTAATGGAATCAACAAAAAACGATATTATAATCAAAAAAGTTACTCACATGGTTGGACCCTATTATCTATCAGTCGATCAGACTCATGTCTTGGCCAAAGGATAATTGCTCGCCATAATTTGTAAAGTTGCTTGACAATAACCATTGGTCTATCGTCGGTAACAAAAGAAGAATGATAAACTTTTACAACTTTCACACCAATGCTTTCCAATTGCTCAGTAAATTTCTTTAAATCTTCCGGTTCAACATCCACTTCATCTCCATGGAACATGGCTTTAATGGCCACAAAAACTGAAGGAGCAACGGTGTCAGGGATCAAAATCCTTTTGACCTCACGGTCAGAGGTGAATAGTGTGGCGACCGATGTCGCGACAGAGGAAAATAGACCTTTGTCTATCTCAAACCATCCTCCCGAGTGATGACCGACGATAACATTTGAACTCGATTGGGGTCTAAGACGCACTGACATGGTGAGTAGAAATACTTGTGGGAAAATATTTTTGAAAAAACAATAAAAACAATTATAAATAATATCGTAACACAAATATGAATTTGATGAAAATATTTAAAGAAAATAAGACTTTAACTAGAAATAAATGTTTAGAGAAAAAGAAGAATGGAAAGAGAAAAAACTAGTTGTATATTCAAACTCTAAAATTGAAATGAACAGCTTGAGTAAATTTTCTACACAAATCATTGGTAAGCCAAAGGATTATGGTTATAATGTGGATCTTGTCTCCTCTTTTGTCTTCAGCTCCTGTTTTGATCGTCATTTATCATCATCGTCTGATAAACAGCCTTACTTAACAATAAGTTGTCGGTTAAAGTAAACCTGAAAAAAGCAAGTTACCCGATCTCGCCTCATATTACATTTGTAAATATTCTTTGGTATAATGTGATATCAATCAAGAAGCAAAAGCCGAGGACAAAAGAAGAAGCAAACAAATCATTAAGATTTTGTCTCTTGTCTTAATTAACCAAATTGGTTAAACAAACAAATGATTCAATTTTTAGTCAAGTAAGGAATACTATTAGGCTCATCTTACTTAATTTGAACTTTTGGTTAATGGCATTGCGTGAAGTCACACATGGATACTGTTTGTTCAATCAACCTCTATGGCCAACTTGAGTCCACAACAAACGGCGAAACAGCAATTAGATTATATTAGATTCGACCATTCAATCCTAAATACTTCAATTGGAAGTAGTTGAGAACAGTGTAGACGCAAGTAAGACCCCAGTTTATCTATCAAATGAATTAATCTTGCTCATCTTGTGCCATTACCAGAATTGATTCACATATTTAAAGACTAAAGTTGTCCATCAAGGATAATCTGTTGTTCATCTCATCAACAATCTAAACTTATTTTGACCTGGAAATGCTAATTGTCTAAAAGATAACAAATTGTTATTAAAATATGAACTTTTGTTTGGAAGGCGATTTAAGCCATTTTAATATTGTCCAATAAGCATAGAAGATAATTTTATTTATATTTTAAAATGTTTATAAACGTTTATAATAACATACAATATGATTATTTGTTAAAAGGTATAAAAAATATGACTCGGTTAAAGAGGAAAACAAGCTTATACAATAGAGAACCTTCAGAGGAATATCGGATGATTTGTCAACTAATTGTACATAAAATGAAATTTTGAAAGATGATTATGATTTTCAAGCAAGTTGGTGTTTGATTCAACACAAAGATAGCCTTTTGCGTTGAACTAGCTATACTTTGAAAAGAGCTAGATTTAGAAATCTTATTATTTCTATCATTTTATGCTTTATGGTTTAAAATTCAATCCTAATCATGATTCATTATAACATATTATTTGAGAAAAGGCCACATGATTTTTACTTGATAAAAAATATAAAGGAAGAACTTAAAGAGGTTGATAGAGAGCAGTAAAGATGATTGAGCAGCTATTCTTCAATTAGGTGAAGTCGTAGAGGAAATCGAGAGATGTTATTGCTTAAATTATTATAGACTAGATAAGTCCAGCGAGACACGAAATAGAAGAAATGAGCTAAATTTGGACACTACTTGATCAATAACTCCAAAGATGATTAGTTGCAAACATAATTGAAAAGGCGACATCAAAGTATTGTATTGGTGCGAGTTTGCGTGTTTGAAAAGATGACTAATTATTCATCATATTAGATTTGCTTCCCTTGCCATCGAATAAAAGATTGACTTTGTGTCTTTAAGAAGATTTGCAGGTGAATCAAACTCAACAATTGTTCCTTTATCCATTACAATTATTCTATCATAATCCATAATTGTATTCAAACGATGAGCAATGGTTACAATGGTGCAATCGGAAAACTCTTTACGAATTGTTCCTTGGATAAGCTCGTCAGTTTCTATGTCGACTGCTGCAGTAGCTTCATCAAGAACTAAAACTTTGCTTTTACGAAGTAAAGCTCTAGTTAAGCAAACCAACTGCTTCTGTCCAACACTTAAATTTTCTCCGCCTTCGGCGATTTCATAATTGAGACCAGATTCTAAAGAATCCACAAAGCCTTTCAAATGAGAAAGTTCTAAAGCTTTCCAAATGTCTGAATCGGTGTGCTTCTCGAATGGATCGAAATTACGTCTGAAGCTTCCAGAAAATAGAACAGGGTCTTGAGGTATAACCGTGAGTCTTGAGCGAAGATTGTGAAGACCTAATTGAGAAATATCTTGATCATCAATTTCTATTCTTCCTCCAGACGGTTCAATGATTCGGAATAGAGCCAATGTAAGAGAAGATTTACCAGCTCCAGTTCGACCAACTATACCAACTTTTTCATTTGGTTTAATAGTACAAGAAATGTCTTTCAATACTAGATCGAGACCTGGTCTATATCTAGTGCTATAATTTTTGAATTCAATTTGTCCATTGTCAGGCCAATTTGATGAGGTTCTCTTGTGTGGTAAGTCCCAGGGTGCCTGATAAGAAGAAAAATAGTCATTAATCTACATGAATACCAAGGAATCGCCAATGAGTTTTAAAAAGATATAAAATTACCTCCATTGGAGTTTTAGTGTATTCCAAACACCTTTCAACTGAAACTACATTTGTTTCAACATCAGATACAGCTCGAACCAACATATTCAATACTTGAGTGACAGTTAAAGCATAGCTAACGGAAAGTCCAGTATAACCAGGGCTTAAAGTACCACGTGAAGTCACGGCAAAAATAGCTGCAAGAAATACGATTAGATTTCCAAGAAACTCGAGCCGAACCGCTAACCATCTATTAGAGCCTAAATTGGGGAAGTAAGATGAGTGATTGATATCAACTCTGTGATAACACTCATTAATGAATCTTTCGCTGCAGTCATAAGCTCTAATAGATGTAGCTCCAGAGACAGTTTCCGAAAAATGCGAGTAAACTGGTGATCGAGTGACTGATTCAATTCTTTTCAATTGTCTGGAAGAAGATATGTAAAATTTCTGAAGAGAAAAAATAATTAATTTGAATCAATGCAAAAATATGAATTTAAATTATTTACCTGGACAAAAATATACGCAAAGCCAATCGGTATAACAACAAGTAAGAAGTAAGGAGTCTCTAAACATATAGCAATGATAGCTACGATCGCTCGAAAACTTTGTGATATCAGGAGACGGATATTGAAAGTGAGAGTGACATCAGCAACATCAATATCTTTTGTGAAACGGTTAAGTATTCGACCCAACGGAGTTGTATCATAAAATGACATTGGTGCTCTAATCATTCGGTGAAGCATCTTTTCGTGGATAAGTCTAGCGCCTTTGAGAATAGCAAAGTTCAGTATAATACTATTGGTTAATGTAAATGTTGTCTCCGATAGTCCAAGACCAAAATAAACACCAAGCCTAATGTTTCTGAGAGTTGTATCATTAGCAGCCGCTGGATTAAGAGAGTCATTACTCCATTCAGTCAACCAAAGACTCGATAGTAAGTTAAAAGTACTTGATAAACAGAAAGCTAAAATTACAAGCAAGCATGAAACCAGGCCACAAGCTTTAAAAAACTCCCAATAAACTCCCCATTTTACTTTTCCTGTCTGAGCGACTTCAGTTTCAACTAATTTGAACTTTTCACCATTTCCTTTGGTCGATTCAGGCTCTTCTCGTAACTGTGACATACTTCGACTAGTGTTACCTTTTTTGGTTGATGGACGTGAGGCATTGGACATGGTTCGTCTACGAATTCCATCTGAGCTATTGGAAAGAGTTTCTGATCTAACAATAGATCCTCTTTTTTCAAACTCAGGACCCATTTTTTCTTTTAACTGTTCGATTATTTCTTTGTCTTCTTCTGCAAGTTCTTCATGTTGCTCACTCACAAATTGTAGTAAAAATTGAGCAAATTCACCGTTTTTAGCTAATAATTCATGATATGTTCCTTGTTCAGTAATTTGACCATCTTTAAGTACAATAATTTCATCAACTTGAGGTAGAAAAGTAACTCTGTGGGTAACTAAAATTCTGGTCTTCTTTTTTAGCATTCCAGTTGGACCAATGACTTTATCAAAAAGGTGACGGGAAACATGAGCATCAACTGCACTCAAAGGATCATCGAGGAAATAAATGTCAGAGTTTGCGTAAACTGCTCTAGCAAGACTGACTCGTTGTTTTTGACCGCCACTTAAATTAATGCCCTTTTCACCGATTTCTGTTAAATCTCCACCAGTTAATATTTTCAGATCCTGTGTTAGAGCACATGCTTCCAATACTTTATTGTATTTCTCTTCAATATATGGCTGTGAAAATGTGATGTTCTGTCTAACAGTAGCATTTTGGATCCAAGCTGATTGAGGGACATAAGCAATCTTCCCATAAACATTCACATATCCTTCGGTTTTGTAAAGATCACCGAGAAGAGCTGACAGTAAGGATGATTTTCCACTTCCAACTTGACCCACAATAGCAACTAAACTTTTATCTTTGATATCGAGCGTAATACCATTGAGAACAGAAGAATCATCTTTGGACCAACTAAAAGTTCCATTTCTTAAAACAACTGGAGTATGCGGATTCGGCTCATGTTGAATAGTTTCTGGGTCTATCTCATCTCCTTGAAGATATTTATTGATACGTTTTATTGAAATAATAAACTGAAAGAGACGAGAAAAAATTAGAGTAAAACTGATATAACAAAAACAATGAAAATGCTTACATTCGCCCCATAAGAAACGACCATAGGAAGAAGTGCAAGAGGTATTCGGAGTATATTGAATAAAGAAAGTGAAACGAAGGCTTTATTTGCATCTAGAATATTGGAGGAGTCGATCAACACAAAGATTGGCTAGGATCGACTGATATTATTGTGGGCTAATATTAACATATCACTCCTCACAATGACTTACTTGGTTAAAGTTTCAAGGGATGAAGTATATATCGTTCCACCTACATCAATATGAACTGGAGCTGTATATCTAGAAGCGGCGGCGACACAGGGTATGCCTGATATTTTGTGATTAAAATTAGGTGATCCTGTTTGTGAACTCGATGTACTTGGGTTTAACGAACCTGGACTCAATGATCGCACGACTGATGCAGCTAATCTATCAGTATTAGCTTGAGCCGCTGCCGCAGCTAGACTGTTTAGTTTAGCGTTTTCCATAAACTCAAACAAACAACGACGTTTAGCCAGGTTGACTGTACACTGTGAGATGGTCGATTGATTAAATTAAGTCTCTGTACCAATGGAAATGGTGATTGTCACGATTAGTTGAACCAGAAATTGATTGGTAAAGCAATAGATGAAAAGAGATTCAAAGAAAGATAGACTAAATTAGATTCGTCGAGATTTAACATTTGCTGTGAACTTACATGGCTTTAATACGATGAAGTTTGATGGTAATAAGTGATAGTCAAGGAAGGCATTTTGACACTCCGAATTTGGACTAAAAATATCTTGAATGTTGAAAACCAATGAACATGAAGTAAACTACAAAACGATTCTTCCTGGTTGGTATTATGCTCGTTATTACACATACATGTTGAAGTATACCATAAAGCAGTTGCTGTTGTTGTTCCTGAGAGATGAAATATAAAAAATGAAATTCATTAGCTCTTGGAAAATAGAAAAATCTCTTATAAATCTTACCTTTGTTAAATTTTATCCTCCTTTAACTGAGTAACTCGTTCCATTAGCCGCTTCATCTCACTGGTGTTGCTTAACCTAGTACTAAACTACTAAGAGCCAAACGCTTCACCAGTTGCCTCTGATATGGATGAATATGGAAACCAAAATAGTCTGATGAAACATCACCTTCTGCTCTTCTTGTCCATGGATGATGACGATAAAACTAAAATAAGAAATGATTCAAACACATGAAACAAAACATGAAATAAATAAAGTAACTTTTATTCATAAATGAATAATAAACAAGGAACTTACCTTTTTCAAGTGTTCTCAATGGATCTTGAAGTTGAATCGATTAGAAGCACCAACAATCGATTAAAAAACACACAAAACATAGAAATTAATGTTTCTTATCACATAAACAACATAAAACTAAACGACTTTAAACATTTGAGAAAATAGACAAACAAAAGGTGTTTGAATGACTTAAATTTTATTATGATTATAAGGGAGGGAAATTATGAGAAAATGAGGAAATTGACATGTAACTGAATTGCTTTATGAAAATTATTAACTTACCTTTTACAATATTTAAATTAAACATTTCCTTTTTTTTGGAGGCTCTGACGTTAGTTCTGGTTTTGGCTGTTCATCACTCTCTGATAGTGGAGTGATATTCATAATAGGTTCATCCGTGACTTCATCGGGATTAATAGCAAAACTAGGATTAAACTTGCAAATATATGAATCAGATTTTCCACTTTTTCTCGCTAGAATTTTATATTGATTCGTGCGATCGTTGACAATAAATTCTGCGATTTCAATTGAAATGCCTAAATAATTCAGCTGCTCCTTGAATTCTCTAAAAATTTTTCTACTAACTGTACATAATTTTCGAGAAAAAAGAAGTCGAAATTTTTTAAAAGTGTATTCAGATATTTGCGCTGGTAGGAATACATAATCTATGTCTCCAGCAAAACGCGCAAATGTATTATATTTTGCTGATGATAAATTCATCATTTGTTTTCTGCTGACTTGAAAAGTCAGATAATTTGGACCAACACAGGTGAGTTTCTTTCTGAAATCTCCGTGTATAAATTTTATATTATAATAATTGCAGCTTTTCACCAGATCTTCTTTTTCATACAACTTAAACTCCTGACATGGAGTCTCTTTGGGCACAAAAGAAGTGTAAACTGCAAACAGAAATTAAATACAAAATTAATGGAATCAACAAAAAACGATATTATAATCAAAAAAGTTACTCACATGGTTGGACCCTATTATCTATCAGTCGATCAGACTCATGTCTTGGCCAAAGGATAACTGCTCGCCATAATTTGTAAAGTTGCTTGATAATAACGATGGGTTGATTATCCACAACAGAGCTATCACGATAAATGCGTAAAAATTTTACACCAATGCTTGCAAGTTGGAATTTAAAAAACTTTAATTCATCTGCTTTTACATTAATTTCATCTCCATGGAACATGCCTTTAAAGGCCACAAAAAATGAGAAAGAAACGGTGTCGGGGATTAAAACCCTTTTCACTTTAGGTTTAGAGGTGATTAGTGGGGCGAACAATGTCGCGACAGAAGAAAATCGACCTTTGTCTATCTCAAACCATCCTCCCGAGTGATGGCCGACGATAACATTTGAACGCGATTGGGGTCTAAGACGCACTGACATGGTGAGTAGAAATACTTGTGGGAAAATATTTTTGAAAAAACAATAAAAACAATTATAAATAATATCGTAACACAAATATGAATTTGATGAAAATATTTAAAGAAAATAAGACTTTAACTAGAAATAAATCTTTAGAGAAAAAGAAGAATGGAAACAGAACAGAAATGAAGAGCAAGAGTAAATTTTCGTCACAAATCATTGGTAAGCCAAAGGATTGTGATCATAATGGGATCTTGTCTCCTCTTTTGTCTTCAGCTCCTGTTTTGATCGTCATTTATCATCATCGTCTGATAAACAGCCTTACTTAACAATAAGTTGTCGGTTAAAGTAAACCTGAAAAAAGCAAGTTACCCGATCTCGCCTCATATTACATTTGTAAATATTCTTTGGTATTTATAATGTGATATCAATCAAGAAGCGAAAAGCCGAGGACAAAAAAAGAAGCAAACAAATCATTAAGATTTTGTCTCTTGTCTTAATTAACCAAATGGGTTAAACAAACAAATGATTCAATTTTTAGTCAAGTAAGGAATACTATTAGGCTCATCTTACTTAACTGAACTTTTGGTCAATGGCATTGCGTGAAGTCACACATGGATACTGTTTGTTCAATCAACCTCTATGGCCAACTTGAGTCCACAACAAACGGCGAAACAGCAATTAGATTTAATTAGATTCGACCATTCAATCCTAAATACTTCAATTGGAAGTAGTTGAGAACAGTGTAGACGCAAGTAAGACCCAGTTTATCTATCAAATGAATTAATCTTGCTCATCTTGTGCCATTACCAGAATTGATTCACATATTTAAAGACTAAAGTTGACCATCAAGGATTATCTGTTGTCCATCTCATCAACAATCTAAACTTATTTTGACCTGGAAATGCTAATTGTCTTAAAGATATCAAGGCAAATTAAGATAAATATACAATCGTCATCATCATCATGATCATCATCAAATTCACAGTTACATTAATATCTCAATTGACAAACATGGGAACAAGTGAAGAGAAGATTTAGTCACGATGAGTTTAAAATTGCTTTACAATCAACATATTAATTCATTTACATGTAATTGACGTTCATTAAACAATCAGTTGAATGAAAGATAACAAAATAGTGATTATAATACGATTCTTGTGGTTACTCTGTTTAGGTGGACCAATGCAATCATAATAAATATGTGTGTTACTCTGGTTTCTGGTTCATTATTACACATCTATGAGCACTTCATTTGAATAAATATATTGTACACAATTGGATTTGATTATATTGATTAACCTTAATTGTGGGATCATGAATAATAATGGGACAGAAAAGTTTTCTCGAAAAAAAACTAAATCGATTATTTTTTATACATTTTTTTACTAGAATAGACTATTTGCTGGTAGTTGTCTAATAATCGGCGATATAATCAGCTATTATGGTTGAAGTCCGGTCCGTATTGAAACAAGAAGGAGCTTTGATTAAGAGCTGTTATGTTAATGAATTTACAAAGTGGCTGACAATTAAAGAAGCTTCAGAGCAACTTACATCTCTTTCTTTTTTTTGTGTTATTCTAGTGTTTAGTTTCTGCGATTGTAATGACAATCAACTTCTCCAAATGAGCACTACACTCGATTCCCTTATAATCAGACAAAATAACCTTAAATCTTTGAATAGATTAACATGGAAATACATGTATGATAAATCGACTATTTCAAGGTAGTCTTAATATGCGTGACTCGAGTCTAGTTGTATTCAGAGTATGCTTACCCCTAGTCCTTACCCTAGTCCCCTAGTTAAATTAGACTTTAGTCTAATTTGAACTAAAAATTATCTTGAATGTTGAAAAGCATTGACAAAACTTAAGGTAGCATAATCTGATCTGATGAACACATTTATACCTATTTATAACAAGACTCAAAGAATAGGAAGCACCCTTAGAAAGTGTCTATCGAGACCTTTAGTTATCGCTCTTGAAACATTGCAATTTAAATGTTTAATTCGCGATTATCTTATTTTATCCACTTGATTAGTGAATGTGACATTTATATTGATCCAATTGTTGAAAAGTTGAATTCTGAATGGAAAGGCATCGGCTCAACTGTTTGAGATATTATTGAAACTATTTGTATATCATCTTGAAATGACTAAATAGAAATAGTTTGTGCAATTGCAACAAGCCTTTGACTTATCCATCAAGACGATTAATCTTTGACAATTGACTAGATTTAGGTCCGATTCGTGGTCAATTTAAACTCCATGAGCTGACCTTTTGACTTATTCATTCTAGATGGAACTGTAATGGAAGAAGGCTTTGAAAACGGCAAAACAAAATAGGGTTCGGAGCAACAAAACACTGAATCGGTAACGAATCGTGAATTTCTAGACAAGACATTTAACCAATTTCGTTAATAAAAAGTTAATAACGATGATGGTCAATTGAATGCTGAATAAATGATTATTGATGGCTGAAGATGATTATGATGATGATTGTAGCGAATAAAGAAGCGACTTCATTGAAGTCAGACGAGCGAATCAAAGTTAATGCGTGCTTTTTACACAATTGAGGCTTATTTTGCTATTATCATTATGTTCCTGATAAAAGCATCATATTTACCTGGACCAATGTTTCTTAATACCAAACAGAAAATGTAAAGCTTATTTTTATTCTCTAAACATAAGTTTCACTTGACTAACAAAACTTGAAAGACTGAGCAATAATTTTCAAAGAAATCACAAGTCTATTAATAACCAAGACACAGATGGGAAAGATGATGATGATGATGGAAAGAGAAAGAAAGAAAGATGTTAATGAGAGAATGACTAACATCTAAATTTAAATAGATCAAGAAGAAGAAGAAGAAACTTGCAAGATTTTCAAATCTATTATTTTTAGAAAATAGAAAGTATAATAAAAAGAGATTTATTCTGTTTCAATTCAGGTTTTGTGTTTTCTTTATTAACTCATGGAGTAGTCAAGATAAAGATAAAATGGTGTCTCAGTGTCAAGTATATGTTTAAATCGCACTGAAACTCGAGTGAACCTCAATCGTTTTTCATTAAACCCATTGTCTACCAATCAAAGCTATGTATTCATCGAGAGGAAGATCAAACATTTCATCTTCTTCTACTTCTCATACTTATGTGTAAGTTTCCTCTTGATTAGTTCATTCAGATTGGATTATCGTCTCATCTCCGTGAACTTTGAAGTTGTCTCAACATATTGTGTGAATTACTCATAAAGATGATGATTTGCTGTGAAATTTTTCTAATTATAAACAGTTCGACGATGTTGAGTACTTCAACTAAACGGTTATTGCTAGTTATGCACATAACCATTGATTATTTATTTATAGCATTAGGAACACCCTGTGAAGGGAATCACTGATTTACACCAGTTTGTACAGATAATCATTTGCAATAATCACTGAGAATGAATACAACGATTAGATTGAGGTTTAGTCAATGGTGCAACTGGTTATGAATATTTTGTTAATCACTTGTGGATCACCTCTAATATAAATGCGAAATTGAGAAAATTTATTTATGAAAATGATTCCATCCAAGAGTAAAAATGTTTCTTCAACTGTTAATAGTCAGTCAAATGTGTAAGTTTAACTTGGATAGATTCAGTTGATTCCAATAGTATTTGCAAACGGAATAAAGTGACTTTATGCCAATCAACTGGACCTTTAATTGTGTTGTTTGATTATGTTTTCGTACAATTTTGGATAATTAATTACTTGTACATTTAATCTTCTTCTCATTTATTCTTCTTTCTTCTTCTGATTAGTGTTAAGAAGTTGAAAACATCCAATTCAAGTCCACCAGTTTTCGTCCGATTACCGGCAACTGCTCAGTTCATTGAAGGAGGGGATGCAGTGTTTGAATGTCAAGTATCTGGCCATCCAATGCCCAGCGTTGTTTGGACTCGAAGAGGAGCCATCATCAAGAACGATGATCGTCATACAGTTACTTATAATCCATCCACTGGCCAATCCATTTTATCCATTGCAAACCTTACCATGGATGACGATGGAGAGTATAACTGTACTGCCTGTAATACAGCTGGAGAAGCATCTTTAACTGTTTCAATCACTAAACAACCTCAGCGTAAGTTTAACCAAACATTAATTTCCTTGATAACTAACCTTAACTTTAACCTATTTCATCGCATTATTCAAGTTAACTCCTGACTTCAGTATCTTCAATATTATTTTTATTAATTGTTTGATATATTATAGCTCACAATTGAATAGATTTACATGAATTTCAAAGACGAAAAATGCTGTCAAATCTCTGATAATGTCATCTCTCAAATCTATATCTAATACAGTATAAAGTCAATGTATCAAATTTTTGCGTCAAAATTGTGGCCAAACTGAACGGGTTCTAAGAAAAAAAATTACATACCATGAATGCTCTGATTCAAGAACGAAAAATACGAAATAAACAATTTAGTTTGATTCAGTTTTTTAATTCGCTATATTATACAAATCGTCTACTTGAAAATAAAAATCCCAAATTAAATTCGTAGAAAGGCTATTTCACATTAAAATACACAATAAGATAATCACGTGAAGTGACCTTATTAGAGGTTTGACAGTAATGGGAAGCTAATTATTTTATTGAAAAGCTGATAAAGCAATGAAGTAAATCACTTCGGATCTGGTGGATCCGATCAATTTACAGTTAAGACCTAATTGGTTTGTAAAAAGATTTTCCAATAAATTTTGATGCATTTGAAACATTATCCATAAATTGTTGTTCAAGTTTTTCTGTTAGTTTTGCATATCGAAGAGACTGAGGTAATCATGGATAGAGCTAGACATTGATAGATGCTGAAATATCCAAGTAAAGTACATTCAAATGCGTGTTTCTCATTTATTATTAATAATAACGAGTAATAATATTATCGAGTATTTATTGTTCTGTTGTCATTTACATTACAATATTTTCATTGTGAGATTGTGAGCCATTTAGTATGAAAAATGATCGCAATTTGTTCATGTATTGGTACCAATGGAACTCAAGCGTAAAGTTGAATAAACTTGATTTGTCAAATTAATTAAGAAATACATATTGACACATAATCGCAAGGGAAATATGTTAAGCTCCGATAATTTTTTTCACCGTATAACCCGGCAATGAATAGACGAATAGCAAAATGAAGAGAAATAAGAAGATGAAGATCATCATTTTAAGGAAAAACCATTTTCTACGAGACCAGATAATGTAGCGAAATGATTTCCATGGGTTAGTTATCCATAAAAATGAATTTTCAGGTCGTCTGTAATGTAAAGATTATAACCATTAGTCGAGTGAAGCAAACAACTTGAACTTATTTAAACAAAAACATTAAAACTTACTGAGGCTGGTCTAGAGGTTGAGGGGCTTCACGTGCTAAGCCAACTGGATTAGCATCAGCTTCTTCTGCAGTCAACAGCTCAAAATCAGCTTCTACTTTACCCTGAAAATGAATTAAAAATTTTGATTGATTTTAATCAATTAAAGTATAAATTAATGGATATTTAACTTACTGTCAACTCTTCTTCACCACCAGATAGTTTTGCATAAAAAGGCCACCAACAAAATTTTGCAAAATAAGATTCTTAGAAAAGGTATTTCACTTTGAAAAAGCCGAAATGCTGATCTCACGAAGTGACATTATTAGATATTTGACAGCGATTTCATTTTCTGTCGACCGTTAAAGTTATTATAGATCGGAGAGATTAGTTTGATGAAAAATATCAAAACAAGAACCAAGACAAGACTAAAAGTGATCATTAGAATTGTGAATCAAAAAGATTTCATTATCACCTTAAGTTCATCTTACATCATGTTAGTTTGTCTAGACCATCATCTCTGAGCAGATTCAAGTCTTCAAATAATTTAATAGGCAATGCAATCAAATTGCATGATTTATAGACTTGATATTGCGAATATAAATGATACCTGAGTATCTTGAGTTTTAATTGTGATTTAAATCTGTTGATTAAAATGAAATTTGCATTCCCTTGAAGGTTAATAAAATCTCTGTCATTGGTCACTAAATGTAATGAAACGTTTTTTGGCAAGATAATGATAAGTTTAGCAAAAGGGTGAGAAGCTTCACAGTCATCTAATAGAATGGCAATGGTTCTGCTAATTTGCGCCCAAACCATATGATGATTCATATAGCAATTTGTTGACTCGATTGATGCTCTTTACACCTCAGATGAAAATATGAAGAAAAGAGGTCCAATAAATAGGTCCGTGAATTCAGATTTGATTACATTGAAATTGTTTGACAATGACGATTGCTGTTACTTTTCGGGTCTCATCTTATCCAAGAGATTGCTGGCATGACTCCAAATAATTGAGAATGTATTTATATTTTGGAGACCACGAAGACTTATCTGATTTTTGATTGAAATTTTCAAGTTGTGATCCTTTTTTGTATCAAAATGGCTCAATTTCAATCATATGTTGTCATTTTTGATAATCTGATAAAAAATCTGATCTTGTTAGACTTTTCTTGATGAATAGTGAAAGAAAAATTGAGTAGCAAAAGACGCAATTTTTTAGTTTAAAAAGCAAGTAAAATGATTAAGAGAGAAAGAAATTGTTGGCCCAATTCCCTTTGCTTAACCTGTCTCTGGCTCCATTCCATACTCAGTGATATTGAGAGTTTAAGTTTATCACCATCAACATGTTTACTCCATCTTCATAATTATCGTCTTTTTCCTTCATCTTTATTCTTTTTTATCTCCTCCTAACCTCGTCATCATTACCTTAAATGGGATCAACAGAAACTTATTTCAGGCAAATTCAAGAGACAGATATCCAATCTCGTCAACAACCATGGAACCAAGGAGGACAATATATGGGAACCTTACAACAAAGTCACTCTCAAACCAAGATTCATCGAGAGAAAAGCAGTTACATGATGGACTCAACATCAGATCCAACTTATAACAGCGGAACAGATCAGGTGGGTTGAAATTAAACTCATGTTTGGGAGAGTAATTCATAGTGTCATTGTAGATTCTCTTATCCGAATACTCAAAGCCAATCTAAAAGAGCTAACTCCAAAAAGATAAAAATGTCGAATAAAGTTGAGGATTATTTTATTTTCTGAGACTTAATTTACACATGTTGACCTAATCTTTAGACTTAAAATGACCATAACTTGTCCGAAGCTGAGCAAACAATTAATATGCTAAGGTTCGTTTGAATTGGTTATTGACATTTAGTAGAGAACAGGAAACATTAATTGCATTGTTTCAATTACATGATAATTTACTTTCGTCAGTGACTATCATGTGTTGCTGAAAATCAGATATTGATGACTCAAATCAAGAGTTTTCACCAGAAATTTTCTGAGAAAATAACAAAAGAAGAGTTAATTTTGAACATTAAAATGGCAAAATAATGACCTTTAATGAAACAGTGATTTCATGATTTAATTGTTGATTAAACAATTTCAATAAAATTGCTTCTGAATGCCAAGTTAAAAGAAAAAAATAATCACCAAGATATACATGAAAATTGATTCACAAAAGGATAAGAGTTGTTGGAAGAAGAAGCTGTAAGAAGAGTACAGTTATTGCTATTTTAGGTTGAAAGGTTTAAAGCGATCATTCACAACATTGACACAATTTTCCCAATTTTGATTGATTTTAGTTTTTTAGTGAACATTCTTGCAGAGAGAAGTCAGTTCAAGGGGTTCAAGTTCACGCTTGCCATCCAAATCGCATTTTCAATTTGAAATCATATCAAAGAAGAAGACAAAATCTTAGCTTAAAATAGTCATCAAAAGGTTGATATTTTTTGGTTTTAATTAACAATTTTTTAAGATTTCAATTGACTGAATAGCTATGAAATGAGGTTGAGAATGGGAATAAGTAAACTCGATTCTCCTACACATTAAACCTTCGGTTTTTTATAGAAATGATAACAGCTCCATCTAGCTGTATTGTGAATGATTATGTAATCTTATGGTCAAAAAGCTGGTGTCCAGTTAGATTTCAGAGTCTGGAATCCAGACGAATCGGTCTCGAGTCTCCATCTACTCCTCTTTGATCATTTGGTGTATATCTCTAACTGAATTCTGGTATCCAGAATTTCGTAGGCGAATAGTACATCTGCAGACATGCTACAGATGTTTCCTCCCACACATGCTTTAAATAGAGGACTCTGTTTTTTCCCTACTGTGTTTAAGCATTATTACTGATTAATCTCTATTTTTTACATTTTTTGATTGAAATTCACTTTCAAACAATTTTCCATGAAACTCTTTTAGTTCAATCAAAATTTGGTATTCTGACATTATAAGTAACTATTGGATATGTAATATTTAGATTGTAAAATTATTAACTAATTCCATTTTTTTTACAGAACTTTCTTGTGGACACATTTGAATATCGTCTGCTTCGTGAAGTAGATTTTCGTGAAACAATAATCCGTCATTACTACGAGACTCTAAACATCAATTATGAAAGTGAGAACGAAATTGTTTCAGGTCAACCTTTATCAGCTCCTCAAGTCTTACAAAAACCAAGAAACTCAAAACTTGTTGAAGGATCAGATGTTACATTCCAGGCTCAAGTATCTGGTAACCCTCCACCAAAAATATATTGGTTCAAAGATGGCCGAGTTTTGTTACCTTCACAAAGAGTCTCAATTAGATTTCAGGATAATCTGGCAATCCTTCAAATTACTGATGCAACACCAGAAGATGCTGGTTACTACACAATGTTAGCAGAAAATCGTAACGGAAGAGTCGCTTCTTCTTGTCATTTAGTTATAGAAGCTTTAACTGCTTTTCAACCACAAACACCTGTTTATCAAAGGCTGGACAGTGGCGATGATCCTTCTGGTGTGTCAATGAAAGGATTGAAGCCTAATTTCATCAAAATCCCTTCTGATGTTGAGGTACCTGAAGGCAAAATGGTTCGGTTTGATTGCAAGGTTGGTGGTCGACCAGCGCCAGAAGTCAATTGGTATCACAATGGTAATCAATTATTAGATGATTATAGACACAAAATATTAATCAACGAAGGTGGTGTTCACTCTTTAATGATTCCATCAACACATCGAAATGATAGTGGACGTTACACTTGTCAAGCTCGAAATAAAACAGGAGAAGCTACTTTTGATGTCAATCTTTCCATTATTGAGAAAGAAATGATTGTTGCTCCTAAATTTGTTGAACGCTTCAAAACAACTCACGCTCATGAAGGTGAATCTGTGGTGTTACATGTTCGGGTTATTGGTACACCGATTCCTCGATTATCATGGCAGAAAGATGGCAATCAAATATTTTCATCGCCACCAAACTTGATCATTGAAACTAACAATGGTGCTTCATCATTGTTTATCAATCAAGCCACTGCAGGTGATGCGGGCTGGTACCAATGTGTAGCTGCTAATTCCGCAGGAACAGCAACTACTAGAGGTAAAGTCAATGTGACCGTTGAGCCTTATCGACAACCTGTTGAACAAACTGGTCTTTATTTACCTAAACCAAGCAAGGTTATTGAACCTGAGTCCGAACCACCGAGTGAAACTGTTTACTTGCGTCACATAGAACGTCCAAAGCCTACATTGAAACGACAAGATTCAGATGAAAGATACCATGCTACCAGACCTGCATTTACTACTCATTTAAGAGACCTTAATGTTCGTGAAGGTGATAGAGCTGCATTTGATGCTCGTTTGATTCCAATTGGAGATCCAAATTTAACTATTGAATGGTTCCACAATGACAGACCTTTAGAGGCTAGTTCAAGAGTCATGACAACTTTCAACTTTGGTTATGTCTCCTTAACTTTGCTTCATATTACTCAAGAAGATGCTGGCTTATATGTTTGTCGAGCATCCAATGAAATTGGGGAAGCCACAACAACAGCAACTTTGAATGTATGCGTTAGGCCAACTATCGAAAGATCTACAGTTTTACCTGAAAGCCTGGAAGCGATTAGGCACTTGGAAGACCACGAAAGGTATCAAAGACATCAATCAGTTGACGAAACCTTCTCAACTCTTCCTCCGGTTTTTGTCAAATCCTTAACCAATTTGGATGATGCGGTTGAAAATGGTTACGCTCATTTTGAGGCTCAAATCACTCCTGTCAATGATCCAACTATGAAAGTTGATTGGTATTTCAATGGACAGCCTCTTGCCATTGGTAAGTTTTTCATGGTTACTTATTAACTATAAAAATAGGTTTTTTTGTACATTCTTAACAATTTTCATATCAATCCGTTAACTGTTAATTTCTGCCTTGATTCCGTATTTGTTATGAAGAAGTTATGAAAAGCGGTCTAAAATTAGCATTTATTTGTAAGTTGACAGATGCTTTAAATGGCATTCAAAATGTTTTGTGAATCATTCAGTGGATTCATTTCATTCTCTTAGTAACTATTTTTAGATTAAACGATGCTGATTATCTAATATCTTAACATTAAGACTAACTCGTGTGATGAAACAAGTTTATGTTGAAGTAAAGATTATCGTAATTCAACTACTTATTCAGATGCTTCATAATCATGACTGCATTAAATAATTTCAAAATTCTTGTTAATTAGTAGAATTAAAACTAGAATTTTGTAAATTTAGTTTTGATAATTTTTACACCAATTTTCATTGAAATAGATTCAAGTTCGAAATGTGGAAATGGAATTGAATTCATTTTTTAACAATTAATCAAAAAGGAGTGATTACTATTCCCAAAATGTTACATTTTCATGGTTACGAACCAAGTAATTTTGTTTTAGACTAACTAATTGAATCTTTGCTTATTCCATTTATTCTTATGAATTCAGGTTCGCGGATAAGTACTATTTTTAGCTTTGGTTATGTTGCATTGAACATTTCTTATTTGAGGATTGAAGACTCGGGTGTTTACATGTGTAAAGCAACCAATTCCAAAGGTGAAGCTGTTTCAACAGCAACTCTGAAAATTAGAGGCACTGGAACAGTTACAACACGTACTGATTTAGAAGAGCAACAAGAGTTTATCCGTAAAACTCAAGAACTTGAAGCATATCGACAAGCTTATCATGGATCAGTTTATGAAGATTCACTCCCTTCTGATCCTCCAACATTCAAGCGCCATTTAACCGATCAAATTAATATCTTGGAAGGAAGAACAGCTCACTTTGAAGGTACTTTGGAACCAACTGGTGATCCATCAATGAAAGTTACCTGGTTAAAAGATGGCTATCCTGTGGAAGCTTCATCAAGGATAAATAGTTTCTTCAACTTTGGTTACGTAGCTTTAACCATCGAAAAACTTGAGCTTCGTGATACTGGTCAATATACTTGTATTGCTTCCAACAATCAAGGTCAGGCTCAAACATCAGCTAGACTTACTGTCATATCAAAAAAGTCAATTATAACCGATGTTCAATATGAAGACGGTTGGGAAAAGATTCGTCATCTTGAGGATTCGTCTCGATATCACGGGACTCGTGAAGAGGAAATTGAAATTAACGAGAAACCCAAGTTTACAAGTCCGTTGATAGGACCTGATAATCTAGTTGAGGCCAAATCTGCTCACTTTGAAACACGATTAGAACCTATGAGTGATCCAACTATGCGAGCTGAATGGTTTTTCAATGGACGCCCATTGACAACTGGTCATCGATTTAAAACATATTTCGACTTTGGTTATGTTGCATTAGACATTTTGTACGTTTTCCCCGAAGACACTGGTTTGTTTACTGTTCGTGCAACTAATAAACTTGGGGAAGTTAGCTTGAGTAAACAATTAACAGTAACTTCTCGATCGTCTATAGACACATCAACAATCCATGAAACTTCAATGAAACATATCCAATACCTAGAGCGTGGTCATGATGAACCATCATATGCAATTGATGATTATTCCAAAGTGAAACCTTATTTTGTACAACCTCTTCGTAATCCTAATCATGAGCTCCAAGAAGGATCTAAAGTACACCTAGAAGCTCAAATTGAACCTGTTAACGATCCATCTCTAACAGTTGCTTGGTTCTTCAATGGAAAGCCTTTAAAAACTGGTTCACGATTTGTGACACGATTCGATTTCGGTTATATATCGTTAGATATTTTAGACCTTTTCTATCAAGATACGGGTGAATATACAGTGAAAGTAACTAATCAACTAGGATCCGCTCATTCATCTGCATCTATCAAAGTGACCAAAGATTCAAGAGTTGTTACTGCATCTCAATACCCAGATTCTGCTGAACAAATTAGACACCTTGAAGATCACTCAAGATACAAGAGACAAGAAATGGTGGAAACTTCAGTTGATCGTGCTCCAATTTTCACCAAACCATTGAAAAATGTCGAAACATTTGAAGGTACTAATGTTCATCTTGAGAGTCGATTACTTCCTTCTGGGGACAACTCAATGGTTGTTGAGTGGTTTGTGAATGGTGTTGCACTTCCAGTTGGCCATAGGTTCCGTCCACGTTATGATTTTGATTTCATTTCCCTTGATTTACTTGGTGTTTATGCTCAAGACTCAGGTATTTACACTTGCAAAGCTAAGAACGCTTTGGGTGAAGCCGTTACAAGTTGTAATATAACAATTTATGCAAAAGATCCATCAGTTATCCAAGAATCTCAACACCCAGAAGCTTACCAACAGATTCAACATTTGGAAGATCATTCAAGGTACAAAAGGTCAACTTCAACTGAAGAGATAGTCGCTATGAAACCCAAATTTTTGATGCGATTCAAAGATGTTGCAATTCGTGAAGGTGGTGTTGCTCACTTTGAATGTCGAATTGAACCCATAAATGATCCTAAACTTAGAGTTGAATGGTATCACAATGGAGTTCAGATGATGGTTGGAAGTCGTTTTCAGCCTTTCCATGATTTTGGTTATGTAGCTTTGAATATACTTAAATGTATTGAAGAGGATTCTGGTGTTTATACTTGCCGTATTATTAATGAGTTAGGGTCGGCTGATATGAATGTCAATTTAAAAGTTTTATCTGAAGCATCAATAGAGCTGTCATCTAATAATCCGGAAGCATTCAAGAAAATAAGACAGCTAGAAGATTACTCAAGATACCAACGTGAACAAGTTGACGAAGAAGTTATTCGTTCAGGTCCCGTTTTCACAACAGCTCCTAGAAGTTTGGTTATCAATGAAGGAGAAAGAGCAAGGTTTGAATGTTCCTTAACTCCAGTTGGTGATCCTAATTTGAAGGTAAATATAGTCAAAAACACTCTTCTAAACTGGCTTACCTTCACTTTATGAGCATTTTATTTCTAGATCTGAATATTGATAAAAATATGTGATTTTATTTTTTTAGGTCGAATGGTTCAAAGATGGCAAACCAGTTAAACAAGGCACAAGATTTGTGCAAATATTTGATTTTGGATTCGTTGCTTTGGAAATTATGGGAACTTATGAGGAAGACTCTGGTCGATATACCTGTAAAGCTACCAATGCTTTTGGCGAAGCTGTTACTTCAGCTGACTTGAAATGTCATGGAAAAAAATCTTTGATTACTGAGCCTCAACTACCCGAAAGTTTAGAAGCTATACAGGCTCTTGAAGGTCATGGACGTCGAGTGCGCGCCCAAATTGATGAACCTGTCACAACTCAAGCACCTATTTTCACATCTGCTATGAAAAATATTGAGCTTCAAGAAAATGGATCAGCACATTTTGAGACTCGAATAATTCCCGTTGGTGATCCAACTCTGCAAGTTGAATGGTTCCAAAATGGGCTACCTTTGTTGCAAGGTTCAAGAGTACGAACACAACATGATTTTGGTTATGTTTCATTAGATCTTCAACGAGTTTTACCTGAAGATTCAGGTACTTATACATGTAAAGCAACTAATGCATTAGGACAAGCAATGACCTCTGCAACTTTAAAAGTAACACCAACTGGTTCAATCTTGGTTGATTCACAATTCCCTGAAGGATTACAAAAAATAACCCAATTAGAATCACAACAAAAATATGTGCGAGAACAATTTGATGATCGTCCAACAGACTCAAAACCAGTTTTTGTAACTGCATTAAAAGGTCCTTCCGAATTAGTTGAAGGCTCATCTGGTCACTACGAATGCCGCATTGAACCTTTTCCAGACTCAACAATGAAGGTTGAATGGTTTCGTAATAACCAACCCTTAACATTGGGGCATCGTTTTAGAACAATGTTCGACTTTGGTTTCGCTGCTCTAGATATACTTCAAGTTATCTCTGAAGACTCAGGCGAATACACAATTAAAGCTTCAAATCATTTAGGAAGTGCAACCTCATCCATTTCTATTCGAGTCAAGGGTAAAGAGTCCATCATTTTAGAGCCGCAGCAACCTGACTCTATTGCCAAAATCCGTGCCCTTGAAGGTCAAAACAGATACTATCGTGAAGAGATTCGAGATGTGGAAATTCGAGAAAAACCAAACTTTGGTCGTCCATTATACAACCTGGATAATCTTCATGAAGGGCAAACTGCTCATTTAGAGGCAACATTGACGCCTGTAAATGACCCTTCAATGCATGTTGAATGGTTTGTTAATGGAGTCCCAATAGCCACTGGAAGTCGATTCAAAACAATGCACGATTTTGGATACGTAGCTTTAGATATAGCCGATGTAGTCCCAAGTGATTCCGGTGTTTATATGTGTAAAGCTACTAATAAAAATGGTGAGGCTGTAGTTACTTGCTCTGTTCGTGTCACTGGAAGTTCACATATTGAAACGAACACTTTGCATGAAGAATCACTTGCACAAATACAAAGACTAGAGTCAACTTATGTAAGGCCAGTTGAAGCCCCTTTGCCTCCACAACAACGCCCTATTTTTACTAAGCCGCTAAAAAGTTTGGACGGTTTGAAGGAAGGTCAATCTGCTCACCTTGAGTGTCGATTAGAACCCATTAATGATCCCAAATTGCGCGTTGAATGGTTTGTCAATGGAACTGCTATAAAAACAGGACATCGTTTCCGAACTACCCATGACTTTGGCTATGTAGCTTTGGATATTTTGTATGTTTTCCCCGAAGATTCGGGAACTTATTTCTGTAGAGCAACTAATGAACTTGGTGAAGCTGTTACTACAGCTTCCATTGCTGTTGCCGCTAAAAAGTCAATTCTCTCAGATACTTATCATCCCGAAGGTTTGGAGAAGATTGCAGCTTTAGAGGCTCAGGGATTACCTCAAAGAGCTGAAATCGAAGATAGACCCATTTCTAAGCCTGTTTTTGTTTCTGAACTTCGAGGTCGAACTGAATATAATGAAGGTCAAGCTAGTCATTTTGAAGGGCGCATTGAACCCGCACACGACCCGAATTTAAAGGTTGAAATGTATCACAATGGAAAGCTTCTCTCGGCTGGTAAGTACCATTTTATTGACTATTATGAAATCAAGTAATTCTTTGGCCTCTTCCAAATAAATTTTACTATATTATACTTACATGTAAATTAGTTGAAATTAAACAGTTGGAAGAGGATATACCTGTGGTTAGCCAATAAGTTTATTTGAAGTATTTTTTCATTGGTAACAAAATTACTTTGTAATAATACTATTTAATTCTTTTCGTCAAACAGGTGCAAGATTTCATAGAATATTTGACTTTGGTTATGTCGCACTTGATATAATGTGTTTAGTTCCAGAAGATAGTGGCACTTATACTGTAAGAGCTTTTAATCAACTTGGTGAAACTCGAAGTTCAATCACTCTTCAAGTTCATGGTTAGTCGATTGTAGTTATATTTCATTGGCTATGAACTTTATCTAACATTATTTTAAATTTACAGGAGCGTCGTCCATCCTTTCAGATACTCTGCATTCGTCTGCTCTCCCAAAAATTCATCATCTCGAGAATCCTGTTATCGTTGAGAAAAATCAGGAAGTAGCTACTTTTCAAAGGCCTGTTTTCACACAGACTTTGACTAACCTTGATAATCTGATTGAAGGAGGATCTGCTCATCTTGAATGCAGACTAATCCCAGTCGGTGACTCTAATTTAAAAGTTGAATGGTTCCGTAACTCAGCACCATTGCAAATAGGTGAGATTCGATAAAAAAAATATCTTTCGGCTTAGCCATTAAACTATTCAACAATAGATAGAACTAATTTTTATATTTTGTTTATCATTCAATTTTAGGATCTAGATTCAAAACTGTTCACGATTTCGGATATGTTGCTTTGGATATCATGTATCTAATGCCTGATCAAGATGCAGGTATTTATATGTGCAAAGCAACTAATCAACTCGGAGAAGCGATCACCTCTTGTTCATTAAAAATTAAAAGTAAGTAACTGTGTTGACTTTGATTAAAACAAATTACTTGTTTATGAATCTGTAATTATTTTCAACTTATTATGTTTTAACAGCTAAAGCTGCGCTTGAATTGGACACAAAACATCCTGAAGGATTACAAAAGATTCGTCAGCTTGAGGAGTCAAGCAATAAGATTGAAGCTTTTGTTCCTGAAAAAATTTACGAAAGGCCAGTTTTTACTGCACCTTTATCTGGTCCCAATGAAATACATGAAGGACAACCTATTCATTTTGAAGCGCGAGTTATTCCAACAGATGATCCTAATTTGACGATCCATTGGTTTGTTAATGGAGTAGAGTTAAAATCTGGTAGTTAAAGTTCCATTAACGGATGATATTCAATCTTCACAAATTACCTAATTAATTTTATGTTATTTTTCTTTTAGGATCTCGATTCCGTGTTGCCAATGATTTCGGTTTCGTAACTCTGGATATTGCCTATGCATACTCAGAAGATTCAGGAATTTACATGTGTAAAGCAGTTAATGCAGCAGGAGAAGCTGTTACATCTGCCTCGGTTAGAGTTAAATCAAAATCATCCATCCTTTTAGACTCACTTCACCCAGAAGCAGTACAAAAAACTGCATGGCTTGAAAATGCAGCCTCGCGAGTTCCTGAAAGAATCGAAACGAAATCTGTTAAAGCTCCTGTTTTCACTAAACATTTAACATCTCACGAGATGTTAGTTGAAGGTCAAAATGTTCACATTGGAGGGCGAGTTGAGCCAGTTGATGATGAAAAGTTAATTGTTCAATGGTACAAGAATGGTAAAATTTTGGAAGAAGCATCAAGAATCATTTCTAGATTTGACTTTGGCATTGTAAGTTTAGATGTTGTTGGTGTTAGGCCCGATGATTCGGGTATTTACACTTGCAGAGCGGTCAATGAAGTTGGTGAAGCAATTTCTACCTGCACAATCAAAGTGGAAGGTAAAGTCGACTCAATATTTGAGATAGATATCAATTTAATATAATTATCTGATTGTTTTCGTTTTAGGTAGAGAAGGCTTGGTGCTTGGAACTGAACATCCTGAAAGTCTACAAAAAATTCGTGAACTTGAATCAGTTCAAGTTTTGCGAAAAGAACCTGTTGAACCTGAATTTTCAGCTCCTGTTTTTATTACCCACCTGAATAATGTTGAGCTAAAAGAAGGAGAAACAGCTCATTTTGAATGCCGAGTTGAACCTTCTAAAGATAACAGTTTGAAGATTGAATTTTTCCATAATAATAGACCTTTGCAAACAGGCTCTAGATTCTCAGTTAAAAACGATTTTGGTTTCATTACATTAGACATTTCATCTACTCAGGCCGAAGATTCTGGAATTTACACCTGCAAAGCAACAAATGCAAAAGGTCAAGCATTATCAACAGGATCTTTGAAGGTTACTTCAAAATCATCAATAATTTTGACACCACAACATCCAATGGGACCAGAAGCTTTGGAAAAAATTCAACAGTTGGAAGCTCGATCAGGCTATATTACACCAATTGTAGCTGATATCACTTATCCTAAACCCTATTTTGTAGTCCCTCTTCAACCTAATTTTGCTACTGAAGAAGGTAAACCTCTTCATCTCGAATGTCGCATTGAACCATCAGCTGATCCTAATTTAACAATTGAATGGTTTGTCAATGGGAAACAACTTGATATGGGAAATCGATTCAATCTGATCAATGATTTCGGTTTTGTAGCACTCGATTTCAAGGATACTTGGGATCGAGATAGCGGAATTTACACATGTAAAGCTAAAAATGGTCAAGGTGAAGCTTTTACATCAACAACTATTCTAGTTTTATCATCTGAAACTTCAATTATCGAGTCGACTCTTCACCCAGAAGGTAAAAGAGGATTGGAAGAGATTCAAAGACTTGAGGAGTCATTAAGGCGCAAAGAAATCACTTTAGCTCCAGAAGAAGGCCGCGCTCCTGTATTCACAAGCCAATTTAAGCCAATGTCTAATTTGTCAGAGGGAGATTCATCTCACTTTGAGGCTACTCTTGAACCAGTTGGTGATCAAACTATGACCGTTGAATGGTTCCATAATGGCAAAACTCTGAGTGTTGGTCATCGAATAAGAACTTATTATGCTTTTGGTTTAGTTCTTCTTGAGATCGTTGATTTGAGGCATGAAGATGAAGGTGAATATAAATGTGTGGCCAAAAATAAATGGGGATCAACTGAAGCTTTTGTTAATTTGACCATAATTGATCGAGAAAAAGGTGAAAAGCCTAAATTTACAAGACAACTTAATTCATTATCTAACCTGAAAGAAGGGGATTCAGCTCATTTTGAATGCAATCTTATTCCAGTTGGTGATCCTAATTTGTTTGTTAAGTGGTTCCACAACCGAGTAGAGCTTCGTGAATCATCTAGAATCAAAACCTTGTCTGACTTTGGTTTTGTTGTCATGGATATTTCATTTGCACACGAAGAAGATTCAGGGGAATATGTTTGTGTTGCTACAAACAAATATGGTTCAGATGTAACTCGTTGTAATTTATCAGTTACTGGCTCAGGAGGAATATTGAGAGATTCATTGCAGCCTCAAAGCTTAGGAGCTATTGCTGCTCTAGAAGGAGCTAATACCAGCTTTAGTAGAAGTCATGTTCAAGTTGATTCAACTTTGTCTGCTCCACCTAAATTCATTACACAGATTGTCTCATTAACAGGATTAGTTGAAGGACAATCAGCTCATTTTGAAGCACAACTATCTCCTCCAAATGATCCATATTTGAAGACTGAGTGGTATGTTAATGGTAAATTACTTCCCAATGGTCATCGTTTCAGAACCTTCCATGACTTTGGAATAGTTATTCTTGACATTCTCGATTGTGTTGCCGAAGATTCAGGAGAATATGTGTGTAAAGCAATTAATAAATTAGGAACAGATATCACAAGAGCAACATTAATTATTAAAGCTAAATCATCCGTTATTTATGATCCTCAAATTCCACCAGAGATGACATCGAATGAAAGAATCATTGAGATAGAAGAGATGAGATCACGAAGACGTACTGAGATCACGGAGGTGACTCGAAGTGAAGCTCCAAGGTTTATAAAACCTTTAGAGAATCCACCAGTTCTGAGAGAAGGTGAAAATGCTCATCTTGAGGCTAAATTAACACCTACAGATGATCCTGATCTGCAAGTATTGTGGTTTAAAAATAGTATTGCGCTTCAAGCATCTACGAGAATGCGAACTATTCATGATTTTGGTTTTGTTGTACTCGAAATCAGTCCCATTTATCCAGCTGATTCTGGAGTTTATACATGCAAAGCTGTGAATAAATTTGGTGAAGCTGTCACTACATGTACTATTCAAGTTACCGGTAAAAGATCCATTATTTTAGAGAGTCAATTACCTGAAGGAATGGAGGGTGGAATTGAAAAGATTGCTGCTATCGAAGAAGCCGCTAATAATAAGATTAGTGAGGTCACTTTAGATACCGAAATTAAACAGGCACCCAAGTTTTTGAGTCAACCAGATGATCAAGAGCTACCCGAAGATGCCATGGCACACTTTGAGTGCCGATTAACTCCTACTACAGACCCAACTATGAAAGTCGAATGGTTCTTTAATGGACGATCATTAGTTACTGGAAGTCGTGTAAAAACTATTTCTGATTTCGGTTTCATCATTTTGGAAATTGCTGGTGTCTATTCTCGTGACTCGGGAATTTACACATGTAAAGCATCCAATGCATATGGTGAAGCAACGATTTCCTGCCGATTAACAGTAAAGTCAAAACAATCTATTATTTTGGAGCCTCAACTACCTGAATCATTTATCACGGGTACTGAATCTATTCAAAAGTTGGAGGAAAATCTTTGGCGAACACCTGAAATGATTTATGATCAAGAAAAGTCAATGCCGCCAAGATTTGTCACTCATCTTAAAGAGTTGGACAAGATTGAAGGTGAATCTGCTCATTTTGAATGTCGATTAGAACCGGTGGGTGATCCTCATTTGCGTATCGAGTGGTATCATAATGGGGTTCTCTTGCTGACTGGATCAAGAGTGCGAACTGTTAACGATTTTGGATTTGTCGTTCTCGAAATCGATTGGTTACTACCCAGAGATACTGGTGAATATGTTTGTCGAGCAACAAATAAATTTGGTACTGATGTGACAAAAGCAGTCTTGAAAGTTAAATGTAAGTTTTTGAATGAATTCTCATTTTGTATATTAACCTGTTTTGTTTTTTCTCCTCACTTTTCCAGCGAAACGTGACATTATCTTAGATCCTCAGCTTCCACCTGAATTTTCAGTTGATAAATTAAAACAGTTGGACATGAGATCGAAGAGTGTTGCTATTGAAGAAGAATCCAAGCTTCAAGCTCCTCGATACATTACGCAAATCCAATCTCTTGAAAATCTAGTCGAGGGAGACTCGGCTCATTTTGAATGTAAACTGCTACCTGTCGATGATCCAAATCTTCGTGTTGAATGGTATCATAATGGTGAACCTCTTATCACTGGCCATCGATTCAAAACCACTCATGACTTTGGTTTTGTTGCGTTGGATATTTTATACATTCACCCAGAAGATTCTGGTGAATATATTGCACGAGCAGTTAATCAAGTTGGTGAAGATTTAACCCGAGCTATTATTAGATGCCGCGCTCGACAAAAGATTATTTATAATCCACAATTACCCAAAGAAATGGAAAGTGGTATCCAAAAAATTGCTCAAATCGAGTCATCACGTCAAAGGTAAGTAGGTAAGATTGTCCAGTTGTTAAAGTTTCTAATGATTTTAATTTTATTCAATTTAGATTTGAAAGTGCTGCTGATGCTGGTAACCAAGAAAGAGGGCCTCCAATGTTTGTTATGAAACCTGAACCTCAAACAGTTCTTGAAGGAGAGTGGGCTAAATTTTGCTGTCGTGTAATTGGCTATCCTCGACCTAGAGTCATGTGGGTTCTCAATGGTAACACCATTATTAATGGGTCGAGATACAAGCTTAGCTATGATGGAATTTATCATTTGGATATTCCTAAATCGAGACAATATGATAAAGGCAAGGTCGAGGTTTATGCTCGCAACATTCTAGGTGAAGCCCATTGTTGGACCTCGTTAGATGTTAGACCAAGGAATGATGATTATCGGGCAGTTCTCAAACATTCACCAAGGCGTAAGTTTCTCAATAGGTGTTAATTAATAGTGATTATTGTATTAGTTGATTTCTATCGATAATCATTTTCTTCTTTTGCTTTGTGTGTAGCCTGGTACGATTATGATATAAGTAGATATCAGAAGGAGCGAAAAGAAACTGAATTAGACAAAATATTTGAAGAGAAGCTCACACCTGGAGGAACCGAGAAAGAAGTTTGGAGAACTGAAGAACTCAGTGAAGATGAAAGAGTCAAAATAAGGGAATTCCAAACAGATCAAGAAGTAAGCTGAAAACTAATGATAATTAATTTTTCAAGTTTTAACCTTCTTATTTGACTTTGATTCAGGGAAGACCTGAAATTAAAAAGTACACAACTGAAGCTGTTTATGCCGATAAAAAAGCTATTCAAGAAGTCAAACCTGCCGGACAATCAAATGTTTCGTGGATGGCTAAGTCTTATCAGACTCATGTTGAATCCCAATCGAAAGATCCCCTCGAATCTGTTGTGCATGGTAAAGAGATTTATACTAAACAACAGAAGCAAATTCAGAAAGAACTCCAAGGAGATCTTGAGATAACAAGAAAAATCAAAACAACTGAAACGATGTCACAAGAGCATAAAGGAGTAACTAAAGAGAGACGAGTGATTGGACCGCCAAGAAAAACGAAACCACCTGAATTTACTAAGAAAATACAACCTGTTCGTGTATATGAAGGTGAAAGAGCTACATTTGAATGTCACTTTTCCGGAGATCCAGTTCCTACTATCATCTGGTTCCGTGAAAACTTTGAAATTCAAAATTCGAGAGATTTCCAGGTTAGCGAAATCGAAATTTCTTAGAAATGCTATTTTCAGTTATGATTTATTAATATTTTGTTTTGAACTTTTTTTAATTGATTATATTCAGATTGAGACTACAGATAATAAGTCAAGTCTCACTATCCGTGAAGTTTATCTCGAAGATTCTGGTGTTTTTTCGGTAAAAGCAGAAAATGCTGTTGGTTCGGCAAAAAGTTCAGCCAATCTTGTTGTTGAAGGTATGTTAATATAATTTTGATAAATGATTTTTATTAAACTATCAATAATTGTTAAATAATGCAATAAACTTTTAATCGTCACAGAACGCAAAGACCATAAGTCGGGAGCTGTTCCTCCTAGTTTCTCCAAGACGATTGAAGATACTCGAGCATCTGTTGGTGAATTGGTTCGTCTTGACGCTAGAGTCATTGGCTCTAAACCATTGGATGTATATTGGCTTAAAAATGGTTCAAAAATTTTACCCGGAGTCACTCATAAAATGATTGATGATGAAGACCAAAATACACTTCTTATATTGGAAGCTGTTCCTGAAGATTCTGGTAATTATGAGTGTGTAGCCATCAATCAAGTTGGTGAAGCTCGATGTCAAGCAAGAGTGGCCATCGATGGACCTAAAACCCCGTCAGTACCATCAACACCAACCACACCATTGTCAGGAAAGGAAAGACCACCGATGTTCACCGAGCAATTGAAAGATATTAAAGTCAATGAAGGCGAACCAGTAACTTTCAAATGTAAAATTAGCGGAGTGTCAGGTGAGTTGCTGCATTTTTAGAAAAATGTTCATTTTAAATGCCATTAATATCATTGATGATAATTAATCAATCTTGCATTCTTTTAAACATAATCAGCATCTCAAGTTTCTTGGTACAAAGGAGATAGTTTAATTAAACAATCTCGATACTTCCGAATGGGACACGAAAGAGATGCATTCACTTTGAAAATATCGGAAGCTTTCCCGGAAGACGAAGGTGTTTACAAGTGCATAGCTACCAATTCACTAGGGAGTGTTACCTCATCAGCTCGACTTCAAGTGATTCGTATGTAAAGGCTCATCTTGTATTAATTTAACGCTTAATTGATGATTCGTTTTCTTTTTATTTTCCAGTTCCTGATTCATTGTCTTCTTCACCAAGCTTGAGTCCATTACAAGATCTAAGAGTTCCTGTTGGAAATCCAGCTCGTTTTGTCACCTCTATTTCAGGTTGTCCAACTCCATCGATATCATGGTACAGAGAAGGACAACTAATTCAACATACCCGCGATTTCCAGGTGAATTTTTGCGATTAATCTTGCAACTTAAACATTTGACTGATCTTTTTTTTTCATCTTTCAGATGTTCCAAGATAATGCGTCTTGTTCTTTGGTTATTCGTCAAGTTTACCCTGAAGATAGTGGTACTTATGTTTGTCGAGCAACAAATGACAGTGGACAAGCTGAAACATCTGCTCGATTAATTGTGGAACAAATTAGGAAATAATTAATTGAAGATTTTCACTATTATTACTCATCTATAATCTCATAATAATGATACCACTACAATGGATCTCATCAAAACATATTCATAAATCTGTAACTCGTTGAAATTTCAAACTTTAAATAATTGAAACTAAGCAACGGTATCAATTAATATAAATTATCTCGTGTTCTCGCCCTTTCACCGACATTTTATTTTATTTTTGTCCTGTCTTGATCAATTGTTATATTATTTATGCTCAACTGTTCTTAAATCAACTATTGTTATTTGCTTAATGTTAACTGTTATATTTTGAAAGGGAAAACAATTACTGTTAGAGTTATTACTATGGTTCATGTTTCAAAGTACATGGTGATGAATAGTCTTAAGTTCCCAAAGCTTACAGCAAATACATCTACATGTAATACTCTTATATACTCTTGTGGACTTGCAAACTGATGTAAATTTTGCTCACCAATCAATGATATAAATATAATGTATTAACTTTCTAACTACAATTTAGCTCTGTTCTTAATTATAATTGATTAATTGCAACTATTCTTGAAGTTTGTTTTTCCTTTTCAACTTGAATAACAAGTTGCTAATTAAATAAATCAGAATTTGTGTCATTCTTTATTACTTTGTGAACCTTTATCGCGTTCTCTCAAATAGTAACTCGAACCACGATCATTTTACCTTCTATGATTGTATGAACCGGTCTATCTATTGAGTAGATGAAAGAAATGAAATCATTAAACTACTCATAATAAAAACAATTTGAAATAACCTAATAATATACTTTTGAATATTTAAAAGCAACATTATTCTTTATTGTCAAATGCTTGATTCTCAGCTAAAGCCAATCGTTTTGATTCAAATTCATATTAGAAAAAATTAGTTTGAAAGAAAAAATTCTGAAAGTACGCAATTTCGCGTGTTAGTTTAATAGAAATAATTCAGTATAAACTTGCACTGAAAACAGAACGAGAAAGTAAAATGAACTATGAAAGTTGGAAGTAGGAAGCACAAAAAGAGCTTGCAAGGGATAGTCAGCTTTTGTGTGAAAAAGAGTTTGTTCAATTCTGCAATTGATTTAAATTCAAGTTATTTATCTACAACCTTATATGCTAATTACAGTTAAATTTTTCAAGTTAGTTCAGCAAATGTTCTGATGATCGAACAATGCAAAGAATAAAAACACTTTTGGTTAACTTGAAGAGTATTTCCTTCTATCTGTAAGTTTTAAAAGATAGCTTCGCAACAAGTAAGTTTTTCAGTTCTACTTCCGAGAAAAAATAATTCGAATAACAAGTTGCTGATCGTTCAATCCTGGTATATTAGCAAACTCACAAAACTTGAACTGCGACAAAACATAGGTTTTTACATTCATTTTCCTTAGTAGACATTTCAAAAATAATAGACATAAAAATGTTCGTCTTATTTCTTTCTTTTACTCTTTCTCGTCATCATCTTCTTCATCTGTACGCTATTTATTAATAGAATTGCGATTTCTTTAAGCTTTATTTCTCAGTCTTAAGTAAAGTGCAGTTTTGGTTTCATTTATTGGAATAAAGCTTCAGATTACAGTTTGATATTGTCCTCTGCTGTACCAAATGAATAGATAGAAAGAGATTGGGAGTTGAAAAGTTGATTCTCCCATAATATTATAAAATATCTGAAAGAAATCTCGTTAAATTGATTTGCATCTCTACCTGTATATCTTCCGTGTGTGCGCTACCTGACTGGAAGACATTGAGTACTTGATCTTGGTCGAATTACTGTTACATGAAATGATCCATTAATGCCAATTGCTTTTGGATTATTTCAGGTGAAATTACAGACGAAACGAAATTTTAGACATAATGACAGTCGATTCAATAAGTATTGGAATATAATGAATCTGGAAACATTCAAATGCTAAAATAGATTGTTGAGTTGAAAAGATGAGACGATGTTGAAGACTGGCAAAAGGCCCAAGCAGATTCTGTTGAAGAGAACAATCTATTTTAGTTTCATCCAGTTACAAAGTCGAGTTATGAATCGCATGTAACAGCGCAATTTCTGTGGTTTGACCTGATTCCCAATTTAGATGTATCTTGTTGTTTCATCTTCATTCTCAATCTTTGTTGCTAATTAAACTAAACTAAGCTTTCTGATTCGTTTCGCAAACAAAATAGACAGAGAAAACTGATGAAAGAAAGGGAATAGTTTTATTTTGTTTTCTCAGAAGATCCTTAAATCTACTTCAATTGTTTTAGCTTTAATTTATTTATTTTTTATTCCAATTTTGTTAAAAGTTTTTCAATTATTTTTATTCAAGTATAACAACAATGAAATCCAGGAAAAGTTATTCAAATCAAACAAAAAATGGATAAATTATGTGCTTCTGTGTTAATCTCTCAGTTTATTACTGTGATTATTAAATATCGACCTTCACTCGAATAAATTCGTGTCAAATTAGTGATAAAATCAATTCACAATGGGAGATACTGAAGCTGGATCGGAACAAGATGATGTGTCATTCCTACGAACTGTAAGTTTTCACTTCTACTTCACAAAATTTAGCTTTAAATTCATCTTTTATAATGAAAATATAATAATCGAAATGAACTTCTTTTACTTAACTTACATACAAAAAGTATCAAGTTTTACTTTGAACATTAACTGATGAAGTTCAATAGGAATGTATAAATCAAATCTATTATAAATAAACAAGTGTTGAAACGTAATTTAACTCAAAACTAAAATAGTTCAATTTGTTGCTATTAAAAGAAGGTTCAACTTATCATTCGAGACTATCACTGGGTTCTATGTAAAAAAGACAAATAAACTCGCAGAAATGCTGTTTCAGTGAAGCGATTTAAAGCTAAACCTTCGGAGTTCATTTAGAAACACATGGATACAAAACTAGAGATCGAACTTTTAAATTTGGACTCGATTTTCTCAAATCTCTTTTTTCATGCGATTTTCACCACCCAATTTCACAAAATTGTTCACTGCTTCCATATAAGATTCAGTTTATGATCAATTGGTGGTGTTTAATGGTTCATGTGTTAGATCAGATGTTTGATTTGATAGATGTTTAACTTGAATTTTTCCTTGTTAATCATCGGTATTTAGTATTGTAAGGGGCGAAGAGGATCATAGGGTCGAAGATAGTAAAAGGAAAAAGCAGAAAATTGCAAAAGATGATAAAAGAGGCCTTTAGGTCAGTATAGACTCATAGACAATGATTCAACTTTTATTGAGAAATGTTTTGGTATAATGTAATTCCTTTGCATTTCAGATTGAAATTTTTAGTCAGCATCACTTTATTAAATTATGAGAAAATTTCGGGATAATCCAATTGTACTCTTCAAGAGTTAAACTATCCAGTTACCATGTTAAATTGATAATTTCTAATTGAATTGCTTTCAATGATTTCAGGATGATATGGTTTGCTTACAAAGCACGGCAACAGGAACTCGAATCTGTTTGGCTGCTGAAGGCTTTGGTAATCGTCATTGTTTTCTTGAAAACATTGCGGACAAAAATTTTCCACCGGAACTATCTTCATGTGTATTTGTAATTGAACAAGCGTTATCTGTTCGAGCTCTTCAAGAGATGGTAACTGCTGAAGCTCAAGGAACTTCTGAAGGTGGAGGAAGTAAAGGAGGTTCAGGAGGTAGCTCAAGAACCTTGCTTTATGGTCATGCCGTGTTACTTCGTCATGGTCACTCTAAAATGTACTTGGCCTGCCTTTCATCTACCAGTTCATCCAGTGATAAATTAGCATTTGATGTTGGTCTTCAAGAGCACTCACAGGGTGAAACATGTTGGTGGACTGTGCATCCTGCCAGCAAGCAAAGGTCAGAAGGTGAAAAAGTACGAGTTGGAGATGAAATAATTTTGGTCAGTGTGGCAACAGAAAGATATCTAGTAAGTTACCTTTATTAAATTGTTGATTGAAATTGTTTCAGAAGGAAAATGGATAAGAATTTTAGTCAACATGAGTTCCTATGAGTTAATTCATTTTGACTCGTTGAAAAGTTATAAATAAATGTTCGAGTTGGATGATTGTTAAACTTCATTTTATCTGTTGGACTTGACACTTTTCCAATTAGAGTTATTCGATTTTGTTCACTTTTCTTCGTTTCTGGCAAAATATCAAAGATTGTTGCAACGATTTAATTCATTTTATTATGTTTCGCTTTTTTGATGACTTCACTGAATAGCATACAGCAAAAGAAGAGGAACGCAGTATTGTTGATGCCAGTTTCAAATTGACCCATTGGTCAGTTGCTCCTTTCGGTACTGGACTCAGTCGAACCAAGAATGTTGGATTTGTTTTCGGTGGTGACGTTCTCAGGTTTTACCATGGGGGCGATGAATGCCTTACTGTTCCAGCTAATTGGAATGAATCAACGGGACAGAATATGGTGATTTATGAAGGTGGACCAGTGATGTCTCAGGCTCGATCTTTATGGAGACTTGAATTGGTTCGAACCAAATGGGCTGGAGGATTCATTAACTGGGGCTACCCTTTGCGCATTGTTCATATAACAACTGGACGCTACTTAGGAATGACCGATAAATTTGAAATTTGTCTTGTTGCTCGAGAAAACGCAACTGTAGCTGAAACAGCTTTCTGTTTGAGACAAAATAAAGATGATAAAAAGATCGCAATCGATGAAAAGGAGGAGGAAGTAATTGGTTTACCTTTGATCAAATATGGTGATACTTCGTTCTTTTTGCAGCACATTGAAACGGCTTATTGGTTGTCTTATCGTTCTTATGAAACTAAGAAAAGAGGAATCGGTAGGGTCGAAGAGAAACAGGCCATTCTTTCGGAAGAAGGTAAAATGGATGATGGACTGGAGTTTTCACGATCTCAAGAAGAAGAAGCTAAAACGGCTCGAGTTATTCGCAAATGTGGTATAATGTTCAACAAGTTTATAAGAATTTTGGATTGTTTGTACACTCAACGATTTGTTCATGGAGCTCGAATGGCTTCAACTCGACAAAGTACAATGCATGGAGGATCAGTCCATGGAAAGAAAAGTCCAACAGAGGGAATGGTGGGTTCACCACCAGGTTCACCACCTAGAGGTAGTGGTGGTTCATCCATGGCCATTCATCAGATAACTTCAAGTGCTGTGTTGCCACAGTGCGACCAAGAAGAAATGGTTATGTGTTTGGAAGATTTGATTGCTTACTTTGAACAACCTCAAGAAGATATTGATCACGAAGAGAAGCAGATTAGACTGAAAGCACTTCGTAATCGACAAGACTTGTTTCAAGAAGAAGGCATTCTCAATCTGATTTTAGAAACAATCGATAAGATAAATACAACCACTAATCAGGGTTTATTGCACTTACTTCTTGGTGGTGAATCAAGTCCATCATGGGACTTGATATCTTCGTATTTGTACCAACTTTTAGCAGCCGTGATTAAAGGTAATCACACCAATTGTGCCCAGTTTGCTCAAGCACACAGATTAGATTGGCTATTTTCTCGATTCTCATCACAAGCTGGTGGTGAAGGAACTGGAATGCTCGATGTGCTTCATTGTGTTCTTACTGATTCCCCTGAAGCGCTCAACATGATGAAAGAAGATCATATCAAAGTAATAATTTCACTTCTCGAAAAGCATGGACGTGATCCTAAAGTGTTGGACATTTTGTGCTCTTTGTGTGTTGGTAACGGTGTTGCAGTTCGTAGTTCTCAAAATAATATCTGTGATAATCTTTTACCATCAAGAAGTTTGCTGCTTCAAACTCGACTAGTTGATCATGTCACCTCGATGAGACCCAATATTTATGTTGGTAAAGTTGAAGGTTCAGCAATGTACCGACGTTGGTACTTTGAGTTGACACTTGATCATGTTGAACAAGTAACTCATTTAGAGCCTCATTTCCGTGTTGGATGGGCTAATACTTCTGGTTACGTTCCTTATCCTGGTGGTGGACCGAAATGGGGTGGCAATGGTGTAGGAGATGACATATTTTCATATGGATTCGATGGTCTGGCCTTTTGGACATCAGGAGTTGCGAATCAAGTAAGAACAGTTGCTGAGGGAACACCATTCCTCGTTAAAGGTGATGTTGTCGGCTGTATCCTTGATCTTAATATACCTTTAATTACATTTACCGTAAATGGATTACCAGTTCGAGGTTGTTTCAAAGGGTTCAATACAGACACTGGCATGTTTTATCCAGTCATCAGTTTCTCAGCCAAATACTCATGTCGCTTTTTGTTTGGAGGTGATCATGGACGTCTAAAGTTTGGACCACCAATAGGCCATTCCCCGTTGGTGGAAGCACTTCTTCCCGGTCAGATACTTCAAGTTGAACCATGTTTCCAATTCGGTGAATTGTCGAAAAACATTATACTTGGTCCAGCACTTGAACTAACAGATGACGCCGCTTTTGTTCCACATCCAGTTGATACATCAAACGTAAATTTGCCTCAGTACATTGAGGGAATTCGTGATAAGCTGGCTGAGAATATTCACGAAGTTTGGTCAATGAATAAAATTGATTCAGGTTGGGTGTATTCAGATGTTCGTGATGATGTATCCCTAAAACACCCTTGTTTAACGTCCTTTGAACGGTTACCAGCGAAAGAGAAAAAGTATGACACAACTTTGGCCCTTTCAACATTGAAAACTATTGTAGCCCTTGGTTATCGTATAACGATGGACAAACCTCCAGGTAGGATAAAAGTTCTGAGACTTCCAAATGATCCTTATTTGCAATCTAATGGATACAGACCGGCGCCATTAGATTTGAGTGCCATAGAGGTTACACCAAAGATCGAAGAACTGATTGAATTGTTGGCCGAAAACACACATAATGTTTGGTCTGCAGAGAGAATCCAACAAAACTGGACTTATGGATTCTCTGAAGATCCAATGGCTCGAAGAAGCCCACATTTAGTGCCTTACAAGTATGTTGACGATTTGATCAAAAAAGCAAATCGCGATACTGCTTCAGAAATGGTCAAGACTTTATTGGCCTATGGTTATGTATTGGAATCTCCAGCTTCAGATGCCTCTGAACTGGATAATTTGATGGGCAAGGCCAAGGTCAAAGGTGAAAATTTCCGTTCATACAGAGCTGAAAGAACTTATGCCGTTACCACAGGTAAATGGTACTTTGAAATTGAAATATTATCAGATGGACCAATTCGAGTTGGGTGGGCAACTCTCAATTTTTCCTCTTCGAAGGAGTTAGGAGCCGATGAATATTCTTGGGGATTTGATTGTCACTCTGCTCGAAAGTACAACAGTGGACTGACAGAGCCTTTTGGCAAAACAATTTCCATCGGTGACATTATCGGTTGTATGGTCGATATTGGGGATAGAACAATAAGCTTTTCTTTCAATGGTGAACTTTTACTTGACTCATCTGGTGGCGAAATGGCCTTTACTGATGTAAATGTTGGTGATGAAGGTTGTGTTCCTGCTTTAACTTTATCTGTTGGTCAAAAAGTTAGACTCATTCTAGGTCAAGATGTGAATGCTTTGCGATGTTTCACTAATTGTGGTCTTCAAGAGGGTTATCAACCTTTTTGTGTAAACATGAATCGAAACATGACACTTTGGTACAACAAAGATGAACCCATCTTTATCAATGTCGACGAAACTCCATCTCCCATTGAGGTAACCAGGATCCCTGGAGGATCCGACTCTTCGCCCGCTCTTAAAATAAGTCACAAATTATTTGAAACGCAGGAAAAAGTGAGTTGGGAAATGTTCAGATTGAGTTTACCGGTGACTTGTAATGGAGAGTTGATTGATGATAGAGAGAAACAAAGACGATTTGAGGAGAATGTTCGTCGACAGAGACGCACTCGAGCTGAACGATCAGGCATTCGACATCCAGGCAATTTGGAACAGCACATGCTTCAGTCAGGATTTTCCATGGCCGATGTGAAAGATTTGCAACGAGCTTATTCTGAGGATGCTTCAGAAGATGTTGAAACACCACAACCTGGATCTGGTCCACCGGGTGGTTGGAGTGAGGGAACTGCTCCTCGTCGTCAAGGGTCATTGACTAAAACCAAATCCTTTGATAATGCATTAACAGTACCATCTTTAGGTCAAGCACAAGCAATGATGCGCGAAACTGGTGGTGGTTTTTCGACTAAAAGAGCCACTTCTGTTGAGACGCTGAACCGTTCAAAGACGTCAGAAGTTGAAGATGCAACCAAGAAAAGAGCAAAGTCACCGTTCAGATTGTTCGGTAAGAAAGAACCACAATTACCTCCAAGATCACCAAGAACAAGGGAAGTCGAACCACCTACAATAAGTGTTTTAGCTTCGAGTGCTACTCAGTTAATTCCACCAGCAGTTCCAGATCGACCGCAAAATATCGGGTAAGTTCGTATTTCTTTGAATGAAATTACTGCTTATAACTTAATGATAATTGCTAATTAGAACCTTTGAAATGAAATCCTTCTGCTCTAAATTAATCTGTATTGAGAAATATTATTTGCTTTGGATTTGGATTGATAAAGTTATAAAAGTTTCGGTGGGTTGCTATTTTTCCGCATCTGAAGTAAACCACAGTTCATAAGGAAAAATCCAGTATTGATAGCATGTGCATCATATTGATGGAATAAAAGAGAAAATGATTATCTCATGAGCTTTTTTAATTATGGTTTTTGTTTGATTTTCAACAGAACTGGAGATCGTCCAAGCATACCTTTAGCCAGAAGAGGATCGAGATCCAACATTTCAGAGGCTTTGCCAGATGAAGCTTCAGATCAATTGGATCCTGCATCATTAGATTTGATCGATGAATATTTCTATGGTATAAGAATCTTTCCAGGTCAAGATCCTCATCATGTCTATTGTGGTTGGGTCGTTTCCAATTTCCGTCATTATGAGAAAACATTTGACGCCAATTCTGTTCGTCGAGCCACTATTCAAGTTTGGGGTGAAAATGGACAACTTGCTGAATACTGTGATCGACAAAATTGTTATATTTTGAATGCTGGTCAGTTATACAATGATGTCAATGAGATTGAACAGTCTGGTGGACGTTCAAATCAAGGTATGTTTGTCGGCTGTCATATCGACTTATCAACTGGTACGTTGACTTTTACTGCTGATGGAAAGCCAACCAAGTATCGATTCCGTCTTGAACCAGGAACTAAACTGTTTCCAGCTGTGTTCTTTGAAGCGACCAGCAAAGAGTGTCTTCAATTCGAATTAGGTCGAACACCAACAACGCTTCCTCTATCAGCTGCTATCTTACGATCATCAGAGAAGCATTTAACACCACAATGTCCTCCTCGTCTGAAAGTACAGTCACTACAACGATACCAATGGGCTCGAGTGCCAAATGTATCATTAAAACCTCACGCTCTAAAACTATCTGATATTCGAGGTTGGTCCATGTTGGTTGACGATGCCGTTTCAATGTTAGCTTTGCACATACCAGAAGAAGATCGATGTGTTGACATTCTTGAACTCATAGAAGCAGAAAAATTCTTGATTTTTCACGCTCGAACATTGGCGCTTTATGGTGCACTTTGTTTTCAAGGCAATACCCGAGCTGCTCATATCATTTGCTCTCATGTGGACGAAAAGCAGCTTCTTTATGCTATCCAATCAGAGTACATGTCTGGACCATTGAGATCGGGATTTGCTGACCTATTAATTAGTTTACATTTAGAGTCAGGAGCTTATGCACGCTCATTGACACAAAATGAGTTCATTGTCCCACTAGGCAACGAGTTGAAAGATTTATACAAAAATAATCCTTGCCTTTCGAATTCAATTTCATCGCTTGAATCTGTTTCTATTCGACCTCAAATGAAACAATCAGATAAAGTTGAAAAGGTTGAATCGGTCAAGGGTTTATATGCACCCTTTTTCCCGGTTGAAACTCTTAAATCATTTGTGATGGAAGCTCTTGATGAGGCAGTAAAACGTTCAAATCGGCCGATGAGAGACCCTATTGGTGGATCCAATACCGACTTATTCGTCCCATTACTTAAACTGATTGATAAACTTTTGTTGAATGGTTACATTGAAGACAACGATTTGGGAAGCTTATTGATTCTCATAGATCCAGCTACTTTTGATAATGAATATGATTTAGAGGCTGAAGCCAAATTGAAAGGATTACTTGAGATGCAACTTGACGAAGGTGTCAAACTACAAATGTGTTATATCCTTCACCATTTGTACGATGTTCAGTTACGCCATCGAGTTGAGTCTATAATTTCATTTACCAGTCAATTTGTGGCCGATGTTCAGGTCGACCAATTAAGGCGATATATTTCAGTTAAACAAGAAGATCTTCCAGCCGCTGTTGCTGCCAAGAAAACTCGAGAGTTTCGTTGTGCTCCTAAAGAGCAAATGAGAATGATTCTAGGGTTCAAAAATATAGAAGATGAACAGGCTGAAAATTGTCCGACTGGGGAAGATTTAAGAACAGCTCTCAATGAATTTCATGGAGACTTAATGGGTAGAGCAAAGGTTATTTTGGAAGGTTGTGCTGAGGAAGAAGCTGCAATTGATAATAAAACAAGTGAAGAAGGTAAATTATCCTGGTCTAAAAAGATATTCGGCCTTGTCAAGGTGGGTAAAGTATCAATCGAAGGTCCAGTTTCTTCTAACGACCAAGAAAACGGTAATCGACAAGAAGAAATATTCATTCATAAAGTGGTCGATACAGTTAAGCATTGGTCACAAGAATCAGAAATTGAAGATAGAGAATTGATTCGCCAGTTATTTTACCTTTTATTGCGAAGTTATGATGGAGTTGGCGAGTTGATGATGGCCTTGGAGCAAACATATGTCATTAGTCACACATCTAAAGAGGATGTCGATGGTTTACTACAGCATTTGGCTACAATAAGAGCTCTTCTTCCGGTGCAAATGAGTCCTGAAGAAGAAGAAATTGTTCGTGAAACATTATGGACATTAGTACAGAATCGTGTCTTCTTCCAACATCCTGATTTGATTAAAATTCTGCGAGTTCATGAGAATGTTATGGATATTATGACAAATACTTTGAGTAAGAGAGCTCAAGGTGAGTCAGGAGGAAGTTCGGGTTTACCCAGTGGAACGAGTAATGCAGCTGGTTCAGCTAATGCAGGTACTGGTGCTTCTGGTGGAGCCAATAAGATAGAGTCGGAAGGTAGTGGAGCCACGGCTATTGGCGATACTTCGGCTATGGTTGTGGCCACTTGTAGATTTTTGTGTTACTTTTGTCGTTCAAGTAGAACTAATCAAAAAGCCATGTTCCAACATCTCGACTTCCTTTTGCAAAACTCAAACATATTGCTTTCGCGTCCGTCTCTTAGAGGATCAACTCCATTGGATGTTGCTTCATCATCTGTAATGGAGAATCCAGAATTGGCATTAGCTTTGAGAGAAAATTATTTAGAAAAAATTGCCGTTTATTTGTCCAAATGTGGTTTCCAATCAAATCAAGAGCTTCTTGATAAAGGTTATCCTGATCTGGGTTGGGATCCGGTCGAAGGTGAAAGATATTTAGACTTTTTCCGAACCTGTGTTTGGGTTAATGGCGAATCAGTTGAAGAAAATGCAAACTTGGTTATTCGATTGTTGATTCGTAGACCTGAATGTTTAGGACCCGCTCTAAGAGGTGAAGGTGAAGGACTATTGCAAGCAATCAAAGATTCAATAGAAATGACTGATAAAATGAATTCATCTGGACAGTCAAATCAGGCTGAAATGAGAAATGCAATGATGTCAAGTGACGAAGAGAAAGAAAATGACGATTTTATTGACATGGGGGCAGCAATACTCAACTTTTATTGTGCTTTAGTTGATTTACTTGGTCGATGTGCTCCGGAAGCAGCGACCATTGCTATGGGCAAGAATGATTGTCTTCGAGCTCGAGCTATTCTTAAATCGTTGGTTCCAATGCAAGACTTGGAAGGTGTTCTTGCTTTGCGCTTTTCAATATTTTCCTCTCCCGAGGCAATGACAAGAGCCGACTTACCAATAGGTTTTCTTCCTCAACATAAACAGTCCATTGTGCTTTTCCTGGAGCGTGTTTACGGAGTTGAAAATCAGGAAGTTTTCTTCAGGTTACTTGAAGATGCCTTTTTACCCGATTTACGAGCTGCTACCATGTTGGAGCGTCACGATGGCTCAGAGTCACAAATGGCACTTGCACTTAACCGTTATCTTGGAAACGCTGTTCTTCCTCTTCTCATAAAATACTCTCATTATTTCGGTAATGCTGAAAATTGGGCTTCTTTGATGGACGCAACTCTTCACACAGTCTACAGACTGTCAAAGGTGAAAATATTAACAAAAGGACAACGAGAATGTGTCTCTGATTTCCTTGTCGCCTTAACTCATGAAATGCAGCCCAGCATGTTATTGAGTTTACTTCGTAAATTGACAATCGACGTTTCAGTTCTTACAGAATATTCTACAGTCGCTCTTCGGTTATTGACATTACATTACGAGCGATGTTGTCGTTACTACGGACACAGTGGATCTGGATCAGCTTCGGCAGAAGAAAGAAAGCTAACTATGTTATTGTTTTCCAATATTTTTGATTCCTTGGCTAAAATGGAATACGATCCTGATCTTTTCAAAAAAGCACTTCCCTGTTTAACGGCAATAGCGTGTGCTTTGCCTCCCGATTATTCAATGACACCTTCAACTGATGATTCCTTGCACACAAAGACCATTCGAGATGATGGACCTTACCTACCTAATCCAGTAAATACAAGTGGAATCAACCTGACTGGAGGTTTAGTAAACTTGATAAATAGATTTGCTGAACATTACCATGATTCTTGGTCTCAAAGGAAATTCGAACAAGGTTGGAGTTATGGAGATTCATGGAGTCTTGAGAGGAAAACTCATCCAAGATTAAAACCTTATTATATGCTAAACGATTACGATAAAGAAAAGTACAAAGAACCGATAACTGACATAATAAAAACTTTATTAGCTCTGAGTTGGCAATTGGAGCAAACTGATAACAGTCAAATGAATGCTAGAGCAAATTCGAGAAACGATATTCGTCCCAATCTCAACGACTACAGTCCACAACCTGTTGATACATCAAGTCTCACATTAAATCGAGACATTCAAAGTCTTTCGGAAAGATTGGCCGAGAATGCCCATGAAATTTGGGCTAAAAAGACCAAAGAAACTTTAGGTGGAATAATTCATCCTCAAATGGTTCCATATGATCTGCTGACGGACAAAGAGAAGCGTAAAAATCGTGAAAGATCGCAAGAATTCTTGAAATACTTGCAATATGAAGGATTCAGGGTTTACAAGTAAGTATTATATGCATGGTAAACTTTATGTCAATGGCATTTATTATTTTGTTTTTTGTCGTAGATCTACAAATAAACAAGAAGCGGAGAACAGCAAACAAGAATCAAGTGGCCTACACGGACATGCAGAAACTAGATTCGCTTCATCATTACTAGAGCGTCTCTTGCAATATTTAGATACTGCAGCAATCAGTCTAAAGCTTTTGAAGCCAAGTGCAAATTACTCCAGACGAATGAGCTTCAAACACTCAAGTCGAGATATTAAATTTTTCTCTAAAGTAGTTCTTCCTTTGGTTGAGAAACTTTTTCAAGCTCACAAAGAGTTTTTCCTTGCTTCAGCTTCTGGTCAGTCAACTTTAGCTCTTGGAATCGCCACTCCTAAAGAGAAAGAAATGGTCACTTCGCTATTCTGTAAACTTGCTGCTTTGCTTCGTTCAAAGCTCGCAGTCATGGGATCAGATGCTAAGATATCTGTGAGATGTCTTCAAGTGCTTATTAGAGCTACTGATGCACGAACAATCGTCCGAAATTCGCCTGATTTTGTAAAAACTTCCATGTTAACCTTTTTCAATCACGCTGCTGATGACTTGGCCAATTGTGTTGCTAATTTACAGAATTTCCGATTCAGTCATATTCGTGGAACTACAATGAAAACGTCTTCTTCATTGAACTATATTCAACTTGTATTGCTTCCAGTTCTTACGGCGTTGTTTGATCATTTGGCTTCCAATGAATTTGGAGGTGATTTACTTCTCAACGATATTCAAGTGGCTTGTTACAAAATACTCAATTCCCTTTACTCTTTTGGAACCAATCCCAATCTGACGTTAGACCGTAAATTTATCAAAGCTGAACTCGATTTTCACAGAAGACAGGTCGGTGATTGTTTAGGTGCCTTTTCAGCTACTTTTCCAGTTGCTTTTCTGGAGCCTCACCTCAACAAAAACAATAAATACTGTATTCACAGTCGAAGTCAAGATTATTCATTGGAAGCTCAAGCAGTAATGCAAGATTTAGAGGCTTCAATGCCAACATTGGATGATTTAATGTCTCAGTTCGAAAAATATGTTGATTCAGAGACTAAATACCACAAAGAACCACACACCATTGACATTATTCTTCCCCTGTTGTGTGCTTACCTTTCATTCTGGTGGAACCAAGGACCTGATTCTGTGAATCCTTCAGATGGAAATCATGTAACCACCGTAACAAGTAGTCATCTTAATCGAATGTTGAAGTCAATATTGAATTTGGTTAAAAACACTGTTGGTCACAATGGCAATCAATGGATGGTGACTCTTCCAGCTCACACAGGAATGATTATAATTAATCCTTCTGAAGAGCTGCTTATCGATCCTGTCCTTCCATTGACTGAACGCATTCGTCAAATCGCTGATCGAGCATTTCACAGAGAGGATGCCATGAAAGGCTATCTAAAATCTCAGACAGATGAAACTTCTGAGCTTGAGACACAATTGATGGAAGAGTTTAACCTTTTAGTGCGCGATATTTACGCCTTTTATCCCATGCTGATTAAATATGTTGAACATCAGAGGAATCACTGGTTACGAGAAAATTGCCGAGAGGCTGAACAAGTGTATCATTGTGTAGCCACGATATTCAACCAATGGTCCAAATCTCAATATTTCCGTAAAGAAGAGCAAAACTTTATCTCTGCCAATGAGATTGACAATTTAGCTTTAATAATGCCTTGGTCTGGTCGAGCAGGTCGACCTGTAATTACAAAATCCGACATTCAAGCAACTTCAGGAAGAGTAAAGAAGAAGAAGAGAGATGGAAAGAGAGACAAAGAAAAGGAACTCGCATCGTCCCTTATCGTGTCTGCATTGAAACGCTTGCTGCCTGTTGGACTCAACCTGTTTGCTGGTCGTGAACAAGAATTGGTTCAACATGCAAAAGATAAATTTTTACACAAAGAAAATGAAGGGTTCATCTCTGAATATGTTAGGACTACTCTGAGTTTACCTGATAAAATTGATCCATCCGATGAAATGTCGTGGCAACATTACCTTTATTACAAACTTGGCAGTCAAAGGACAGGAGCAATTGAAGGACTTAAAGGGAATGGAAAAGATTTGGTTATTGTTCAGAATACTAAAGTTGAAGATAAAGAGAAAACCCAAGAAGTTCTAGTCGAAAGGATTATAGCTATGGCCAAAGTCCTTTATGGACTTCACATGGTAATTATTCGATTGATGAATTAAAAGATTCAAGTTGGCACTGAAAAGGTGCACAACGAATAGTGTAGACTTGACGACTCGAACAAGATTTGAATATTTTCAATTGATTTATCATAGATTTTTTATTCAAATTGTAAATTCGTATTCACTTGACATTTTAATTTTATTTTTAAATCTAACTTATAGATTGATCATCCATCTCAAAAAGAAAAAGGCGTTTATCGAAGTTGCGTTTCTACTCAGCGTAAAAGAGCCGTAATAGCTTGTTTCCGAATGATATCTCTTCATCAACTACCAAGGTAAATATCAGTAATCAGTCTTGCTTTTATGATTAACTTTTCTTGACTTCATTTGATTTCGTTTTCAAGGCATCGTGTAATAAATATATTCTTGAGAGCTTATAATGAATTATGGCTGAATGATGAGAATAACGGACAAGAACAATTGATCGAGGATCTAACAGAGTCATTCGAAGAACACGAACAGAATAAAGGAACCGAAGTTGTTATTGAAGATAAACCTGATCCATTGACTCAGTTAATGACGACATTCAGTCGAAAAGCAACAACTGAACATGGAACTGCTGTTAAAGAAGACGAGCTTTATATGAAATATGCACTTCTTTTTAGTCAAAGCTGTGGTGGTGTTGAAGAAGAGGAGGAAGAAGAAGGTGGAGAAGAAGAGGAAGGAGGAGCATCGATACATGTAAGTCTAATTGAAGAGCAATCAATTGATTAACAATTTGAGTTGACCTTTGTGGACCAGAATATTTCATTTGCTCATTATGTATAAAGATTGATTATATTTTGATATTATTTTGTAGGAACAAGAATTGGAAAAACAAAAATTATTGTTTCAACAATCGAGACTTGCTGATCGTGGTATTGCTGAAATGATATTGTTATACATATCGAATTGCAAAGGAATTCAAAGTCCAATGGTTCTGAAAACTTTAAAGTTGGGCATTTCTATATTGAGAGGAGGTAATACAGATATTCAGCAAAGAATGATGAAGCACTTGAAAGACAAGAAAGATGTTGGATTCTTTACTTCAATAGCAAGTCTAATGAATTCATGTTCGGTTCTTGATTTGGATGCTTTTGAAAGGAATCAAAAAGCTGAAGGACTGGGAGTTGGTTCTGGGGGAACTGCAGGTGAAAAGAATATGCATGATTCTGAATTTACCTGTGTTTTGTTTAGATTTATTCAGCTTCTTTGTGAAGGACACAACCTGGAGTTTCAAAATTACCTGCGAACTCAAGCTGGTAATACAACAACAGTCAATGTAATAATCATTACTGTAGATTATTTACTTCGACTTCAAGAATCGATGATGGACTTTTATTGGCATTATTCAAGTAAAGATGTTATCGATCCTTCAGGTCAAGAAAACTTTTGCAAGGCCATAACAGTAGCTAAACAAGTTTTCTCCACTTTAACTGAATCTATTCAAGGCCCATGTCAGGGCAATCAACAAGCACTTGCACATTCCAGGCTTTGGGATGCTGTTGGTGGTTTCCTTTTCCTATTTGCTCACATGCAGGATAAACTCTCCAAGAATTCCAGTCAACTTGATTTATTAATTGAACTACTTGATTTGCAAAAAGAAATGGTTGTAATGATGTTATCCATGTTGGAAGGTAATGTTGTTAATGGAACCATTGGACGACAAATGGTAGATACTTTAGTTGAATCGGCCAGTAATGTTGAGGTAACCGTTTTGACACCCTTTTCAAATTGTTGGTCCAATTAATAATCATAATTTCTTTATTCTTTTTTAGCTCATTCTCAAGTTTTTCGACATTTTCTTGAAACTTAAAGAACTAACTTCTTCGATAACTTTCCAGGTAATTTCATTAATTAAACTTGGTGCAAAAGCATTGTCAATTATGTCTTCATTTCAACGAAAATGAAAATCTATAAATGTTGATGGTTTCATTTCATATTTTATTCCGAAAAACCAAGCATCCTGTTCTCATTCTAAACAATCGGCATTTCAGTTCATGAAAACTCATTCTTGTATTCGATAATTAGCTTTTGACACACTGATACAATCAGCTATCATTGTTCATGATCTAAGTCCATTTTCTCGATACTTTTACACCAAACGTTTATTCATTGAATTATTAACTAAAGTCATTGAATGTTTTCTTTATTTTATTTTCATTAGGAAATTGATAAGAAAGGAATTGGTTGGGTTGCAATGAAAGACTTTAAAAAGGCAATTGAGCAGCAAAAAAAGTATTCACCAGATGAAATTGAATATATTATGAGTTGCTGTGAGCCTAATCATGATGGGTTAATTGATTATCGTGAATTAACTGAGAGATTCCATAACCCAGCCAAGGAAATCGGATTCAATTTAGCAGTTCTTTTGACGAATTTAAGTGAACATATGCCAAGTGATCCTAGACTTCAACGTTTCCTTGAAATTGCCTCCTCAGTTTTGACTTATTTTGAGCCTTTCCTTGGCAGAATTGAAATCATGGGATCATCGAAACGAGTAGAGAGAGTATATTTCGAGATAAAAGAGTCGTCAATCAATCAATGGGAAAAGCCACAAATCAAAGAATCCAAACGAGCCTTTTTCTATTCGATAATAACAGAAGGAGGTGATAAAGAGAAGCTGGAACTTTTCGTCAACTTCTGTGAGGATGCAATATTTGAAATGCAACATGCAGCTTCAATATCAATGGAAGAAGAGGAAGAACCTAAAGCATCCGCCGAATATCCATTTTTGGGCGAAGAAGAGAAGCCTCCATCAGTTCTAGATCCCTTGAAAAAACTGATCAAGTACATTTTCTCAAGATTTTGGTCTATTTTGAGCTTTTTGACTCCTGGAAACATTAAAAAACAAGTAAACACCATGAAAGAAAAGTCTCTTCCCGAACTAATAATTGGATTCTTCCGATTGATCTACCGGTCATTTATTTTTTGTGGTCGAACCGTATATTCTGTATTGAAGTATATTCTACGTTTTCTACTTCGTCTGATGACTGGTGAACCGATTGCTGGTCCAATCGATATCGATGAAGAAGAAACGTCAAAAGCTTTGGTTCATGTTCCAACTGCTTTTACTTTACCTGATCGAGCTGTGGCTTCATTTCCTCTTTCAATGGCATCAATAGAAGCTCCAACTACACCAAGTCCTAGTCCGGCGATTGACGTCAAGTCACTTGAAAATGGTACCAATGATGAAAATAATGCAAACCCAACTGGTGATAGAAATGAATCTGGATTCGGAGGCAAGTCAACAGAAGACAATAAAGATGGAGAAGGTCGAAAACTTCGAGAATCTTTGTCATCTCCAACACTTTCGTCTAGCACAGTTGAAAGAAGAGAAGAGTCTCGAATCATTGAAAGAACTGGTGCAGACACAAGTGATAAAACAATACCTGTCTTACCTGAAGAAGATGAACTTGTTAAAAATGGAGAATCAGCGCCATTATTGTCATCATTCAACCTCGGGGATTATGCACATCGATTCATATGTTTCTTAGCTCGAAACTTTTATAGAATGAAATACATTGCGCTTTCCATTGCATTCATTATCAACTTTATTCTTCTTTTTTATCGAGTCACAAACACTCCACTTGTTGATCTTGATGGCAGTGGCTCGATGCCCGAATCAAGTTTAGGTTTGGATGAAACTTTAGAGACTTCGAATGGAAATGATGATGAAGGAGGAGGTGATGATGATGAAATAGAGGAATGGGTGTCTATAGAAGAGAATCTATTTTATTTAGTGCCGGTTATGCGAATACTTGCCCTTGCTCATTCGATGTTGGCTGTTTTCATGTTGATTGGCTACTATCACTTGAAATTACCTTTAGCTATTTTTAAACGGGAAAAAGAGATTTCAAGATCAATGGAATTCGACGGTCTTTACATATCTGGTGAATCTGACGATGACATAAAAGCACATTGGGACAAACTTGTAATATCAACGCCATCTTTTCCAGTCAACTATTGGGATAAATTTGTTAAGAAACGAGTCCGTGAAACTTACTCGGAACAATATGATTACGAACAAATCAGTAATATTCTTGGAATGGACAAAGGAGGAATATCGGCGAAACCGGAAGATTCAACTGGATGGTTCTCATTATTCTCAAATATTGACCTGAAGTATCAAATTTGGAAAGCTGGAGTTACAATAACTGACAGTGTAAGTAATATTGAGCGGTAAATCAATGTCTGTATCTACTTTGTCTTATTGACTGAAGTAGCTTCGACTTGATTGAAATGAAAGACGCAAAGACTTAATATGCTTTCTCGATTGTTTTAGACATTTTTGTACAACCTTTGGTACCTTTCATTTTCGGTTATGGGAAATTTCAACTACTTTTTCTTTGCGGCTCATTTACTAGACATTGCATTTGCTATTAAAACTCTTGCAACCATTTTACAATCAGTAACGCATAATGGGAAACAAGTGAGTATTTTGCTTTCAATTTATTTCATGCAAATATTGATTCTAAACGAGACATTTTTTGTTTCTTTTCAGTTGGTATTAACAGTGATGCTTCTCATCATTGTCGTATATATGTACACAGTAATTGCTTTCAATTTCTTCAGAAAATTCTATGTTCAAGGAGATGATGACGAAGAGAATGAACCTGATAAGAAATGCCATTCTATGTTAACATGTTTTGTTTTTAATATTTATCAAGGGGTTAGAGCAGGAGGTGGCATTGGGGATGTCATTGAGCCTCCAGACGGGGATGAATACGAAGTTTATCGTATAGTATTTGATATAACATTTTTTGTTTTCGTTATTATTATTTTGGTTGCAATTATCCAAGGTTTGATCATCGATGCTTTCGGTGAATTGAGAGGTCAACTACAATCTGTTGTTGATGACATGGAAGCCAATTGTTTTATATGTGGAATTGGTAAAGATTATTTCGACAAGACACCGCATGGTTTCGAGACTCATGTAATGAAGGAACACAATTTGGCAAATTACTTATTTTTCCTGATGCATTTAATCAATAAGCCTGACACCGACTATACTGGTCAAGAAACTTACGTTTGGGAATTGTATCAAAAAAGGTGTTGGGACTTTTTCCCTGTTGGTGAATGCTTTAGGAAACAATATGAAGATGAACTATCTGGAGCCAGTTGAATTTAGATATGCCTTTGTTTCATTCGTCTGCTTGCGTTTCCCCTGATCAACAGATGTTTGGCAATCATTTGGGGCTCAAACTAAACATTAGTCCATATATAGCCTATGTGCTGTTGATTATTTCCCGCAATGTTTGTAATCACGAACCTTCACTCATTCAGTCTTCTTTTTACTTGTAATTAATTTTCTTCATTTTCATTTTTGGTTTCAGTCAAACTAGAAATAAATATCGCTCTTTGCAATAATTTTTTAAAAAGCATTCAGTATGAAACAATAGTATTTTTTGCATATAATGCTAATTTCCGAAAAATTCAACATTAAGTTGAAGTCAATAAATTGAATATGAATGAGCATCTTAATTAGTTGAACCTATCACACATCAGATTCTGTTAACAACGTTTGGATCACAATGCTGTACGTTCGCTAAGAATGACAATAGTCAAGTGCAATAACAATTGGCTTTGGTCTAACAATAGCTAGGTATAGTAGTTGGTTGATTAATGACATAATTAATAGGTTTGGTTGATTGATGATAATTTGTTAATGCAATGAAGGTGGAAAATTGTCCATTAAGGTCAAAATTGGTGTTCGTCTTCAGATTTTAAGCATAGATATTCAACTAATCTTCTGACGAATGAGTCTAGAAATTGATTGAACTGACTATGGATTAAAGGATAATAAGAACTACTTAAAGGGTGTTAAGGTTTATTTCTTGCAAAAACAGGGGGAGAGAAACGATATTATCTGAAGATAAAGATGAAATCACAAAAGTAAAAGGTTAATCAAAATACCCAAGCAAATGCAAGTGACCAATTCATATTTATCGTCATGTTATTACCATTTTTATCTTTATCTTCAGATAAGATCGCTTTAACCTTTTCCTACTTTGCAAGAAATAAACCTTAACACCCTTTACATCAACAATTTTAACACAGCATAACAATTACATTCAAGTAATAGCATATCTGATTATATTTTGTTATTAGGGTTTCAAGTCTTTAACTTGATCATTGATAATTGTTTATGATTATAACAATTTATCAATGAACAGATTGATTGATTAAAGTCAAGTTATTTTACGATAAATCTGAACCAAAAATCAAAATAAAGGTGAATTGTTGGCTTGAAAGATCATGAAGATCAATCAATCATTTCAACAGCTTTATACCATTTCAATTGACGTCAAATTACTATTTAATAAATCAACAATTAAATGTACAACCACAGACCATTTTCACAGAACCCTGTCATGATTAATCATCAATTAAGTCTATTAATCTATCTAAAATTCAATGACAAAAAAGGATGCAATTGGCTTATAAGAAATGATCAAGATGTTGTGGCACAACTACTCATAGTAGGTCTGATAGTTAACCCAACTTTAGTGTTATTTTGGGTTGCTTTCAAACTTGGCCAATGTTATAATAAATAAATATAAAAATGTGAGCTATGTTGTTCAATGATTGTAATACTTTTATTTATTTGTGAGTATCAAACAATGAACTAATAGGTACAGAATACAATTGTAATAATAGGAATGAAAGATGACGTTGAAGGTATGCAAGAAAGGTGGAGTAAGAAATGATGGTTTCAAATGAAATAAGGCCCGGTGATATTTTATATAAATGTTGATGATAACATGAGAGTACTCCACCTTTCAACAATAATTCAGTTTATCAGTGAGATTTAAATTTTTAAGTGAATGGGATATTATAATAAATAGAAGAAGAAATCTGTATAAAAAGATATATCGACAGTTTATGCGAAGAAATGTTTCAAATTGTTTTCAATCAAAGCTTTCGTCGATGTAATGATTGTAATACTTTAAATGGTCTTCAGCAATACTAATTGATAGATACCAATAGATGGAGTGTGTGAAAAGGATTGCTTGTCTCATCAAATTGGTTTCAACTCAGAATATGGCGATTTGAATTTTGAAATGATTTCCTTTGTGACGTGGTGAAATGGTGGGAGAGATGCAGAGGACAAAATGCTGTACATGGTAGTGTCTAAAGACTAGAAATTTGAGCTGAGAAAATTGGATGTGATATTCTTCGCTTTTTGAGGTATGCTGCTTTACTTTCTTCTTTGAAGACTTCTGGATCTTGAGCAACTTCAGGCTGACTGGGTAACATTCCCCATGATTGGGGTTCAGATGTCGATAAAAACATGAACACGAAAGCAGTGAAACTCATGAAAGCTGCTGTTATGTAGAAGACTGTTGACCAACCTTCTCTGGTATCCTATTGAGAAAATGCAAGATGGGAAAATTAGTATTCTGTTTACATTAATTTCATGAATCAGATGGATTCTAATTTATAGTTAGTTTTAACTTGCATGCTTACCCCATCGTTTAAGATTATCCCTACAATCATTGGAGCTATGAAACCAGTTGCTGAACCAATCGTGTTGGTTATACCAAAAATGGTACCAGATATGTCAGGGGCTATTTCAGAAACTATTGGCATGTCACCACCAGCATTTCCACCGAAAGCAAACATTGAAGCGACCAAAAGTAATTTGATAAACGATGGATCTAATGGGAAATGTGCGATGGCTACAAGAGTCACTGAAGGTACCAGAAGAGCTGGAAAATATAATATAATTAAGAAAAATAAATAACTTTGAATAACTTAATTTTCAGGATTATTTTGTTTAAAGTTTTCATTGATTGGACAGGATAATTTACCTATTGATTCACAGATTTTACGAATCATGCTTCGAGAAAGATACTTTTTCTTCATCAAATATTTGGTTATTGGACCGATTGATAGTTGAGATGTACAAAGGGCAATGTAAAGGATTCCATTTAGAGATCCGTTTTCATGCAAATCCATTCCCAATTGACTTTCCAAGTAAGCAGGAATCTTTGTATTGACAATCATGTAGCCAAATCCAGTTCCTGCTTTGGCTAGTGTGATTGACCAGAGAACTGGTGAAGTTATAACTGCTTTCCAATCAATTTTAAACTGTTGCATTGAATGTTGAAAGATAAATTGCAAATTAATAACATGATTAAGAGTTGCTTTTTTTCGTAATAATTAAACAATAGTTACCTTAATTTGGCCGACGTGAGCATTAGCATGTTCCAAGTGGCGCTTCTCATATTCCGATATGTATTTATGGGTGCAAGGAGTTGGAGTAACAGTAAAGTACCAAACAATTGGTATTATTAAATTGATAATTCCAGTGAAATAAAATGCTAGCGGCCATCCACCAAGCAGTGTTTGCTTACAGAACCAAGCTGTGATTGGCATGATAGCTGCAGTTCCTAAGTTGGAACCAACAATCATTAAACAGATAGGAACAGATATTTCATCAGGAGAGAACCACTTGCTGAAAAGCACGTATAAAGAGGACAACATGGGTGCATGAGCTATACCAATGATCACTCGGACAACTGAGATGGCAATGGGCCCATAAAAGCTGGCTAAAGGTGTGAGAAGGGTCATTATAGCAGCAATCAAGTGTGTAATTATATTCAAAGTGACAACATTGTAGCGATCAGCCAAATAGCCCAAAATTATCTGGAATCCGGCAAATCCATAATAATATGAACCCAAAATGATTCCTTGTGCCTCTTGGTTCCATTCAAATGAGATCTAAACGATAAATGAAAGTATTAATAATCTCTAAACTCGAACAAGAAATAATATGAAAAAGGGAATTACTAGTTGATCAAGTGATTTGAATGATTGTCATGCAATTTCAGTTCAATATTGTGTCCCAATAATGTTACTTTTGTCAAATAATACAAAAAATAATTTGAAGTGCAATCACATTCCAAGCAATATATTAATTCCATTAAGATAAATGTTACTAATAATAATCAATAATCAATAATCGAATAGTAGATTTTTGTTTTTCTCAAGTTCAACAGAAAGGGAAAATATTCAGCAATTTAAATAGTTGTGATACTTTGAATCAGATATGTCAACAATGAGACTGAGAACAATTATAGATGTTAGTTTGAAAAATATAGTTCGGTGCTTTTAGTAACATCCATCACAATATCTTAAGTTCAAACATTTTGCACGAATAAGAATAAGAATAACAATGGGTGGATGGAATTTTGAATTGATGCTTAGATAATCAATAACATTGATCATGAAAAAGACTTGTGATTGAGCAAACTTAAGCTATGATAATTACAAGTTATCAGCAACCATCAACATGAATCACTGTGAAAGCTGAATCAGACCAGAATCAATCATCTTGTAATAAATTCAAAAGATGCTATTTATATTAGATTCATTGAGTGCATGGCACTTTGATCGCTAAGATTAAGTCAACTGGATCCATTTTGATCGGTAAGATACGAAACAATATTCTTAACCATAACATTATCTTGATATTGGTATTATTTGATAACTCGTCAAATCCAAATTTAGTTTTTCAACAATTGTCTTCGCATAACAAATGACGTGGCTTCATCTCTAATATCATCATGCTTTTGTTGGGCAATTTCCAGTCTCAAAATTATAACCATGTTGATATTTAGCTGCATTTAATCACAATTAATAATGAATAAATGGAGATAATGTTGAGTCAATTTTCAGATAAATGTCAATCAAGTAGTTTTTAATGTCTGGTGATAATGAAAATAACTTGATGGTGAGGTTAAGGTTGTCATATGAAAAGCGTTTGTCAGAGGTTAAGTGAGCTGCGTTTCAAAGCTGCACATTGTTTTCATGGTGTCTGTAACATGTGTTACGTGAATTACAATTATTACAAATTGCAAATAAAGATGATCAATTAATCTAGTAATATCAGATTAGTCCTGTTGGCCTTGCGATTATTCAATTTATTCATCAAACAAGAGCACCTTCTGATCTGAAATTTTCCCTTTTGATTCCCATGATTTTGAATAATTGAAGGGAAAAACAATGGAACACAAATCTATTTTTACAATTAATCCACAAAGTTTTCGATGATATAATTCATTGGCGATATCCAATCCTTCAAACAAAACTGATTCATCACAATGATTGACAACCGCCTGTGAGGAAATTCAACAAGTAAAACAGAAGACGACGAAAACATGGATAAAGCTCAAGTTCAAGGAATGTAATTTTTGTTTCCTTTGTTATCTTTAATATCGATGAATTATAATTTCAATATGACAATATCATCAAGATAATCGAAACTCATCATCTAGAGTCGCAACTTGAATTGAACATATCAAGGAACCTCAAGATTTCTGTGTTAACATAAGCGTAATGAGAGGACACTTAATAAAACAATTATTTATCAAGAGGATCTAACTTATTAATAAGTACATTGAAGACGATAAATACTTTCAAAGTGAGTAAACTCATTAATGTAAAAGAAGCACAGACTTGATTAAAAATAAATAATGATAAATAAAAATACAGTAGTGGTAAGGGTTAAATTGACTTTTTGCTTGTGGTGTTGACCAGATCTAACTTTGAGGACTTGGCGAGATTCGACTGCTTAACCCAAGATACAAATTACTTCATATTAAGATTAGCAGTTTTATTGCCAATGCTAGTCATCAGGCTAACATTGAGTAGCAAAAGAAAGGTTTTTTTCTTAGTCAGCTTCTAACGCTGAATAAGTACCAATAAGATCGAATTTCATTTTGTTCAGTTTTCTATTATATTATTATTTCTAATACATTGTTTTTTTTCTCATCTCTACAAATACGCTGGAGATGGCAAAACTTGAAAATTAACTTAACCCTGACCACTATTGTATAACTTCAAAACATGCAGCATAAAACAGTTTTCATTAAAAAAGATAGATGGCGATAGTTTAAAAAATCATGCTTTATCTGAATCAGTTGGAAAAATTAAACTGTTTTGGCTCGAAAAAGTTGCTTAAACTTGTAAACTTATTTTATATAATTATTATCCCGTTTCAATTATTTCTTTATATTAAGTTTCTTTTTTCTAAAATTCACTGTTAATATCAATCATCAAGCAATGAAATGTGTTTAATTTTTAAACGTTTACCATTAACTGCTGGCCAACCATTACTCTCTTTCAATCAAATTGTTTTATCTCTACGGTCAATGAGCTGATGGAAGGGCTTTCATATTGCATCAATTGTGTTGGTATTTGTGCATATAATGTAGACGAGGAAGTGGAATCTGGTTGATATAATTACCTTTTTAACATCTTCAGATGGATCCAAATCAATCATACTAATAATGGCAACACTTAGATTGGCTCGAGCCGCGTACATAACAGCAGATGAAAGGCAAGCAATCACGGCGATGTAATATCGAACGGGAAAGACTGGTTTCTTAATTGCTTGCATTTTGAAGGGAAACTGTTGTTGTGAATTGATGGAACCAAATACGGAGCGACCACCAATAACACTAATAACAGGAACATTTTGATGATCTGAGTGATTTTCTGTTTCACTTACAACTGGCAAAACTGCTGATGTTTTCATATTTGGTTAAATTGTTGGTCACAGGCAAGATTCTGTTGAAATAAATTTAGTTAAGAGAAAAATTTTGCAAGAAATATCGTCAAATTTCAAAGTCAAAAACAAAGTTGAACAAACAAAGAAAAAAGAAACGAATTAAAAGTCGATTAACGGTAAGTTTATTCACAAAGAATTCAAATCAGAATTTACAAGTTTCTTTTTCTGTGTAAAAAATAACATTAAAATTAAATGAGAAATAAGTTTGATGATTAATCAAGTTAGTTTTCTAATAGCTTAATCAACTATGAACAGTTAAATCGAATTGTTTGCTCCTTATAAATAGTAAAGCTACTTATAGTAGAGTAAAAGTGAAAACAAAATTATCATGGAATTGTATATATATTTTATTTAGATCCCTCTAGGAATTTGCAGAAAAAATATACTGAATTAACGGGGGAAACGATTAACGAAGCTTCATTATCCGCTATCATTTTCATCTTGGTCTTTCATTTCGTCACCACTCTCATCATCATCATCTGTTGATCAGTAATCACGAAAAGCAACACAATCATTACTCCTCCTTTATTAAGAGGAAAAGGTAGTGTTTCGATGCTCATCTTCAACCTCATTGGTAACGAGTTAACTACCTGGGATAGGGAGTATCTCACGTGAGTAAATTTTATCATCTTGTTTCATATAAAACAAATGGGGGAAAATTGTGAACAGCGAGTAGCGCTGTTTCCCCTGGTGTGAATGATTGCTCCGAACCTTTCAACCTAAAACTGCAATTAAGGGTCACTTTTGATCTAAATTTGATCCAATGGTGACCATAATTGTACTCTTCACCTCGAAACCTTTCTGTTGATACCAAGTTTCACCCCAATCGTATAAAATAGTGATTCTAACGTTTTTCTGTTCAATCTCTTCTAGGCCAGTAACCAAATGACCAATGGATATTTTTGCCATCCCTAAGTTAATCGTGTTTACTTTATTCAGCTTTGAGCCATGTGCTGTTTGATTTGATTGTGATGTTTAATCAATTACAACAAGAAACAAATTATGGATTATATTTGGATAAATCGGATTAAAAGAAAATCTGAAATTAAAAGGTGAATCAATATTTATCATATTGCTAATCTATTCTTCTTCTTATTTCAATTGATTATTATCTGAATTATGCTCAAAATTCTTATTGTTTAAGATGTTGATCGAATAGGAAAGTGCTTAAATCCATTGAATTTTCTTACACTTTGCTCTGTTACTATGGGCTTGTGCGTAACTCTTTTATGATTTTAACAACTCTTATCCTTTTGTGAATCAATTTATATCTTGGTAATTATTTTTTTCAACAAATATCAAAGATTAAGCTAATGAAAATTCATTTCGAATCATATTCTGCAATTCAGATTTCTGCTTTTCTCAACTGTCCAATCGTGTCTAAATTGATTGGTGTCAATTGATGCTTTGATAAAATTTCTGGTTAAAAGCAAAATTTTATGAACTTCAGATCTATCTTAAATCAAGTCTCATGATCAAGTCTATAGTTTAGTTTAATAGTTTTACCTTGGCACTAATTGTATCAATCGATGATTGTTTATTTGGTTCAAATAATTCTAGACGTTTCGATCATTAGAATCAACTATTGTTCATTTGATGAGATGCAGTTTAAGAGAAAGATAAAATCAAATGCCATCTTTGATCTATTCTATGCGTTTTTCACCCAAAATCCAATTCATTTGATTCAGTAAGAACGAACTTTGCTCAAACTTGGCATTCAGAAGCAATTTTTTTGAAATTGTTTAATCAACAATTAAATCATGAAATCGCTGTTTCATTAAAGGTCATTATTTTGCCATTTTAATGTTCAAAATTAACTCTTCTTTTGTTATTTTCTCAGAAAATTTCTGGTGAAAACTCTTGATTTGAGTCATCAATATCTGATTTTCAGCAACACATGATAGTCACTGACGAAAGTAAATTATCTTGTAATTGAAACAATGCAATTAATGTTTCCTGTTCTCTACTAAATGTCAATAACCAATTCAAACGAACCTTAGCATATTAATTGTTTGGACAGCTTTGGACAAGTTATGGTCATTTTCAGTCTAAAGATTAGTGAAATAAAAACTGAGTCCATTTTTCTAGTTGATCATCAAAAGTTACATCAGGAAAATGAGTTTGATGAAAATAATTGAACAAAAGGCGATCAAAGTCTCAATTTTGTCTCGTTTTCTTGAAAACTGTCGATTTAATAAGTTCTTTAACAGCACTAGCGGACTTAGACTTTGTGTCCCTACGAACCCATAAATTGCCAATTCTTAACTCGAAAGTCAGATTTTTTACACTTTATTCCTTTGTGTTATTTGATTGGAAAGATGATTTTTCTGGTTAAAAGCCAAAGTGCAATTGTCAATCAATCATGAATAGGGTTGATTAACAATAAATTGCAAAAAACTTATCAGTTATTTATTTCTCCCTTTCGTAAATTAAGCATTGTCGTAAAATTTATCATTTGTTTCCATAGGAACTTGAATAGAAAGTTAAATGTTCAAAGTCTCAGAGTGAAAAATGCACCAAGAGTTAAAATTGAAGTCAAATAATGCAATCTGAAATTTTATGTATACTAATAATTTCATCGTAAATGAATCAAACTTGATAACCTAAATCTAGATCTTATGATCATTTATTGAAACCCAATTTTTTGATGGTACCTTTTGAATCATATGCTTTCTTTATTCACTGATTAGAGTTAATGTTTAATTACGAGGGAAATCACTTTGAAATATTCTTAATTAATTCTCTGATATTGAATTTCAATCATATCGACCAATACATCTTGATTTTATCAGCTTTCAAACACTGGGCCGTTCAATTCAGTTATTCAGTATTTCTTGCTTTATATTGTTTCAGTGTGTTCTCATTGAAGCAATTAAAACAACTTTCAATAGTTGCAATTGATTATATCTTTGATCCCATCAAAATAAATACAATAATATAACTCGAGTAAAAGAGGCAGTAAACACTGATGATACAAACTGATTTTTTGGATGATTTGTCAACACAAGGAAAATATGATTTGTATTGACAAACCAACCATTTATCGGTTTGTAAATATCGATTCAATTTTATCATAAATATCATCTTTTTATTTAAAATTTGTAAAACTTGACATTAAAATGAGTAAATAGTATAATGAATATGAAATTTTGCTCAATATAATCCATGCCGATACGAATTGGCCAATTTAGTCGATTGGTTTAGTATTTTTCCATCCATAGAAACGAGGCAATGTCTTCAAGTGTCTCCATGTTTTTTCGTAAATTTCAGAAGCTTGATTATCTTGATCACAAGATTTCTCAATTAGCTGATTAAAGCGTCTAACCAAACCTTGCCGGCTTATTTTGAGTGGATTGCATTCAGCAAGTTTCTTGTTAACACCTTGTTTCAATCCTTCAACCACTATTTCCCCTGCACAACAATAGAAATACAGAAAGGGAAAACAATTAAAGTATAAGATAAAGCTTAATGCTAAAGTATTGTGAAAACCAATTTTGCTTATGAATAACGACATTTACTGCATTTATAAGAATGTGAAAACAATTGCAAATTGATTAACCATTAACATTGAAAAATAGAGTAATTTGACATTTGAGTTTTCATTTTGATTAATGCAGATCTCATCATTGAAACTAGATTATGATCATCGAGTCGTCTTTTTATTCCAGTGTTAAAATTTGTTGACATTTATTAATAATTCTCAATAATTTCGCACTTAGCTTACGCACCCGGATTTAGCTATCTGAGTTGATCAGATGTAATAATTTTCTAATTAAAAGTTGACGAGATGTTTGTAAAAGTAATTAAATGAAAACTGAGTAATCTCTTACATTTATCTTCTTTTTCACTCCACCAGACAATTGCTGAAGGACATGATTGTAAATTATTATATCGGATAAATGGTGAACATCGGATGGTTTCAACAAAATGAACTTCTGGTTGCTGATAATTCCTATTGAGCGATGAAAATGATTCAATTTTACATTTCTGTTCGTCACTCATTTCTATGGTCAAGGCCTGGTTGATTCGTTTCAAGTCAAACTCTTTAGTTTCAACACAATTACCAATAATTATTGATTTCAACCTTATCGGTCGTCGAGTTAAAGAAATCAATCGTTTCCCTTGTATACCGAGATAGCTCCATTTCAAGATTTTGTCAATACATGAGGCTTCATTGCAAGGTTCGCCCCTTCCTGGCTTTCGGTGGATTCCATGGTTGGCATCTTTTAGGAAAAGGCAAATATAATTAACGAAGATTATTTATGGCATAGCATCGAATGATCAAAATATCAAGTCTTATCGCTAAAGAAGCTGAAAATCACAAGTTTCAAATGTAACTCTACCAAAATTGAGATCATCATCAACATCAACATCAAATTTCGATTATTCAACCTTGGATATCATTTATATTAGATTTTACTATTTTCCACAAAAAATTATTGTTATTGGAAAGTCAAGTGATCTTTAGAAATACAAAAACAACCGTAAAAATTTTCCAACAACAATAATTATTGTGATTATAAAACTTTTTATATTATTATATTTCTGGTAAAAAAGAGTTTCCCAGCTAAAGATACCAATAGTAAGATTTATCAACCAGAATCACAAAAATGGTGTGATGACGATCTTATATTTGTTTTAATTCACTTTCTATGAGTAATAATTTTTCCTTTATATTGCAGAAAACAATAAAAGTATATGATGATCACAAAAGGAGACAAGACAATCAAGGAAGTATAAGAAGCAGAAAATGGGAAAACATAAACAACCTTTTTTAACAGGACCTTGATATCGATCAATAGTACCACATGGAAGTTGTGAAATAAAAAGATGCCAAGTTAAATTATCGAGATGATTAGAGTAATCAGAGTGTTTTTCAATCAATCCCATCAAGTGATGTTTAAAGGCTCTTTTACATAGGACTTCGGCATGACAGTCAATGAGAACGTTTGATAATTTCGATGGATTTCCAGTTACACATTTGGTTCCAGTTGTTAAGCAGGCAAGCTTAAAGCTATCAGACTGTTCATAGAGCAAACCACACAGTGTTGTCCATTGAGTGTCCAAAGGCTTACCAGTTTTACCAAGACTGTTGAAACAAAGGCCAACATAAAATTATGATATTGAAATGATACTACTGGTATAGAAACTGTTTTTCTTACCTTTGATATTTCTCCATGCATAGTTGTGCCATTGAATGATATTTAGAATCCTCCATCTGAATTTAAATTGAATTGAAAAGGTTAATCTTTCATTTTCCATTGAAATTAGGTGTCAGCATGTTTTCAAATATAAGCAGCGTTAAACTCAATTTTAAATTGTACTTGAGAAGGCTTTCATTATCATGGAAATGTTCTCAAAGTACAAGTCATCAAAGGTTCAAATTTTCATTGATCGAAACTTTTGATTAGATGAATCCTATCTAATTTCAATTGACATAACCAGATGTTAAAATGCAAAGAGATTATTTGAATTTTTCCCATTATTAATTGATAGCTTTGATAGATGGATGGATAGATATCAACCTGACTTATATTAAATGATTGATCTTTAGATTTGATTTAGTTGATCCTTATAGTTATCCTTAGTTGTAAAATATGCCAATTTAATTGGTGATTTCAATTTTACTAATATACTAATGGAATTATATCAATCCTAATTCGGTTACTAAATTTATCAAACTATAAATTTAAGGAAGTTGCAGAAAACAACCGAATCTACAATTATCTAATGAATGTTTTATTCTCTTTAATTTAAGGAAATATTGTTTATGTTTAATGTCCATTGATGATAAAACTGATGGTTTATGGGCACAGTGAACACACAAACTCAAATTGTATTATACAAATACACAAAAATTTTACGATAAAAAGGACAGAGCATTGAAATTGGTCTAAAACTTAGATTTATTCGTTTTATCATGAACTGGATTCAGAGATCATTCAACACCTTGAATCACTTGTGATAAGAATAAAGCACAACGTAAATGAAACAAAGTCAAGTTTTCAAATAAAGACACGGTAAAAGTAGTTAAAATATCTTTTGATTTGGGTTTAAAATTGTACACTTTAGATTAATAAACGTTTCATCTCATTTCATTAGATCGATCATTCTGGAGGGAAAGATTTGCCAATCTAATCCTCTTGTCTTTTCCAATGATGATGATGCTGATGAGCAGGGAATGGATGAACAATTGGTGGTTTAACTGTTTCAATTGTGAACGGAATCGGAACTGGCAAAGGGACTGGTACAACTCCTATTCCTGGAGGTGAAAGGACGGCAGCTGTTAAAATCATTTTAAGCAATTTACGAGCTTCACGATGAGTAAGTCTATAGCTGGTCGTAATTGTTGGAGTCATCAAGATAAATGTAATTATGTAAGCAACAACACAGAATATTGTTTGTTTACGTGAAAAGTTCATCATTATCTGCGTCACAACTGAAGTCACTGGCGTTGATGAATCGCTTACTGAGTTGTTTGATGGACACAGAGATTTAATTTGCTGTTTTCATAAACCGATGTATTACTTGATATTGATATTCAAATGGAAAATAGTTGAATGTGAAAATGTACCCTGGATCACTTCTCACCAATTTATGATGAAAAAGACACTGAATACAACTTTTATATACTGGAATTATTGGCCATTTACATATAAATAAGATGCCAGCTGATTTTGTGAAAGCATTAAACTGCAAACATGGCTAGGTAAATGACAGAGCTGTTGACAAGTTGATGGACAAAGCAATCATGAAATTGGAGACTTGTGTGGCTCAACTTGAATGTTTAATTAGCATCAACCTCGTTAACTATCACACCTTGACTGATTTTTGTGTTTTCATTTCATTCCATTTCCAAATATTGTAACTGAATTACTCAATATTCACATTTTTTCTGCTCATTGATTGAGAGACCCATTCTTTTGAGCGTTGTGGTCGACCATGACTATGGGCAACTTTAAAGCAAGTTTATTCATCTTATTCTGACCCTCTTCAAAGTAGAGTTGAAACAATTTAACTTTTATTTTGTTAATTAATTATTTTATATTCATTTCTAAAATTAGGATAATGGGCTGTTTAATATATAAACTATGACCAATTCATATCCAACTATAATTGATTGTTTTTTTTCATTCTTAATAGCGTTTTATGAATCTTACACTCAGACAAGCTATTGGTTTGAATGGCTAAACTTGTTTGTAATTCAAGATACAAATCGATCAAAACTTTGCGGGTATTGATGAATAATTAATTAATTTTGTAAATATTTGCTATCAATTGCCGGAATTTAATGGCTTATTGTCTATCAATAATTATCTTAGTTCGGTAGACTTGCACTTATTTATTTGAAGGTGTGATTTGTATCAAGAGTGTTACCACAAATCTTGAGAAAGATGTAAATACAAATATGGAAGTCTTATGAATGAATAAGGAAACAACTTGACATTGTCAATGAGTGAGAAATGATTAAATAATTAATCAACAATTTCAAGTAGTCGGTATTGTTTTTTATTTAATGTTACTGCAATTGGAAAGATTGCCGAAAAAGCTGAATCAACAATAATTCAATTTAACAAAATATTGAAGTTAAATCAACAGCTACTGTTGCTTAGTTTACAATCAATCATTTCTCATGTGAGTTAGGAAACTAATGTTAAATTGAAGAGGAAGATGAAGCGATATTGAACACTTAAAATGTGTAAAAATAAAAAATAGTAATTATGGAATAAAACAATCATATCAAATTGAAATAACCTTTGATAATTTTCAAAGTTGAACAATAGCTAAGAACAATATCATTATTATGTTATCATTGATAATGTGATTCTCCTTTGTTTGATTTTTCTGAATTGATTATACAAAAATACAATGAAGGTAGACTTATATTAACCGAAAATGAACACCAGAAAACGGAAAAAGTAAGGTAAATGTTTCAATAAAAAACTAAAGATTTTGAAATGAACGCCAATTTTGAGATGATGATCAGACCAACAGATAGCAGTAGAACCGAAAAACTAATATGAGTCAAAACTTGTGAATCACAAGTTATTACCAATTTAAAATAGTAAACAATGTTGATAATTATAAAATATAAATTAATAGACAGTATTAATCTCTAAAAGATTGACAGGTAACTTACGATAAAAACAAATTACCTAGGTGACTATTATTATGAAGGTTTACAAATTTATGACATTTTTCCTTTTTCCTAGATTGAAGCAGACTAATAGATTGCATTGATGTTGATAACAATGATTGTGGCACAATTTACTTACCATAGACGCTAATTAGACCTGTCTACCCTTTGGTATGGAGAGTAACAATCAATAAATTTAACTTTTGATTTGCTGGATTAGTTAAACGCCTCACTACACAACCAGAAAAACAACCTAAAAGAAAGGAGAGACTCGTGTTAAAATGTACACAGAAAAGGCTACAGCTGTGAAACTAACCCACAGAAAAGAGGGAGAGAGAACAAGTCAACCGGGTTTAAGACAAATAATTTATTAAACAATGCTAACTTAACTATCGCAATCAGATAGTACAAGAGGTGCCTTCCTTTGATTGCTTCGACTCTCATCATCCTCGCCATCATCACCAGTATCATCATAATCATCAATAATATTAACGTCAATCAGTGGTTCTTGACTTTTGTGTTTGCTCTCATGTTTCCTTTATGATCTGTTTCATTTCATTTTATCCTCTAAATTATTTGGTGATTGATTTGATTTATATTTGATTTTTGTGTGTCCTCTCCATTCGGATGGAGCATTTCTGTGGTCACAATTTTTGGGTAAGTTTGATATTGCTATGTTGCCTTATTTTTTATGTGTTAATATACCACATTCTAAAATTTTACTTTCTCACACTCTTTTTGATTTAGGACACTCAATTAACTTGGAATACCTCACATCCACTTTTTACTCCATGCTTTGGTGAAACCTTGTTAACATGGGTTCCTTGTGGTTTCCTATGGATAGTTGCGCCTTTTGCACTACACAAATTAATCCGATCACCAAACAGGAATATACCGTGGACTCTACTAAATTTTTGCAAAACAGTTAAGTTTTGCTTGGTTATATGAGACGGAAAAGTTATTTCCTTTCAGCTATGTGATTAATTAATAATGAGAGACGACTTATGATACTCATTGTCATCTCATATTGATTATATTGCTCTCAAGTTTAGAGAAAAACAGTTATTAACTTTTTTATTGTATTTCTTTTATCTTTTCCATTTTCCCACCAGATATTAGCAATTTTATTAAGCGCATCTTCTGCTGTCCAGTTAATCTATGCCATTGTTGAATTAGTTAATGGAAATCAAGTCCATCCAGTTGAATATTACTCGCCATTTATCAGCTTTTTAACATTTGTAAGTTGTAACCTTCACCGTCATCACAATCATCATCACTACCTTAAACCTACGCTCGGTTGGGTTTTCTAAGGTTGACTGGGAATACTAATTTGCTACTAAACTTTTCATCAACATTTCTGTTTGACTTTTTTCACAGAGTCTGTCAACTATATTTATATTGCTTCATCGTCGCAAAGGTGTTCATTCTTCTGGTGTCTTGTTCATCTTTTGGCTTCTTTTCACTGTCGGGGCATTAATTTATTATTGGACGATAATTGATACTGTTATTAACCCGGTTAGTTTTACCATAATCTGTTTCTTTCTTCTTGGACAAGCCGTAAAATCTTTGAATAAGTCTTAAACTGTCAATTTAATTTTTCTTCAAAGATTATGAATCTTATGAATCATTTATGAGTGGCATGTACTTCTGCATTTCATCACTTGACATAAGAATATGTGTTAATTTACTTACTTGTTAGATTTGTGCCACTCAATAAGACAATTGTTAAGTCTTATATAAACCGAGTCATTATCACATTATTAATGATGCACCTCTTGACAATTATTATCTCTTTCTATTGTCTTTTATTTTTCAATTGAATCAATGCTGTTTTTTCACATGCTGTTTTCAATCATTTTTCTTGTATCTTTTTCAAAACTTCTAACCTCGATACTTGATGACTATCTTTACTTTAGTCCAATTTATCTTAATGAATATCACTTATTTCTCGTTATTTTTATTATTAGGACAAATATTGGACGATTGACAAAATCACTTTTATAATCCGCTCAATTCAAACACCAGCTATTCTCTGTTCTTTCTTGCTGTCATGTTTTGCTGATACGCGAAGGGAATATTTCACTGCCGGAGAAGATTATAAGGTAAATTAAATTTACTTGACTTGATTTTTCGTTCTTTAAAACAACCCTTATCTAATTCATTGACACTCCCATTTAAAGTAAATAAATCTGAAGTTACATTCGATACATTTAATCTTATGCTCATCGTTTTATAAAAATCCAAGATAAAATAACTAAATTATCTAATAGCTAGATAACCTTTTGAACCAGAATTATCGTTTTTGGTTTTCTGAAATTCTCATCTCTCATTATATAGCTGCTTAATCGATTTCTGCTTTTTTCACAGAATGAGTGTCCGCTTCTACGAGCTTCTTTTTTCAATCAAATCACGTTCTTCTGGTATGACTCTATGGCATACTTGGGCTTCAAGAAATCTCTCACTCAAGACGATATGTGGGATCTTCCGGTGGATAACAAAACAGAGAAAATTTATGATAAATTTCGTCGATATCTTGAAGATGCCATTTTGTACTCATTTAACACTAAACAGAAATATCAAAGTGGAATTGTTAATTCCATCGAGGATTACTCCATTATCAGTGTCAATGTTGTTCTTCCTCTGTTTAAAGCTTTTTGGCCTCAGTTAATGGGATGTGGTGTCATTAAATTATGTTCAAGCTTTCTTACGTTCGGTAATCCTCTTCTTTTGGATCAGCTGATTGCTTTTGTAGCCAGTGATGATCCGAATTGGCGGGGTTATGTTATTGCGTTAGGAATGGCTATTTGTGCACTTCTTGAATCTATGTTAAATGGGCAGTACGAGTTCTGGATTAATGTTACTTCAATGAGAATGCGAGCTGCTCTCATTGCTAGTATTTATCGAAAAGTTAGTTTACCAAGTTTCTAATATTTGGATAACTTATATTATTTTATAATTTAATATTTCCTTTTTTTCAGAGTTTAAAATTATCTAGTGCAGGAAGGAAAGATTTTACTGCTGGTGAAATCGTCAATATAATGGCTGTTGATACTCAAAGAGTTGTTGATTACATAAACATTTACAACCTTCTGTGGTCTGCTCCAATTCAAATCTTCATTGCCCTTTATTTATTGTGGAACCAGCTAGGCGTTGCTTCATTAGCTGGTATTGCTGTGATGATTATTTTAGTTCCTGTTAATGGTTTTATTACTGTTAAACTGAAAACTTTGCAAGGTCGATTGATGGCTCAAAAAGATAAGCGAACAAAATTAATGAGTGAAATTTTAAACGGCATCAAGGTTCTTAAATTGTATGCTTGGGAAGGAGCTTTTGGAGAACAAATAACTAATATTCGTAATAAAGAAATAACGGCCCTTCGAGGCCAAGCAAAACTATCCGCCGGAATTGTTTTCGCATTTTCGTGCGCTCCTTTCTTTGTGAGTAATGCAAAATTTGATTTGAAATTTTATTAATTCTTAGTCTTTAATCGATGAATTTTCTAATTTTTAGGTCGCCTTTGCAAGTTTCTGTACTTTTGTGTTGATCGACTCCTCCAATATTCTAGATGCAAATAAAGCCTTCGTTTCACTTTCTTTATTCAATATACTCCGAATACCTCTTGCACTTCTTCCTATGGTCGTTTCTTATGGGGCGAATGTAAGCATTTTCATTGTTTTTGTTATATCAGTTTTACTCTAATTTTTTCTCGTCTCTTTCAGTTTATTATTTCAATAAAACGTATCAATAAATATCTTCAAGGAGATGAGATAGACCCAGAAACTATTCAACATGAGCCGAATCCGCATACTCCAGTTGTTTTAAGAAATGGAACTTTTAGTTGGTCCAAAGATGATTCTTCTGTTCTCAATGGTATTACGCTCGATATCAAAGATAAAAGTTTAGTTGCTATTGTGGGTCAAGTTGGAAGTGGAAAATCATCCTTACTGTCAGCTCTTCTCGGTGATCTTTACAAAACCGAAGGATATGTGAATGTTTATGGGAAGATTGCTTATGTCCCTCAATCAGCTTGGATCCAAAATGCTACTGTTAGACAGAACATCACATTTTCACAGCCATATATTGAAGAGAAATACAATAAAGTATTGGAAGCATGTGCTCTAACACAGGATCTGAAAATATTAACTGGTGGAGATTTAACAGAAATCGGTGAAAAGGGCATTAATTTAAGTGGCGGTCAAAAACAACGAGTCAGTCTTGCTAGAGCAGTTTACGCAAACTCTGACATTTATTTCCTCGATGATCCTTTGAGTGCAGTTGATGCTCATGTTTCCCGTCACCTTTTTGATAAAGTCATTGGTCCAACTGGAATGCTAAAAAAGAAGACCAGAATTTTAGTTACCCACAGAGTTACTTTTCTACCTCAAGTTGATGAAATTATTGTACTTAAAGATGGTCAAATTACTGAACAAGGAACATATCATGAATTATTAGCTAAAAACGGTGAATTTGCTCAATTTTTACTACAATTTGTGAGTGAGCAACATGAAGAACTTGCAGAAGAAGACAAAGAAATAATCGAACAGTTAAAAGAAAAAATGGGTCCTGAGTTTGAAAAAAGAGGATCTATTGTTAGATCAGAAACTCTTTCCAATAGCTCAGATGGAATTCGTAGACGAACCATGTCCAATGCCTCACGTCCATCAACCAAAAAAGGTAACACTAGTCGAAGTATGTCACAGTTACGAGAAGAGCCTGAATCGACCAAAGGAAATGGTGAAAAGTTCAAATTAGTTGAAACTGAAGTCGCTCAGACAGGAAAAGTAAAATGGGGAGTTTATTGGGAGTTTTTTAAAGCTTGTGGCCTGGTTTCATGCTTGCTTGTAATTTTAGCTTTCTGTTTATCAAGTACTTTTAACTTACTATCGAGTCTTTGGTTGACTGAATGGAGTAATGACTCTCTTAATCCAGCGGCTGCTAATGATACAACTCTCAGAAACATTAGGCTTGGTGTTTATTTTGGTCTTGGACTATCGGAGACAACATTTACATTAACCAATAGTATTATACTGAACTTTGCTATTCTCAAAGGCGCTAGACTTATCCACGAAAAGATGCTTCACCGAATGATTAGAGCACCAATGTCATTTTATGATACAACTCCGTTGGGTCGAATACTTAACCGTTTCACAAAAGATATTGATGTTGCTGATGTCACTCTCACTTTCAATATCCGTCTCCTGATATCACAAAGTTTTCGAGCGATCGTAGCTATCATTGCTATATGTTTAGAGACTCCTTACTTCTTACTTGTTGTTATACCGATTGGCTTTGCGTATATTTTTGTCCAGGTAAATAATTTAAATTCATATTTTTGCATTGATTCAAATTAATTATTTTTTCTCTTCAGAAATTTTACATATCTTCTTCCAGACAATTGAAAAGAATTGAATCAGTCACTCGATCACCAGTTTACTCGCATTTTTCGGAAACTGTCTCTGGAGCTACATCTATTAGAGCTTATGACTGCAGCGAAAGATTCATTAATGAGTGTTATCACAGAGTTGATATCAATCACTCATCTTACTTCCCCAATTTAGGCTCTAATAGATGGTTAGCGGTTCGGCTCGAGTTTCTTGGAAATCTAATCGTATTTCTTGCAGCTATTTTTGCCGTGACTTCACGTGGTACTTTAAGCCCTGGTTATACTGGACTTTCCGTTAGCTATGCTTTAACTGTCACTCAAGTATTGAATATGTTGGTTCGAGCTGTATCTGATGTTGAAACAAATGTAGTTTCAGTTGAAAGGTGTTTGGAATACACTAAAACTCCAATGGAGGTAATTTTATATCTTTTTAAAACTCATTGGCGATTCCTTGGTATTCATGTAGATTAATGACTATTTTTCTTCTTATCAGGCACCCTGGGACTTACCACACAAGAGAACCTCATCAAATTGGCCTGACAATGGACAAATTGAATTCAAAAATTATAGCACTAGATATAGACCAGGTCTCGATCTAGTATTGAAAGACATTTCTTGTACTATTAAACCAAATGAAAAAGTTGGTATAGTTGGTCGAACTGGAGCTGGTAAATCTTCTCTTACATTGGCTCTATTCCGAATCATTGAACCGTCTGGAGGAAGAATAGAAATTGATGATCAAGATATTTCTCAATTAGGTCTTCACAATCTTCGCTCAAGACTCACGGTTATACCTCAAGACCCTGTTCTATTTTCTGGAAGCTTCAGACGTAATTTCGATCCATTCGAGAAGCACACCGATTCAGACATTTGGAAAGCTTTAGAACTTTCTCATTTGAAAGGCTTTGTGGATTCTTTAGAATCTGGTCTCAATTATGAAATCGCCGAAGGCGGAGAAAATTTAAGTGTTGGACAGAAGCAGTTGGTTTGCTTAACTAGAGCTTTACTTCGTAAAAGCAAAGTTTTAGTTCTTGATGAAGCTACTGCAGCAGTCGACATAGAAACTGACGAGCTTATCCAAGGAACGATTCGTAAAGAGTTTTCCGATTGCACCATTGTAACCATTGCTCATCGTTTGAATACAATTATGGATTATGATAGAATAATTGTAATGGATAAAGGAACAATTATTGAGTTTGATTCACCTGCAAATCTTCTTAAAGACACAAAGTCAATCTTTTATTCGATGGCAAGGGAAGCAAATCTAATATGATGAATAATTAGTCATCTTTTCAAACACGCAAACTCGCACCAATACAATACTTTGATGTCGCCTTTTCAATTATGTTTGCAACTAATCATCTTTGGAGTTATTGATCAAGTAGTTTCCAAATTTAGCTCATTTCTTCTATTTCGTGTCTCGCTGGACTTATCTAGTCTATAATAATTTAAGCAATAACATCTCTCGATTTCCTCTACGACTTCACCTAATTGAAGAATAGCTGCTCAATCATCTTTACTGCTCTCTATCAACCTCTTTAAGTTCTTCCTTTATAATTTTTATCAAGTAAAAATCATGTGGCCTTTTCTCAAATAATATGTTATAATGAATCATGATTAGGATTGAATTTTAAACCATAAAGCATAAAATGATAGAAATAATAAGATTTCTAAATCTAGCTCTTTTCAAAGTATAGCTAGTTCAACGCAAAAGGCTATCTTTGTGTTGAATCAAACACCAACTTGCTTGAAAATCATAATCATCTTTCAAAATTTCATGTTATGAACAATTAGTTGACAAATCATCCGATATTCCTCTGAAGGTTCTCTATTGTATAACTTAAGCTTGTTTTCCTCTTTAACCGAGTCATATTTTTTATACCTTTTAACAAATAATCATATTGTATGTTATTATAAACGTTTATAAACATTTTAAAATATAAATAAAATTATCTTCTATGCTTATTGGACAATATTAAAATGGTTTAAATCGCCTTCCAAACAAAAGTTCATATTTTAATAACAATTTGTTATCTTTTAGACAATTAGAATTTCCAGGTCAAATTAAGTTTAGATTGTTGATGAGATGAACAACAGATAATCCTTGATGGACAACTTTAGTCTTTAAATATGTGAATCAATTCTGGTAATGGCACAAGATGAGCAAGATTAATTCATTTGATAGATAAACTGGGTCTTACTTGCGTCTACACTGTTCGCAACTACTTCCAATTGAAGTATTTAGGATTGAATGGTCGAATCTAATTAAATCTAATTGCTGTTTCGCCGTTTGTTGTGGACTCAAGTTGGCCATAGAGGTTGAACAAACAGTATCCATGTGTGACTTCACGCAATGCCATTGACCAAAAGTTCAGTTAAGTAAGATGAGCCTAATAGTATTCCTTACTTGACTAAAAATTGAATCATTTGTTTGTTTAACCAATTTGGTTAATTAAGACAAGAGACAAAATCTTAATGCTTGCTTCTGCTTTTTGTTTGCTTCTTTTTTTGTCTTCGGCTTTTCGCTTCTTGATTGATATCACATTATACCAAAGGATATTTACAAGTGTAATATGAGGCGAGATCGGGTAACTTGCTTTTTTCAAGTTTACTTTAACCGACAATTTATTGTTAAGTAAGGCTGTTTTATCAGACGATGATGATAAATGACGATCAAAACAGGAGCTGAAGACAAAAGAGGAGACAAGATCCACATTATGACCATAATCCTTTGGCTTACCAATGATTTGTGTAGAAAATTTACTCAAGCTGTTCATTTCAATTTTAGAGTTTGAAAAGATAACTAGTTTTGTTCTCTTTCCATTCTTCTTTTTCTCTAAACATTTATTTCTAGTTAAAGTCTTATTTTCTTTAAATATTTTCATAAATTCATATTTGTGTTACGATATTTATAATTGTTTTTATTGTTTTTTCAAAAATATTTTCCCACAAGTATTTCTATTCACCATGTCAGTGCGTCTTAGACCCCAATCGAGTTCAAATGTTATCGTCGGTCATCACTCGGGAGGATGGTTTGAGATAGACAAAGGTCTATTTTCCTCTGTCGCGACATCGGTCGCCACACTATTCACCTCTGACCGTGAGGTCAAAAGGATTTTGATCCCTGACACCGTTGCTCCTTCAGTTTTTGTGGCCATTAAAGCCATGTTCCATGGAGATGAAGTGGATGTTGAACCGGAAGATTTAAAGGAATTTACTAAGCAACTGGAAAGCATTGGTGTAAAAGTTGTAAAAGTTTATCATTCTTCTTCTGTTACCGACGATAGACCAATGGTTATTGTCAAGCAACTTTACAAATTATGGCGAGCAATTATCCTTTGGCCAAGACATGAGTCTGATCGACTGATTAATGTTAGGGTCCAACCATGTGAGTAACTTTTTTGATTTTAATATTGTTTTTCGTTTTTTTCATTAATTTTGTATTACATTTCTGTTTGCAGTTTACACTTCTTATGTGCCCAAAGATACTCCATGTCAGGAGTTTAAGATGTATGAAAAAGAAGATCTGGTGAAAAGCTTCGCTTATTATAATATAAAATTTACACACGGAGATTTCAGAAATAAACTCACCTGTGTTGGTCCAAACAATAAGACTTTTAAAGTCAAAAGAAAGAAAATGATAAATTTATCTACTTTGAAATTCAAAACATTCGAGCGATATGCAGGAGACATAAATTATGTTTTCCTTCCTGCAAATATATCGGAATTCACTTTTGATCAATTTCAGTCTCTTGTTTTGAATGAAATGTGCACCATCCCCATGCAAAAGTTTGAAAAATTCAAAACAGAGTTGGAGACCATCGGGCTTTCTATTGAAATCAGTGATCTTATTGATGTAGACCACAAACATCAATATAGAGTTTTAGCCAGGAAAGCCAAAAAGGATAAATCTAAATCTTTTGTTTACATTTGCGAATTTAATCCTAAGTATGCCATAAACCCAGCTGCAGCCACGGAAGAACCAGTTGTGGAAATCACACGATTGGAGTTGAATGATGAACAACCAGAACCAGAACCAGAACCAGAGCCAGAGCCAGAGCCAGAGACAGAGCCTCCAAAAAAAAGGAAATGTTTAATTTAAATATTAAAAAAGATAATTTGATAATTTTATAAAGCAATTCAGTTACATGTCAATTTCCTCATTTTCTCATAATTTCCGCCCTTATAATCATAATAAAATTTAAGTCATTCTAACACCTTTTGTTTGTCTATTTTCTCAAATGTTTAAAGTCGTTTAGTTTTATGTTGTTTAAGTGATAAGAAACATTAATTTCTATGTTTTGTGTGTTTTTTAATCGATTGTTGGTGCTTCTAATCGATTCAACTTCAAGATCCATTGAGAACACTTGAAAAAGGTAAGTTCCTTAGTTTATTATTCATTTATGAGTGAAAGTTACTTTATTTATTTCATGTTTTGTTTCATGTGTTTGAATCATTTCTTATTTTAGTTTTATCGTCATCATCCATGGACAAGAAGAGCAGAAGGTGATGTTTCATCAGACTATTTTGGTTTCCATATTCATCCATATCAGAGGCAACTGGTGAAGCGTTTGGCTCTTAGTAGTTTAGTACTAGGTTAAGCAACACCAGTGAGATGAAGCGGCTAAGGGAACGAGTTACTCAGTTAAAGGAGGATAAAATTTAACAAAGGTAAGATTTATAAGAGATTTTTCTATTTTCCAAGAGCTAATGAATTTCATTTTTTATATTTCATCTCTCAGGAACAACAGCAACTGCTTTATGGTATACTTCAACATGTATGTGTAATAGCGAGCATAATACCAACCAGGAAGAATCGTTTTGTAGTTTACTTCATGTTCATTGGTTTTCAACATTCAAGATATTTTTAGTCCAAATTCGGAGTGTCAAAATGCCACCTTGACTATCACTTATTACCATCAAACTTTCATCGTATTAAAGCCATGTAAGTTCACAGCAAATGTTAAATCTCGACGAATCTAATTTAGTCTATCTTTCTTTGAATCTCTTTTCATCTATTGCTTTACCAATCAATTTCTGGTTCAACTAATCGTGACAATCACCATTTCCATTGGTACAGAGACTTACTTTAATCAATCGACCATCTCACAGTGTACAGTCAACCTGGCTAAACGTCGTTGTTTGTTTGAGTTTATGGAAAACGCTAAACTAAACAGTCTAGCTGCGGCAGCGGCTCAAGCTAATACTGATAGATTAGCTGCATCAGTCGTGCGATCATTGAGTCCAGGTTCGTTAAACCCAAGTACATCGAGTTCACAAACAGGATCACCTAATTTTAATCACAAAATATCAGGCATACCCTGTGTCGCCGCCGCTTCTAGATATACAGCTCCAGTTCATATTGATGTAGGTGGAACGATATATACTTCATCCCTTGAAACTTTAACCAAGTAAGTCATTGTGAGGAGTGATATGTTAATATTAGCCCACAATAATATCAGTCGATCCTAGCCAATCTTATCAAAGGATCAAACTTCATCATTAAATTAAACTTCTAGGTATCCAGAGTCGAGATTAGCGCGAATGTTTAACGGCTCCATTCCCATTGTACTGGACAGTTTGAAACAACATTATTTCATTGATCGAGATGGAGAAATGTTTCGTCATATACTTAACTTTTTGAGAACCTCAGCAGCACCAGTCAATGAAGACTATCCAGAACTTGATCTGCTGTACGAGGAAGCTAAATTTTATGCCATTTCACAATTAATTAGGTAATTTTTCTTTGCGTCTTTTAAAGTTTTGCTTTCTTTTTTGTTAATGTGGCAACATTTTGTTCTGTTTTCTTTATGTTTCTAGACTGTTGGAAGAACTGCGAAAACAAAGATTTGAGAAAGCACTCAGATCACTAACATGTCCTGTAACCTGTTCACGGATAGCTCAGAGTTCATCTGCAAATATTAACAAGAACGGTAAATTGTCTCGAACCCAGAACACCTCCAATACAACCTTAGTCTATCTTAATGATTCGGATGATGCTCATCATCTTCTTCATCGTCATCTTCTTGTTTACTCAGCCTTATCCTGTTGTTCCCCTGGCCATCCTGGTATAATTACGCCTGCTTGTGGTGGTCGACGAGCCTCCAATTCTTCAACTTCAATCACCACAATTCCTCCAATAACTAGTATCAATGTTAATAATAACAGCTCTGCTTCCGCCAAAAATGCAGTCAACATCGGTTCAACAAATACTACTGCCTCTGCCAATGTGACCCAGACTCTTATGACCAATTCAACTAACACTATGAGTCCAACATCTTCATCTTTTTCGGATCCCATTGAGTCTGATTTTCAATGTATATCTTTAAATGTTAGACTTGAATGTGAACTGATTCTGATTAGTGGACGTCGTACAATTGTGGAGGAAATTTTTCCAGAAATTATCGCATCTCTTATGGATAGCAGGACGAATGTCACATGGATTCAGGATTCAAAGTACATCATTAGGTTTCTACTGAATGACTATTTACAAGAGATTACAAGAGATTTTTGTGTTTTCCAAGAACTAATGAATTTCATTTTTTATTTCATCTCTCAGAAACAACAAATGGCGTTATTGAATCTTCCGACGAATTAAAGATTAAAATATAAATAAAATTATCTTCTATGCTTATTGGAAAATCTTAAAATGGTTTAAATCGCCTTCCAAACAAAATTTCATATTTTAATAACAATTTGTTATCTCATAGACAATTAGAATTTCCAGGTCAAAATAAGTTTAGATTGTTGATGAGATGAACAACAGATAATCCTTGATGGACAACTTTAGTCTTTAAATATGTGAATCAATTCTGGTAATGGCACAAGATGAGCAAGATTAATTCATTTGATAGATAAACTGGGTTTTACTTGCGTCTACACTGTTCTCAACTACTTCCAATTGAATTATTTAGGATTGAATGGTCGAATCATTTGTTTGTTTAACCCGTTTGGTTAATTAAGACAAGAGACAAAATCTTAATGCTTGCTTCTGCTTTTTGTTTGCTTCTTTTTTTGTCTTCGGCTTTTCGCTTCTTGATTGATATCACATTATACCAAAGGATATTTACAAGTGTAATATGAGGCGAGATCGGGTAACTTGCTTTTTTCAAGTTTACTTTAACCGACAATTTATTGTTAAGTAAGGCTGTTTTATCAGACGATGATGATAAATGACGATCAAAACAGGAGCTGAAGACAAAAGAGGAGACAAGATCCACATTATGACCATAATCCTTTGGCTTACCAATGATTTGTGTAGAAAATTTACTCAAGCTGTTCATTTCAATTTTAGAGTTTGAAAAGATAACTAGTTTTGTTCTCTTTCCATTCTTCTTTTTCTCTAAACATTTATTTCTAGTTAAAGTCTTATTTTCTTTAAATATTTTCATAAATTCATATTTGTGTTACGATATTATTTATAATTGTTTTTATTGTTTTTTTCAAAAATATTTTCCCACAAGTATTTCTACTCACCATGTCAGTGCATCTTGAACCTCAAAGTGATGCCAATGTTATCGTCGGCCATCACTTGGGAGGATGGTTTGAGATAGACAAAAGTCTATTTTCCTCTGTCGTGACATCGGTCGCCCCACTATTCACATCTGACCGTGAGGTCAAAAGGATTTTAATCCCCGACACCGTTTCTTTCTCAGTTTTTGTGGCCATTAAAGGCATGTTCCATGGAGATGAAATCAATGTAAAAGCAGATGAATTAAATATTTTCAAACTCCAACTTGCAAGCATCGGTGTAAAATTTCTACTCATTTATCGTGATAGCTCAGTTGTGGATAATCAACCCATCGTTATTGGTAAACGCATAGGCAAATTCTGTCGATCAGTTATTCTTTGGCCAAGACATTATAGAGAACCAAATGATGAAATCAAACCATGTAAGATTGCATATCATTTTATTATTTTCATATTTTTTATTCTCTTTCTTTCTTTTTATTTTCTTAATAGTTTACTCTGCATATGTTGCCAATGATCATTTATGTCAGGAATTCAGACTTTACGAAAATCAAGATGCAGGGAAAATTGTTGATTATTATAATATTAAATTTACACACGGAGATTTCAAAAAGAATCTCATCTGTGTTGGTCCAAACAATAAGACTTTTAAAGTCAAAAGAAAGAAAATGATAAATTTATCTACTTTGAAACTTAACACATTCGAGCGATATGCAGGAGACATAGATTATGTCGTCCTGCCCTTTAAGATATCAGAATACACTTTTGAAAAATTTAAATCTCTTGTTCTGGAGGGATCATGTAAAGTTGTTATGGAAAAGTTTGGGGAATTCAAAGACGAACTCAACTTGATTGGGATTTCACTCGAAATCGGAGAAATTCTATATGATGAATATAAAAATCAATATAGAGTGTTAGCCAGAAAAGCCAAGAAAATTCGTTTTAAATCTATTGAATATATTTGTGAATTCAATCCTGGTTATGCCTTCAACCCAGCTGAGGCCACGCAAGAACCAATTGTGAAAATTGCCAAATTGAATGATGAGCAACCAGAACCAGAACCAGAACCAGAACCAGAACCAGAACCAGAACCAGAACCAGAACCAGAACCAGAACCAGAACCAGAACCAGAACCAAAACCAAAACCAAAACCAAAACCAGATCAGAGCCAGATCAGAGTCAAAATCAGAGCCATAGTAAGAGCCTGATCCTACTAGAAAAAGAAGTTTAATTTAAATATTGAAAAAGTTAATTTAATAATTTTCAAAAAATTCAGTTACTTACACGTTTGTAATTTTTCCCATTTCCTCACAATTTCCCTCCCTTATAATCATAATAAAATTTAATTCATTCAAATACCTTTAATTTTTCGGTTTACTTCTCAAAACAATCTTAAATGTTTAAAGTAACTCAGTTTTATGTTGTTGTTTATGTGATAAGAAAACATTCATTTCTGTGTTTTCAGTATTTTTATTAATAAGTTTAGTAGTGTCTCAAACTTGTATCGATTAAGGACCCATTGAGAACGTGTCAACACTTAAAAAAGGTAAGTTCCTTAGTTTATTATTCATTTATGAGTGAAAGTTACTTTATTTATTTCATGTTTTGTTTCATGTGTTTGAATCATTTCTTAGTTTAGTTTTATCGTCATCATCCATGGACAAGAAGAGCAGAAGGTGATGTATCCTGAGTTTATTAAAAGTGTACATAATTTAAAAAATGTAATATTTACAAATTTATTATCAAAGTGAATTCGACTTGATTCGATGGATAAGCAGCACCTTCTAGATGAAACTAAATGTCGCCTAACAAGAGACTTTTTTGTTTTCCAATAGCTAATGATTCGGATGATGCTCATCATCTTCTTCATCGTCATCTTCTTGTTTACTCAGCCTTATCCTGTTGTTCCCCTGGCCATCCTGGTATAATTACGCCTGCTTGCGGTGGTCGACGAGCCTCCAATTCTTCAACTTCAATCACCACAATTCCTCCAATAACTAGTATCAATGTTAATAATAACAGCTCTGCTTCCGCCAAAAATGCAGTCAACATCGGTTCAACAAATACTACTGCCTCTGCCAATGTGACCCAGACTCTTATGACCAATTCAACTAACACTATGAGTCCAACATCTTCATCTTTTTCGGATCCCATTGAGTCTGATTTTCAATGTATATCTTTAAATGTTAGACTTGAATGTGAACTGATTATGATTAGTGGACGTCGTACAATTGTGGAGGAAATTTTTCCAGAAATTATCGCATCTCTCATGGATAGCAGGACGAATGTCACATGGATTCAGGATTCAAAGTACATCATTAGGTTTCTATTGAATGACTATTTACAAGAGATTACAAGAGATTTTTGTGTTTTCCAAGAACTAATGAATTTCATTTTTTATTTCATCTCTCAGGAACAGCAGATGGCGTTATTGACTCTTTGGCGCCTTAACTCAATGAAAATGCTGGTGTTACCTTGTAAGTTACATCAAACCTATTGAATTCAAAACCCGCCTAAGGGTAACTTCAATTGCAATTGAACCTCCTCCTGTATTTTGCTCTCTTCCTCACTTATTCATCATTAACATGAATGGTTCGCAAAATCATCAGTTCACTCTGTTTACAACTCACAACTTTGTCAGTATCGACACCATCATAAATCCGATCATCAAACAAGTGGAAAATTTCAAAATGCCTTCCTTGATTATCACTTATTACCATCAAACTTTCATCGTATTAAAGCCATGTAAGTTCACAGCAAATGTTAAATCTCGACGAATCTAATTTAGTCTATCTTTCTTTGAATCTCTTTTCATCTATTGCTTTACCAATCAATTTCTGGTTCAACTAATCGTGACAATCACCATTTCCATTGGTACAGAGACTTACTTTAATCAATCGACCATCTCACAGTGTACAGTCAACCTGGCTAAACGTCGTTGTTTGTTTGAGTTTATGGAAAACGCTAAACTAAACAGTCTAGCTGCGGCAGCGGCTCAAGCTAATACTGATAGATTAGCTGCATCAGTCGTGCGATCATTGAGTCCAGGTTCGTTAAACCCAAGTACATCGAGTTCACAAACAGGATCACCTAATTTTAATCACAAAATATCAGGCATACCCTGTGTCGCCGCCGCTTCTAGATATACAGCTCCAGTTCATATTGATGTAGGTGGAACGATATATACTTCATCCCTTGAAACTTTAACCAAGTAAGTCATTGTGAGGAGTGATATGTTAATATTAGCCCACAATAATATCAGTCGATCCTAGCCAATCTTATCAAAGGATCAAACTTCATCATTAAATTAAACTTCTAGGTATCCAGAGTCGAGATTAGCGCGAATGTTTAACGGCTCCATTCCCATTGTACTGGACAGTTTGAAACAACATTATTTCATTGATCGAGATGGAGAAATGTTTCGTCATATACTTAACTTTTTGAGAACCTCAGCAGCACCAGTCAATGAAGACTATCCAGAACTTGATCTGCTGTACGAGGAAGCTAAATTTTATGCCATTTCACAATTAATTAGGTAATTTTTCTTTGCGTCTTTTAAAGTTTTGCTTTCTTTTTTGTTAATGTGGCAACATTTTGTTCTGTTTTCTTTATGTTTCTAGACTGTTGGAAGAACTGCGAAAACAAAGATTTGAGAAAGCACTCAGATCACTAACATGTCCTGTAACCTGTTCACGGATAGCTCAGAGTTCATCTGCAAATATTAACAAGAACGGTAAATTGTCTCGAACCCAGAACACCTCCAATACAACCTTAGTCTATCTTAATGATTCGGATGATGCTCATCATCTTCTTCATCGTCATCTTCTTGTTTACTCAGCCTTATCCTGTTGTTCCCCTGGCCATCCTGGTATAATTACGCCTGCTTGTGGTGGTCGACGAGCCTCCAATTCTTCAACTTCAATCACCACAATTCCTCCAATAACTAGTATCAATGTTAATAATAACAGCTCTGCTTCCGCCAAAAATGCAGTCAACATCGGTTCAACAAATACTACTGCCTCTGCCAATGTGACCCAGACTCTTATGACCAATTCAACTAACACTATGAGTCCAACATCTTCATCTTTTTCGGATCCCATTGAGTCTGATTTTCAATGTATATCTTTAAATGTTAGACTTGAATGTGAACTGATTATGATTAGTGGACGTCGTACAATTGTGGAGGAAATTTTTCCAGAAATTATCGCATCTCTCATGGATAGCAGGACGAATGTCACATGGATTCAGGATTCAAAGTACATCATTAGGTTTCCATTGAATGGCTATTGCAAACTGAATTCACTGCAAACTATTTCAAGATTATTAAATTATGGATTTCGCATAATTGCATCTACTGGTGGTGGTAGTGAGGGTCAACAATACAATGAATATCTATTTGCTCGTAATCGAATGAATCATGAATGTGACTAATAATTCATTTAATATTTAAAAACGAACCAAGTTGACAAAAAATCGTTATCAAGTAAGTAATTTGAATTTGTCAATCATATAATTGTGAACCATTAGTTATTGTGATATAAACTTGAAGTGATTGAACGCAAACACATTACAGAGTTTATTGAATATTTTCAATTTGGTTAGCTTCAATCTCATTTTAGTTTAATTTTGCCTTAATTTAGGTCAAATTTGACTTTCGATTAATTTTTTCATCAGTCAGTAGTTTAAAATTCTGAAGAGTCGTCAACCGTCCGAAATAGTTTATTTTTTCTAGAAAAATCTTCTAACAAAAAAACCCAACCAATAGAAAGTTAAGCCGATCCGTGAGCCGAAAAGCCGTTAAGCCGAAAGAGTGTCTAATCTGAATATTACTGTTACATAAGAAATTACTGTTCTGAAGATGAAAGCAAACTAATTTAAAGTAACCCAAAGTTAAAATTGATTCAAATTCTTGCAATATACTTTGTCACAGCAATTGACTGATTTGATTTGTAGTATCGCTCTATTTTCATTTAATTTTCCTTTTTTCTTTTTCTTTGCTTTCAATTTTTCCAGCCTAAAATTAAAGTACAAAATTTCGACGAGGAAGTCGAAGAAGAAGATGGCCATTGAATGTCGATTTCAATAAAAATTATTTCCACTGAGCAAAGGTTATTAGCGTTGGTAATATACGTGATCGCAATCGCCATAAGTAATGTAGTGATATACATGTAAATGGTCTGAAGCAAGTGGTCTGAATTTCTCATGCAGTCCTTCAAATCGGACTATTGAAACATTCATTGAGAATTCAATCGAATGCTCAATGATTCTATGAATAGATTGTTTACGAAAGTATTTGATCATGTTTTTAATTATATTTACAAGTAATTATTAATAAATTACCATGTAAATAAATCTAAACAAGCCAAACCTTCTATAATTAAATTGACTTTGCCAAATTGAACTAAATTAACAATTAATTATTGATATATCAACATAATGATTGAATCTCATTGCTATGATTAATGGCATCGATATTAATCATTGTTGAATCAAATTGCTGCTTGTTTCGTTCAATAAAGAAGGTATCTCAAGTAATGCACAATTAACTTTTGTTTTTATCTGGTATTCATGATCAATAACATAAATATTATCAATGTTGATGTAAATCTGAATAAAATTAATTTCAAATCAATGTTTAATTAGCTAAATTTTCCCTGAAAAAAGTTATAACGTGTTAATGTGTTAAATATTAAGTGAAAATGAGCATCATTTGAATTTACAGTTCGTAATAAATGATTAGAATCAAAGAGCATTATTCACATCAATCAAATTAGAATCAGTAATTTTATGAATGTCTCAAACATGTACCAAGATTATGATCATCAATTAATAATGAAATTGTTGAGGAATTGCGAATTGAAAACAAAAAAGGGTAAACTGAAGGGAAATAGGATAAAGCTCAAGAACGGTGAATGAATAGAGCATGAAAAGCCAAAAATGAAATAATGAGACTTGGCTCATTACAAATCTGGTAACGCTTCTTGAACCCTTAGGTGATATTAACAATTGCTGTTTGTGCTCTGTCTGTCTGAGCCTCATGAATGGATATACAACCTTTTTATGCAATATGTTTCTATTTATCCTTCTCAACATATTACATTGGAAACATAACCTAAGGCCTAAAGGATGAAGCTAAATTATTTACGCATCGATGATGTGTTAATAACCTTATATTGAAAATGAACAACAGTTATTAGTTCTTGTTTATCCAGAATTGTTTTCATATTCAACTCTTAATCTTGCTGTTGCCCATTAATTTGATTATTATATTGTTACGTCTTTAAAATCCATGCAAATCTATTCACTTGTTATTCACATTCATACTCTTTTTATGCCTGTTTCACCCTCAGGCCCATTCTATATGAACATTTTTTTACCTCAAGCTCAAAGTCGCTTTAATTTCTAGCCTTAACAAACATGAAAACATTTTCAGTGCTACTTTCATAGTTGAATAAGGTTGTCAGATGAACACAGAGAGACAATGATCAGTAAAGACACACACATTTGACTTGAGGGTAAGAACAAGAGTCTTGAATAACAACAAATTTTGGACATTTTTGCATGACAGCAATTGTTATCTTGATCATGTTCCCGACTGAAATTTTGCCATGTTGCACCATAATAATAGATGATGTGTAAATGTGAATACAGTAAAAGTTGATGTAGGCGTTTAATGAAAATGAATCAGTTGAAAGTTGAAAGCGAGTTTAAAGGGTTAATCTGTAAACTCTTTATATTGAAGTGATTCAAATACATGCAGGAGTGGCTCACTTGATTTAATATTAACATAACGAACAAATGATCCCAAAATATCCCATTTCGCGATAACATCTTATTTACAGTGGAAAAGATATTTGTTATCTTGTTAGATTGAGAGAATCAAATGTTGACGCCAATGTTGATTTCAGTTTGAGGACATTTCATTTTTATCCAGTGCAGTTTATATCAGAGTTTTTATTTAATTTATTTAAACACTTTGATAACATGAATCCCCGATCCAATGAATGAACACAATCATACCATTGAGTTTGATGAAAAGATGATCGGTTTGACTGAATGCCAAAGCGTCTGGTGTGACTGCAATCTGAGACTGGTATGACTCCATAGCTATTTGTTGCACTGATATATCTTTTAATACGTATCAATATTGTGAACTGAAATGGGCAACAATCGTCTAGGAAATGAGAAATGATGGAAACATGAAGAAGATGGAAAGTGCCATCATGTTGATATTTACCGCGTTTTTAAGGCTGGAATAATTTATTCTTTAATTTTTAACATTTAATGTTTCATGTGATACAATATGCAATATTGAATGAAATAATGTATAAACAAAATGGAGATTCTGTTCATTTAATGTCATTTGCTTTATTTTTGTAGACTTTAGAGACGAGTACTCAATAAAAATTGCCTCAAGGCTTTCAGGGCTAAGGTTAGTTTCCATCAAATCGAACCTTCAACTTCATTTATCATCAAAACATTTTTAATTCTCCACCCAACCCAAACTCCTAATTCACTTCAAATGGCCATTAATTTAATCTTATGACCAGCACAGCCTATTCTAAACAAAATAGTCATCAAATGACACGACAATTGAACTAATTATACACAGAAATTCAATTGCACCTTATCCATCATAAATGAATGAGCACATTTAGAAGCACAAACAATTCGAAAGCAGGCACATGTCCATATTGATTGAGAAGCTGAATTCAGCAATGACTGAACGAATGATTACCTGAGATACTTTTTGACTTTTGAGCTTTTTAGACTTGTATCTGAAATCTAGGTCTGAAAAAGCCAGGATTTCATCGAAAAGGTTTCGAATCGTCGATACGGTAGTTTTATAATGAAATGATCATTTTACGGATTAAGATTTTAATGAAAGTCGATTCAAGCGAAAAAGTCTGCAGTTCATGGTTAGGAGCAGGAAAAGCTGAATTGTTGACATAACATGAAAATAACAAAACAAATAACCCTTCAAGTTAACCCGATGCTTCATTAATTGTTATGAGCAGAAGATACATAATTATGGTCTTTAATGTCTCATTGAAAGCCATTAAAAACAAATAATGTTATAAAACCAATCAATCCTCATCTCAACATGATGAGTTGATTCAGTAATTCAAAAGCCCATGCATACTAATAAAATTACAATTAAATTTTCTCAAGTGCCTCGAAATTCAACAAAAGATGAATTGAGACTAGAATTGAAGTTTGTTTTATGATAAGATGAAGGTCCATGTAATTGGCTAAACGAATCATTTAATGAAAAAAACAAACTAAAGCCTTAAATAAATGAAAGCTTTAAAAACGCAACTTGTCACAATATGATTGTATTAATATAATACTTGATAGCATTAATAATACATTTTCATCCTCATTTCAACCAAAGTCAACATTTTCTTGCTTCACAATCTGCTAATACATCCAAATAAACACGCAGAGTTAAAGAGCAAGACCATTATGATGATTATGATGAAAGTTTAGCCGAAAGGCATGAAACATGAGAGATGGAATGAAAAGGAGCACTCAACTGAATTTTCTTCTTCTTCTTCTTCCTCCCAATCGCCTTTAGCACTTTTCATCCAATAAAGTTCCCATGCCTCCACCTCCTCCTCCTCACCATCATCTCCCTGACTTGATGATACCTCAGGTAATTTTACGATTTTCATGTTTTCTTTCATCAACATGATCATTTTTATAAAAGATCAACAACAACACCAACAACCATTCATTTCTTAAATACCTTCAGGTGATCCCCTCATCCTCATCATTTTCATCTTCAACTATTCTGTCCTTTACTTTTTCAACTTTTCTTCTTGTTCAGGTAATCTTCATCATTCTTCATGATGCTCGTCCTCCCACTCTTTCAATGTGCAACCAAAAAGATGATGACGAGTGAGTTCAATTCTGGTGGCAATTCATTTCTTCCCTTCTGTCTTTCATTTCCTCAGGTTAAAATGATGGAAAGAGAAGGTTTTCTTTTCAAATTTTCTTTCTCACCTCAGGGTAACTTCATATTCTTGAAGACTGCAGGCTATGAGGAAGAGGCATAAATTAGATATATTTTGCTTCATTTTGCAGGCGATATTTTGACTCTCTCTTATCTTCATTCTTCTTCGTCTTGTCTAAAGTTCCTGTGTTTACATCAGTCATCATCTTTTCTTCTTCATCTTCATCTTCAGGCAAATCGCTGTGAAACCCTGGAACAATATCATTTCCGTTCCAAGCCCAAGAGCAAATTTAATATCATGATTAAATTTTATTTACTCAGACGATTCCAAAAAAAGAGGAAAGTTGAAGGAAAAACTCAAGAAATTTTCACTTTTACTTCATGCATTCAAATCTGATCTTGTATTATCTAAAATATTCTTGCATCTACTTCACAGTTATGGCTTCAACTCAAACAATTGTCATGTTGAAAATGAGAAATATAAATCGTTGTTATTATAAGTTTTTCTTGATCATCGATTATTGTTGAGGTCTGAATATTCCATTCACTCTTTTGCTGTAGCTTAATTAACAAACAAAAAACATGATTATCGCTATTTTATTAGTAAAAACCGCCGAAAATTGCGAAAATTAAAAATAGGTAAAAATACCAGTAAATAAGTTAACCGGCACTTTATTCCTATTCGGTTAGAGTAACCAGCGCTTGGTTATTTTTCTCCCCTTTAACTAATGGGTAGCAAACATTTAACCGGTTACCATTAACCAGAAATCCTCGGTTAAACCATGTGTCAATTTAAAATTATGGTGAAGAGCACCCACTGGTTAAAGACCGGCGTATTTTACTTGCTTAGTTAATTTAGACTTTTCTTTAACCAATTGTGTTGAAGTTACAATCAACGACCATTAAAAATGCGGTAAGAATATTAAGTCAACATTAACTCCGTGGTGCAATTACACCCGTAATAACTCAATACTATTGAGCTCTATTGAAATTGTTCTATTCTAACCTTTTTTTCCTATTTCCTGCAGGTATTTTGTTTAAGTTTATCTGGCATTAGAATAATCCTTAATTTGTTTTGGCTATAATCATTTGACAAATTGTTTGAAGTGGATCTTGGGTGATTCCAACAAGGTTGAACAGTAAATAGACATGGTAACTTGTTTGATTGCGAACAGAGACTCAAATGATGTTACTTTTGCACGATATTTGGTTTATGAGTTTAATTATTTTAAATTCACTTTTGAAATGTCAAATGGATCGCCAGACCTGGATTTCAACAAGTACCATCAACTATCGATCTATTAATTACTTCTCATGAAGCTTATTTCACGTCGGATAACTCACCTCAATTAATAACCAAACCAATTCAACGTTTGTATAATTCCCACAATAACTCACAGAATTGCAAGGAACGAGGACAACGCATTCTTAAATTGAATCAATCTTTGAATAGTTGGATTGAAAATGATCCATTCCATGGATTGGTGATTCAGGAAAAGGAATGGTCCTTGAAATCATACCAATGTTTTCATGGTAACCGAGTCAAGTTGTTAAAAGTAAAATTACCAATCAATAGTCTCAATTCTACAGAAAATAGATCGATATCTTTTCCATATGTTAGCTACATTGTTGTCATCACAAATTAATATTTTAGTTCTGTTATTCACCTTCATTGAATGATTGGCCCTTAATGCAGAAATGTGGAGTTTTATTTCGTTATAGTTATTGGTTGGTAATTTAGTCAACAAAACTGGTAATTCCATTGCCTGATAATGTTTAAAATTTTGCCCAAAAATTTTTGCCTCCTTGGGTATGCAACAATTGGGTCATTTATAACGGTTACAGAACAATTAATCAGCAATACGAACAGTTTTACTAAATTATGTGATTACAATTTTCAATCGCTCTAATTCTGATCCGCATGTTTTTATGTGAATCGAAATTACTGTCGAGATTTATTCGTACGATTTTGAGGTTAGCTTAAAAGGCGCCGCTTATTAGTTACAGTAAGGTACCAGATAATGAGAATGCCTTGAAATAGCTTATTTACACTATTCGCCGGGCAACTTATTTTCTTGATTATCAACTTTCTTTAAATAATCAAATTCAAGATTAATTGTGCTTTTAAACTGATTTCTTGAGTTTCTTTATTGATATTTGGGGAAAGAAAATTAGATTTAGTAAATTAATAATCAAAGAAATTTAAAGAAAATTTCAATTTTATTTAACTCTTCCATTGAGGGGTCGTTGATAAATTGATTCTCATTATCTGTACCTTACACTGTATCGAGAATCGGTGCAATTTTCACAGTCTCCATCTATGATTTTTTAATTGAACTAGAAAAAATATGCATTTGAAATATTTTTCAGCTAATGAAAATTTTGTTTGTAATTGTTGAAAGGGTTTCTTAATTTTTTAATATCCTTCATTAATTGAGCATATGTCTGACATATTATGTCAGTCTTTGCAGTTTATCAAAAAATTTAATTGTACCTTCTCATCGAATGAACCTTTATCAATTTTATGAAACATTGCAACGATGATTGAAATCAGGTTTATTGCTGATATTAAGGCTAATAATTCTTCTAACATGATCAGAGCTTTTAAAACAATCTATCCTCTAGTCACTGTTGAGATTTCGATCAATTAACATCGCATTGTTTAATTTCTGTACACATCAAAGCTTCAACTGCAACAGTTTTAATTTACCCACCAAAACAGTTAACAACCTCAAGGACAGCCAATCACAAGTTTTGTTTTCAAGTTTATTCGTTTTTTCCATTTTCTATTTCATTTTTTTCAATTGTTTGAAATTTGGTTTGTTTATTTGTAAATTAAATTAGTCACCTAACTTATTTTGCTATTTATTTGGTAAATTAAAAGTCTACTGATTGGTCCAAGTCATTTTTACTGAGTGGATATCAAAATAATAATGGGCAACAACAACTCTCGAGGTTTGTATTTAATTTTTCTTTGCTTTCAAATACTGTTTGTTTGACTATAGGAATATTAAATTGGTTATCTATTATATTAATCCAGCTTGAGTATTATCGACTCTATTATAAAATATGAGAAGCAACAGGTTACTCGACACTTTGGATTAGACGTTGTAAAAACCCTTATTCAATATATTTTCGTCTTGTAAGGTTCTGTTATAAACAAAGCTTTGTGAGTAGCTGGAAGCCCATCTTATTAAAACAGTAATTGTAACCTTATTTGATAAAGTCTGAATTCAGGTTGAGCCTAATTTTGCTATAGATTAATATCTCTTAACCAGAAAAGAGAAGAAAGAAACAGATTTTGAAGGTAGGTCTTGCAAATTTACTCATAAAAACAGATAGCTTAAGAGTTCAACTCGTGAAATTATAAAACATCATGAGCTATTTTATTTTTTACTCACTGATTTTCTCAGATTATTTGCTCAATGTACTCATAGTTGCTGAGTTGACTTATTGACGTAAACCCTATTAATATGCATTTTATCAGCTGTTTATCTTCCAACCGACATAATCTTTCTATTGATTAATTTTTTCATTTTTGATCTCTTTTGTTTCAGGTAAAAAAAATTCTCAGTCTAATCAAGATTATCCAGCTCGACCACAATCAGCTCCTCTTTATCCATCGGAACCACCTCCACCATATACACCTACACCACAACCACCTTACCAAGCTCATTCTATGGCTTATGGAATGAATCATGGACCAGCTCCTCCTCGAGGATATCCTGCTCAGACCATTGTTAATCCTGTTGTTCATGCTCATTTCGATTCAGGAGCTCGATTTGACGCTATTAGTAGGCCAAGTATTCCACCACCACCACCAGGAACATATCCCAATGCTGCTCAAATGGCAGTTGTTTCTGGACATAAAGTGATTTTGGCAAAAAAGAAGACAAGCTTTCTGGGCGATAAAGGTGCTGGATACACTTTCTGGTGAACAATCAATTGATTTTGCCTAAAAGTCAAAACAAGCATTGTTGTCATAGATATAATCATCTCGTGGTTGCTGATCTTATCCTGTTAATCACTTACCCGATGATTTGAAACTTACATGATTATCATTTTGAGATGAGGAATTTAACGTCAACATACATTGAATCTCACAAATTTATGTTGGTTAGCTCTGTCTCAATTGAATGATCGATTTGAAAGTGGAAAATGAATTAGCTTTTGACCTTTTCTATCATCTCAAGCGTCTTTTTCAATGATTTCATAAATGATTCTTGATTAATTAATTTTTAAGATCTCTTTTTACCAGATTCACTGGATTTTACAAGTTTTCAGCAAACAAATTCTGAAAATTCAATTAATTGAATGAGTTTTTATATTTTGTCAACAAAAAAACATTGTAATGAGTTGAATATAGTTTTTTATTCATAGAGTTAAATTGCTCCAAAATGCTGATTATCTTTAATACTTTGATTATATTTTTCATTTATATCAACTATAAAGCTGAATTGATCAAATAGATTGCATTACTCAGCTTAACTAAATGTTATCTCTCATTGATATATTTGTTGTATTTCACCTGATTTGCTGATTTTTTACATGTATGAATTTATCTGAGATAGAATATTGAATTTATAAAGCAATCAAATCTTAATAAAATAATCTGAGAATCACTGAACATTTATTGGATCATATTTGCTGATTTGATAAGCGAAAAAATGTTTTTCTGTGTACTGACAATTGTGAGTAATACATTATTTCAAAAATTGTAACAAATGTCTTTTTGGAGTAATCAAGTACATTAACTGATTACCCGATTCAATTACTCAGCAATGTGAAAACTTGCAAAAGTTAAAGGTTATTTACTTTTCATTAAAACATTTATCTCAGGTCCAAACTCCATTTGAATTGAGTCATGCTGATTTTGATCACTGCACAATGCTGATTACGGTAGATCTTACGCTTCTCTAGTTTAGCCAACAATTTCGGAATTAGCTTATTCCAATTTCCAAGCTTTCACGAATTCGCCTTCTCTTCCTTTCTCTCTTTCATGTCCATTTTTGCCAAAGCTTTGCATCATCCATTTTTATGTTGATGATGCGTATATAAAAGCACGTATTGAATGTATACATGACAATCAATGCTTAATTTCAGATTCAAATATAAATTGAGCTCACAAGATCAAGAGCAAAGGATGACGAGTCAGGAAGCGCGAGTTATTCAATTCAAGATATCAGCGTAACGCAGTGCATCTTAAGTTGTTGATTCACTCTGTCGCTCATTTCTCGCAATTTGTAATATTTTTATTAATAACAAGCTAACACGAAAGCATCACGAAGGCATCAAAACGGCTTGCATTTTCAGCATCAGCATGAAATTTTACTCCTTTCCTCAGTCCGATGAAAAGCTAAACTTGAAGCATATTTGGTCAGATTTATCCTTTTTTGCATAAAATTTTAGTTAACTGAGTGCGATTTAGAATCACAGGATTTCCGATAAGCTTGAAAAAAGAGTGGTTTTGAAGAAAAATCAAGCATATCTTCAATAATCATCAGTTTATTTCCATGAAAAAGTTTGATGATTAGATCTTTTATGTAATTAGAGATTCCGATGGGCTTCGTTTTTTGAAATGTAACGAATTAATACATTAACTTACCATTCCATTGCCTCGTGCATATTTTTTATTTCACGATTTTCTTTTAAAAACTTAATCCAGTTTGCATCCATTCTGGTTTGGTCGCGATACAAAATTCAACTTTAAGGTTTAAAATAAGTATCAGAATTATTGGTCATTCAATAGTCTGATTGGATTGGTTTTGAAATTGATTTGTTTCGATACCAACCTTTTCTTTGGCTTCACGGGTATTCAGAGTTTGGCCCCTTTGATCACCATTTGAAAGTATTGCCAATCTTTCATGAGCTGTAAATAGAGATGATTGATGATATTTTTCAAAAACTAAAACCATTGTTATTACTAGTGATTGGGTTAAGCTTAAAGGTTTGTTAATCTTTGTTTTTTCAGTTATCTGGTCAAAGTAAACAGTACTTACAGGTTTTAGCTTTTTAGACTGTTCTCTTCGAATGAGAAGATTCACGGCCGATTTAACTTGATTGCAACCAATAAGAGAAGAGAACTGATCAAATATCGGTCAAGTTATGCTATTTTTAGGACCATGTTTCGGACAAAATGACCTCATTTAAGGACTAGCTCTATTCTTCTCAAGCACTTTTCATTCATTTCATCTTAACCCGTCAACTTGGTCACTTCACTTTACTCTTTAACTTTACTCTGTGTTTTCACGAATCAGTCAAAAACCTTCAATATGGGCGAGTTACATTACGATGATACTGAAGTTGAAAGGTTAAACTTTTTTTCAATCATTGATATCCTTGAAAGCTTTGATTGGGTTGACATGGAAGTTTAAAATGTCAACCCAAAGAGTGCAGTCTGGTACATCAGCCAATGTGCATGGACAATGTTTATAAAAATGAAAAAATCTACAAAAAAACGTAAGTTATCAATTTTTCAACGTTTTTCCCATTTTCTAAACTTCCGTAAACTTTTATTCCTCAAGCTTTAAACTAGAAAATGTCGATGAAATGGGCTGGAAATGCTTTACCTGATGGTTTCGTCTCAATATCGCAGTAAAATGATTTGGAATCAAACAGTATTCGTTATTCAAAAAACAAAATCAACAATCAAAGAAACTAGTGAATCGATTTAAAAATTATGTAAAAACATTCAATTGCCAATAAAATTGCTCATTTCAAGTTTAAATTGTAGATTAAATTGACTCTATAACGGTTTGCCGTCAGTTTAACCAATACAACTACAATACAAAAAAATCTGGTTAATTTTAAAGCTGACAAATACAAATTTAAAATTCAAGCTTCATCATCACCTGAAGTCCAATCAATCTCGGTTATTCACAAACACAATTGAAACCAAAGAGAATAAGATAATGGCTAAAACTAGTTGAGCTAATTAAATGATTTACTATATAAACAAATGATCAAGTAAAGTATGAAGATGGACAGGTTCAATTCTCGAAATGGTTTTAAACATTCTTGCATAGCCCTCAAAACTGGTTAATTGCTGAGAAGCTGTTCACTTTGTCCATTGGGAAACCGGTTATTTTGGTTACCTTGTTTCTGTCTCTTATTATTTTCAATTCAACTTTCCATTTTGAAGCTCATCTTATTCAATCTTTCCTTTCGTTTAAATTCATCTCTTAATCAGTGAATCAAGACCAGCTAAAACCTTATTAGTTATGTAAAGCTTGTAATAACCCATATTTTCAACCAGTTTTATCAACACATGTAAATGTCCCATCAATTTGGCCAAATCAATCATTCATCATATAATCAAGTAAGTTCATCTTTTCCTATTCATAGACTATGTCAATGGTTAGTTTAATATTCAAATAAGTCATTGACTTTACATTAACTCTCTTTTAATTAACCTTCAAGTTTAATTCATTTGTTGCTCTTTTTATTAAATATTTGGATCTAAAGAAAGTGAAACAATTCATTGACTTTTCACTTAAATTTTGAATGTTTACTCCATTAACCTCCTTCTGATTTACTTACATATGATTAGCAACTAACCTATTGTTTACATTTGAATTTTTTCAAAATGATTAATGTAATTGATTATTAGTGTTTAGTTAAATGTGATTTGTCAATTTGATAACTATTCATTTCAAATTTTAGCCAAGAAAATAGTTAAGGTTGAAAAGAACAATCAAAGTGATATTGGTGATGACTTTGGTCATGCAAACGACTGATTAACAGAACGATTATCGAAGTTTGTCCAATTCAATGCAAGAAATCTTGAATAGCCAATTGATTCTTTCTATTGTTCCAGCATTGAGCAATGGATACATTGTTTACGCTGTTGAAAGAGAGGAGCAAAGTGAGGTTAAGGATCACTGAAAGGATCATGGATCAGTGTTGAGCCAGTGATGATGAGACAGACAAGATTCTCATGCCCACACTGTTACTTGTTTTATGCTGGAAAAGCCAGTCTGTAGCAACTACAAACTGTATTAAAAGCTATGTAAAAAATGGTTACAATGGCTAAAAATAAAGTTGAACCTTTTTTCTGGTTAACTTGATATACTGTAATAACACTTTAGACTTGACTTTTACTCTTTTTTTATTGTAATTTTTGTGAATCTAACTTGTCATTGTTTCTCCTCATTCTCATGGAATCTTAGATTGTCCATTTGTTAATCATTTCAACTTTGATTCAGACTCTTTCGAAATTTTGGTTTGTCTTGTCTACCCAAAAACTGGTTGCTAGTCTGTATTTTCACAGTATTTTGACTTTACCAACTTTGACTGTGTCCTTGTTGCCAGTGGCTTATCCTTTAACTACCTCAGGCTATGATTAACTGATTAAAAAACACTCTGATTCTCCTTTTGCTTGCTGATGGATAATCACTAAAAGTTGAAAAACTCTGCTGCTAACTGTGATTGGTTTACATGGTAAAATGTAATATAACTACTCCAACTAACACTTTGTAGTGACTTCTAGTGATTTAACGGATCACAATTAAAGGTATCAAATGATGGAATTTAATGCGTCTTCAGTTTGATTAGCTTCTAATGACAATTAGTTTTGCTATTGAATTAAATACAGTAACTATAGCTATTAGTTTACATGGTAAGTAGCAATATATGTTGTTGTCAATCGTTAGCCATTTGATTTCCTTGTTTGAAGAGCAAAAAGACCTCAGGTAAACCATTAATGAGCAATCAATTGCTTCTTTAATCAACCTAGAAACTTTTAACTATCTTGTTCTACCTTTCCTTTTACTCGTTAGTTAACATACATGTTCACTCCTGTGCTCCGGTAATTTGTTTATACAGTAAACCCTCTCAAATTTTCAAGTCGTGGGATTAGCATCTTGGCTATTTTCATATAATATTTAGGTAAAATAGCCCTTTTACGAATTTAATTTCGATGTTTTCGATATTTAAATTGATAATTTGTCTATTGTCTCTGTGTATTGTCTAAGAGTGCTCTCAAAATTTGATGTATTACAAAAACTGGATTAAAAGGAATTGTTTATTCTGTTACCATGACTCTGACAATTTGAGAGGGTTTACTGTAACGAAACACATGTGAATAGTTTGAAATGTGAAAAAATGTTTATTAATATTGAGAGAAGATCATAGATCTGAATTACTTTAAAGAAACAACAACTTAGCTCAATATTATTAAAGTACTGGACAATTTAAAACTTGTGTTTGATGGATTGTTGCACTTTTCATCCTAAAATATTTACTTGTAACTGTTTCTGTATGTTAATTGGATTAACTCATTGTGTGATGATTTAATCCAAGATGACAATAGAAACGTCGCCCAATACAATTTAAACCACGCAAAATGTCAACAATTAAAGCGAGTTACAAGGTTAACCAAGTGAAAAAACGACTAATGAAAATTTCCCACTTTTCCTTCAAATACAGATAACAAAGGATCTTGGTTGTAGGTTTGTCAACAAACCAGAGTTCTGGTAAAATTTGTCATCATAAACAACACCAGTTACAACAACAATCATGTTACACGAAGACAAGTCACTGTTAGCCGAAGAAAACTATGAATCACTTACTGGAGCATCAAATGAAATTGCAATTGACATTGATAATGGCGAAGACGAAACATCTGGTCCCCAAAGTATCGTTCAGCAATCATTTATTTCTGGTAATGAAGAACATCGATCGTCAATTAAACCATTCGAAGTGCTAACCGCAATCAGAGAGCCAATATTAATCAAAGAAACATCAACATCAGTTGAGCCTCGGTATTATGGATCAAAGCCAGAACAATTTGATATTGGTGTTCGTATAATAGAAGCAGCTCAACTTCCAGGTCTTGATATCAACCCAATGGTTCGTTTAATGGTCGGTGATCGTAAAAAGTCAACAGCAACCCAAAAGTCAACTCTTAGTCCATTTTGGGATCAATATTTTGTCTTCTCTTTCAACCAACCACGATTAGAAATATTTCAAAAAGTAATCTCTGCAACGGTTATTGATTCCAAGGGATTGCTGAAATCAGACGAGATCATTGGATCATTTTCCTGTGATATTGGAACAGTGTTTAGTCAACCAGGACACTGTTTTCATAGAAAATGGGCAGTTCTTACGGACCTGGAAACAAATGAACCCAGAGGTTACCTAAAGTTAGATTTAACAGTCTTGTTTAAAGGAGATAGTTCATCAGATGAACCAGCAAGCGATAAAGAAGATGAAGAAGAAGCTGAACCAGAATCAGATGAATCTGAAATAGAATCAAATCTGCTGTTACCTGTAGGTGTTACTGATAGACAATCGATTAAACTAGTAATAAAGATTTATCGGGCTTATGGACTAACTAGATCAGAGTCAACGGTTAAAAAGGCTCTCAATTTAATCTCATCTTCGCCTAAATCACCTGATGCCTACGTAACAGTTACATTTGCTGGCTCTACTGGACGAACATCAACAATCAAAAAGTCATCCTCCCCTGTTTGGAACCAACAGATTACATTTGTTGATATGTTCCCAACTTTCTTCCAGAATATCAAATTTGAGATCAAAGACGAGGAACTGGGCACAGATGGACTTTTGGCAACTCACTTTTTACCCTTAAATTATATAGCAAGTGAAGGACAAGATGGTTATTTACCAACATTTGGTCCGACCTTTATTAACCTTTATGGTGCTTCAAGAGAGAGCTCAAACTCAGATAGTAAAGCTTTATCAACTGGATTAGAAGAAGGTGTTGCCTATGTTGGCCGAATTTTGATTGCCATCACAACAGAATTTGTTGATTTGATTTCACCTGATTTAGCAAGGGTTTCCATACAGAATATCAATGATCTAAACGAAAGTATTCTTGGACCTAAAAAGGAGTTTGCACTCTTTGGTATGCTCAACTCGGTTTCAAGGATTGATCCTCGTTACGCTGATAAAGGCATCAGTCTTGAATTACATATGGGTGATCCTGATGATATTGATGGTGACGGTAAAATTGATGAGGCTGATAAAAAAGCCAGAGCCAAATATCGAGGAATTTCTGTAGCAATAAAGCCAGCAAGATGTTTCTCTAATAGTCGTAAAGAGATTGCTTTCCATTTACCTTTGGACAATTTTAAGCCAATTGTTTTCCATCGGTTCAGTTGGATCGACGATACTTGGAGACTTTTCTTGTCAAATAGACTATTCAGAATTGCAAGAAATCTTGTAAGTAATTAGTTCAATTAGAGAATTGTTTATCATTAATCTAGGAAGAAAACATTGGGTATTGATAAACAGGTTTACACAAAAAACTTTGAAAGATTTGCAATGAATAGAAATTTGTGTTGAAAATAGCAACCTTTAGTTTTATTGATACCCTTACAACACCAGCCATGACATTTGACTTTAAAACGGTTTAACATTTAATTGTTTCTATTTTAGGCAACTGGACTTGCTGATGTTGATGCATTGACTGTTACTCGTGAATTTGATGCAGCCTGTCGATTACTTGGTGTTCTCAATCAATTCATTGAAGATTGTTCTAGTTTCTTGCGTTATTTATCTAGTCTAGTCGAACCACCAGGAAGATCAATATTGGACGATAAAAAAGTGATTCAACAGCGAGAAAAAATTGAAACATTATCCAGAGAAGCTTCATCAATGAGAGATTCCCTTGCAACTGTAAACATTGTCCCGATAGCACAAGCTTTATTGTCATTTGTAAATGAACTTAACGAACTCTCAACCCTGCTCCACATAACTTTTCCAGATCTATTTTTATCAATGTTGGTTGATGGTAAACGAGTAGCTCAAGCTCGTATCCCAACTCGAGATATTGTATACTCGCCTGAATTGGATAGCAGAGGCATTTACTCGGCAAAATTTAGATCAATGCTACTTCGAGCAGCAGGCCAACCTAATGGACAGATTCGAGCTCAAGTTGATATCCTATCTTGGTTTGGAGTTGCTGAACATTTGTCAACTATTGTTGACCATATACCAAAAGGATATACTCCTGACCCTTCACTCGAATCTCTTCACAAACCTGATTCTTGTCCACCAACTCATCTGAAGTATCCTGAGAGATCTGTGTTTCAATCAAGAGCGCATATATTTCAAGCTAGATCCCTCGTTGGCGCTGACACATCAGGCCTTTCAGATCCTTACTTGAAAATATACTATGACAAGTGTATTTTAGTTTCTCAGGTTAAAGAGAAAACATTATCACCATGTTGGGATCAGTTAATAATTGGAGCTCCCATTAGTTTGATTGGTACTAGAGATGATATTAAAGCGTCTAATTTAACTGCTCTTGTTGAAGTTTATGATCGTGACATTATTGGTGACGATGAATTTATTGGAAGAGCCAAGGTAACTTTTGATCATGTACGCTTTGCTGATGAAACTTATGTATATCCTCGACTCAATTGGTTCGATGTTTCGCTGAATGGCTCTGAAAGTGGTCAACTATTGATGGCTCTTGAGTTACTCCAGATTAGTGAAAAAGATAGTACAGAAGACTATCCAGGAACATTACCAGAACCAACCCAGGTGGTGGACAATATTAAGATTTACTCTATTCCTCAACAAATAAGGCCAAATCTGTCTAAATATAAATTACAAGTCATCTTTTGGGGCGTTCGTAATTTAAAACGTGTTAAATTGCTTTCTGTTGATAAACCCAAAGCTGAAATTGAACTTGGTGGAACCATCATTTCATCATCAGTTATCCCAAATTATTCAAAGAATCCTAATTTTCCCAGTTTTCGTAAGGAAGTTGAACTATTTTTGCCTGATCAAGAGTTTTATTGTCCACCATTATCAATACGTGTTGGTGATTGTCGAGCTTTTGGTCGATTCACTCTCGTTGGTAGCCATGTTATCCGTTCACTGTCTAAATACATTTTCAATAAAGATAAGCAAATTGATTTGACTCATTTACCCAAACGGCATGTTATCATTGATCTCGATCATTTAAAGCCTTTATCAATGAATGATCAACCTGATGCCGTTATATCACCGGGAAGTGGAAAGGTCATAAGATTACCTGATGATGGAACCATTGAGACAGAAAAAAAGGCAAAGATGGAATCAGGAGACAAGGAAGAAGTTGATTGGTGGATGAGATATTTTGCTTCGAAAAGCAATGGAAATGGAAATGGCATGAATGGTCGTAGACAATCAAGTCTTATTCCAAATCATTTAACACTCAAAATATATCCCGATGAACTGGAGAAACGATTCAATGGTGATAGTGCTGATAATAAATTAACCTCGTTTCCTTTAAAAAGAGGTAAATTTGAAGACGATACCTCTGATTTGAAAAATATGGGAGTCTTTAAAGGCGCTTTTAGATTATACAAGTAAGATTCATTCAAATTCATTTACCTTTGATTTTTTTGACCAAGTTTGCCTTCTTTCAATTTAAAGATACCCATGGAAGAATGGAATTCATCTTATGGACATTCTAACCAACAACGATCCAGTCAAGGTTCTTGTTCGTGTTTACATCGTGCGTGCATATGATGTTGTACCAAGAGATGCTAATGGTAAAGCTGATCTTTATCCCATCCTTAAACTCGGATCCAAAAAGATTGACGATGTTGACAACTTTGTGCCAAATTGTTTGGATCCGATATTTGGACGCTTCTATGAATTTGAGGCCACTTTTCCTCATGAATCAACTTTGACAATCTCGATGAAAGATCGTGATGCATTCTCAACTGATGAATTAATTGGACTTACAACAATAGATCTTGAAGATAGGTTCTACACCAGTCATAGATCTTCATGTGGATTACCAAGATCATATCAAGTATCAGGTAACTATTAATAGCAATATTAACAAGAGATTAAGATTTGATTGCTTTCACTTCAGGTCCTGGTAAATGGCGGGATTCACTCAAACCCAGTCAAATATTGACAAAATTATGTCGTGATTTAAAAATGTCGAATCTTGTTATAGCCAAGAAATATATACAAATTGGTAAGATACTGTTCACTCGTAAGCAAGATGCTTCCCCTGAATCAGCTGAGATTCCCCATGAAGATGAACAATTAGCGTTAGGAGTACTCAATTCATGGAAAGAAGTATTTGGCTACTCTCTTGTCCCTGAACATGTGGAAACTCGTTCATTATATCGACCTGATAAACCTGGGGTTAAACAAGGCAAACTTGAAATGTGGGTTGATTTGTTTAGATTGAGCGACCCTCGACCTCCACCACTAGATATATCGCCAAGAGCACCTAGAAGTTATGAATTGCGAGTAATAATATGGAATACTAAAGATGTTATTTTAGATGATGATTCATTCGTGTCCGGTGAAAAAATGTCTGATATTTACATCAAAGGCTGGATTGATGATCCTAAATTATCACAATCAACTGATATACATTATCGTTCGGTTACCGGGGAAGGTAATTTCAACTGGAGATTTGTATTTAGATTTGATTTTCTCCCGGCTGAAGGTGTGATTATAATTAGACGTAAGGATAACTTTTTCGCTCTTAATTCAACTGAATTGAAGTTACCCTGTCGATTGAATCTACAAGTTTGGGATTACGATTCTTTCTCTGGTGACGATTTCCTTGGATGTCTTCCTCTTAATTTACTGGAGTTTCCTAGAGGAGCGAGAACAGCAAAAGATTGTAGTTTATCTATTTTGAATAACAATTTAAGACATTCCAAGATTAATTTGTTCAGAGAGAAACGGACAAGAGGTTGGTGGCCTTTTTATGCAAAACTATCTGGTGGTGAAGAAGAGTTGACAGTAAGTTAAATATCCATTAATTTATACTTTAATTGATTAAAATCAATCAAAATTTTTAATTCATTTTCAGGGTAAAGTAGAAGCTGATTTTGAGCTGTTGACTGCAGAAGAAGCTGATGCTAATCCAGTTGGCTTAGCACGTGAAGCCCCTCAACCTCTAGACCAGCCTCAGTAAGTTTTAATGTTTTTGTTTAAATAAGTTCAAGTTGTTTGCTTCACTCGACTAATGGTTATAATCTTTACATTACAGACGACCTGAAAATTCATTTTTATGGATAACTAACCCATGGAAATCATTTCGCTACATTATCTGGTCTCGTAGAAAATGGTTTTTCCTTAAAATGATGATCTTCATCTTCTTATTTCTCTTCATTTTGCTATTCGTCTATTCATTGCCGGGTTATACGGTGAAAAAAATTATCGGAGCTTAACATATTTCCCTTGCGATTATGTGTCAATATGTATTTCTTAATTAATTTGACAAATCAAGTTTATTCAACTTTACGCTTGAGTTCCATTGGTACCAATACATGAACAAATTGCGATCATTTTTCATACTAAATGGCTCACAATCTCACAATGAAAATATTGTAATGTAAATGACAACAGAACAATAAATACTCGATAAATTTAATTTCGTTAATATTCACCCAACAACTTGTGCGACGATTAGTTGAATTAATCAGACAAACCACTATGAATCCCTTCAGGTTGTCCAAGTCAATCGGAAACTCAATTCATGTGCATTCAAAATAGGATAATGGGAGATGCAAGTGATTAGCTATTAGATGTACTCAGAGCCTTTGTTGCAGCTTAGCCAAAATCAAGTTATTATTAATAATATAAATGAGAAACACGCATTTGAATGTACTTAACTTGGATATTTCAGCATCTATCAATGTCTAGCTCTATCCATGATTACCTCAGTCTCTTCGATATGCAAAACTAACAGAAAAACTTGAACAACAATTTATGGATAATGTTTCAAATGCATCAAAATTTATTGGAAAATCTTTTTTACAAACCAATTAGGTCTTAACTGTAAATTGATCGGATCCACCAGATCCGAAGTGATTTACTTCATTGCTTTATCAGCTTTTCAATAAAATGATACTTCTCATTAAATTGAATCAACATATTTAAGCGATAGTATTTTCGCGACTTGGCTTTTTCAACCATTTTGACTAATTTGGATTGATTCATACTTGAGAAAGCTTCGGTGTATCAGATTCCAATTTGATATCGTCTTTTACACCTTGATTTAAAAGTTCAATCTCACTATTAAAATTGGCCTTTTTATCACAACTTGCGCTTGCACTTCCATTCACACCATTAGTTGGTATTTTCTAGAGGAAAGAAAATTATAATAATTAACATTATTTCGAATAGGCAAATGCATCGAAATGATTTTCTAACCTTTTTGTCCTCGAGATTCTTAGGAAGAAGCCACCAAACCAATGGACTTAAATATCTTTTATCTTTAACATTACTGCCTCCTGTGAATCATATGAGTTAATTATAATTATAATTGTTGATAGTTTCATAGATTGTTGAACTTACCTGTGAGTAAACTAATGACGATACCAGTTGTTATTGAAATTAAGAAGCCTACAAAAGATATAAGATAGTAACTCACATGGAAAAATTGATTCAAACCTCTGGAAAAATAAATGATAGAAAATATCGTCAGGATTTATTCTTATAGTTTGATATCAAAAGCTTTGTGAGATAATTTCGTGTTATTCGACTATTTTTGTCGCTCTTTAGCTATCAGCTTTTATCGAGGCCTTTCAAGCTTTATATTATAAACTTTTCTGATTTTTATGGAACACACAGAATAAGCTCGAAAATTTTCATTTTCATCAAACTATTTAAGGTAAGATATTTTATTTACTCAGGCTTATATTCCCATGGTTTGATGTAAGGATCAGGTGAGATTGGTGACCCAAAAGCTAGTGAAATGTCGTAAGAACAATTATCAGTCGAAACTGGAAGACGAATTTTGGGTCTCAGATTAAACACAGCACCAAGAGCCATGAAAAGCGAAATGATCAGTCCGGATAAAAAGCCACCAATAGCACCCTTTTGAGTACACATTTTACACAATTAATTGAGTTCGTTGTTGAAATGGCAATCAAAGTTATTCAAAAGTGAATTAAACAAAAACTTATATAACATACTTTAGCGTTTCCAAAAGGAATGAAAATACCCAAAGTAAAAAGAGCTAAAAGAGGTCCGCTTATTGCACCAACTAAAGCTGCTGAAGCCTGTAACAAATAGTCAAGCATCAGTTCTCAATGAATTATCACAATGATAACAATAAAAGGCCAAACCTGCAAAACAGTCCCGAGACGCCCAATGAAAAAAGCTATTCCAATCGAGGAGAGTCCATAAAGCGCAGCTAAATTTAAATTAAATAAATTTTTGATCATCAGATTAATAGTTCAACTATCATCAGTTTATAAACGCACAAAGTCCTTTGGTTATCCTAGCTTGAGTCTGGTCGGTTGTTCCACTGAAATGTCGTCGCAAAAAATCATCCCATGTCAAAGTAGCCAGTGCATTATAACCAGATGAAAGTGTGCTGTAATTGAATGACAATCATTGATAGCAAATTCATTAATCGTTTAATAATATTATATGTACCACAGATGTACGCTCTTCAAACAGATTTCAGAGTTGTTTTACCTTAGAGAACCACTGAAAACCCCAACGACAAAAACACCCGAAAGTCCAGGTATTCGTGATAATGTATCTTGAACATATAAAGGCATCATCTATGAGCAAGAGAAACAAGTTATTTGAGATATTTAAAATCATTGAATAAACTTGATTGCATTTCATTCGAGTGAATACCTGATCATGTCTTTCAACAATTCCAAGTGAAATCGGATCACAAGCATGATACTTTGCGTAAATTATGATTCCAGACCAAATGGCTAATATAGCGATCACTAAAACTCCAGGTACATTCCAGAACAATGCTCTAGAGCGGAATAAAAATTCTCTGGTTTAAAAGGTTCAACCACTAAATGAAATGTTCAAGCATAAGTTTTAGTGAAGTTTTCACTTCTCTCAATGAAATGAAAATCTGATAAATCTAACAACGATGGCTGTTAAGTTGTCAACAAGAAATTTTTTTCTTTCTACTTTTCTGTACCTTTGCAACATGCGAGGGTAACAACTCAAGACAAGATAATTTATTAGCAATAATATTAGTTGAAGCAAGGCTAACTGACGCAGTCGACTGTAAGCTATTTCAATTGACTGTTTGATTGGACTTTTTAATTAGAGTTCAACTAATTATAATTGTAATCTTACTGACGAGCCTTTTCCTTTGATTCTAAACAACAATATCTTTGAACTTGAGTTTGTTTCGAGCAGTAGACACCAGTCCATCCAATAACGGACCCCAAAAACACGACCCAAAAGTTATCATTACGATAGATGTTGAAATCAAAGCTATTTAAAAGTAGAAAAATTATCAATTATTGAATTCTGAAAATGATAAATTTGATTATTTACTTGAAAAAGTTGACTCTTCCACCTTGATTAGCAATTCTCCATGGCTCAACAAAACCCATTTCAAATGAGCCAACAATAACCACCATCAGAAGGCAGTTCAACATTAAAAAAAATTGAATTACATCTGACCAGATGACGGCTTTAATTCCTCCCTAGATTCATTGACGATTAATCAGTTGTTAATGGCCAGTACTTAGTTGATTAGTGCTCTTGCTCTATTAGCTTACCATGGTTGTATAAAAGGTGCATATCGCCCCAACAACTAAGATGGACGTGTTGACGGACAAAGGAGTTACTATTCAAGTGAGGATAAACATCGAAATCAAATGGACGTTATTATGTCTATTGTTAATTAAGAAACAATTACCTGAACTGAGAGCCAAGGAGGGTCCATAGAGCACTACACCCATGTAGGGAAGCTGTGAGATGAAGAGGAAGGAAAGGGTTAATGAAGCGTTGAGTAAACAGTCGACACTTGCTTATCAGTAAGCAGGTGATACTTAACCACATAATCAAAATTCGTCAATCAACAATCATCTTACTTAATTGTAATCGACTCAAGTCTCTGTAGCTCAGTTTGTTCCAGATTAGGTCATAGAGCTTTTCAAAACTATTGTTAACTAAACTTCCTTCCATTGTTTCATTATTTAATTATTAATAATGAGACTGATACGTTTGAAGTAATGTGTTAACAAAGAATTGACCTGTTTAATGGATTGCAATTGACAGTAATTCAAAACAAATGCTGACTTGAGTCAACTACGATATCAATTGTGAACAATAAACAACAATAGCAATAAACAGCAACAATTTGATCACAGACACCAGATGGTTTACTTGGGACTTTTCATTAAATGCAAACACTTAACACCATTAACCTTAATAATGATAAAAGGTCGATTTAATGATAGTATTTTAGACATCAATCGACATCTTTTTCTTATTATCCCAATTGTTGGTAACAAACTTCAATCAAGATCTACCATCAGATCAACTTGTTCAGATGAAATTGAGTTAATTGCCTGGTTCGATCGGTAACTAATTCAAATTGTCAAAGGACAAACGATTGGATCCAGAGTCACAAACAAGGTATTAATCATATAAGTAAAGTTATGAATTACGATTTTTAAAGTCACACTTTTCATTTGCAGATGAATTCATTTTTACTCATAGTATTTTCATGTGTCCATCTCATGTGAAATTAATGTTGCAATCAATCTGTTCTCAATCAAGGTAATCATGATTTTACCTTGAAATAATTTATATTCATTTGTATTATAACTTTTCTAGTTTTTAGTGTTTAACTTTTTTCTTAACATCAAATGAAAAGTAAATTTGCATTCGGCAAGTTGTTATTGTTCAAGAACAAAACAAACGAAGAGTGAAAAAAGTAAAACAAATCAAGTATTAAAATGAAACCCAATATCATGCAGCAATTTTTATTTGATTATATTGATTACTTACAGTTGCAAGAATGAATCCCAATGAGCCAATAATTCGTATTTCTGGAGATTGAAAGCGTAACGACAAATACTGCCTCAGGAATGAATTGCGATGAAGATGATGAACACATCAGAATATGAAAAATCATGATCAACACTTGCGATATTTACTGTCTTGCTATGCATAACCTTGATTAAGGATTAACCTTAATTTGATTAAACTGTTTAAACTTACCTTATTAACACTGATGACATTAAGATCATAATAAAGTGGCATAAAGATGTAAGAAGCCAATAGAATTGCAATTAAAAAGGAAATCATGTGGACACTGTATTGGGTTCCCTGAATTGAGTTCAAACGGTAATAATAATAGGATTGATGGTCATTCAGGGCTTTGCATTAGTTTCAACAGAACCTTTTCAATATTAACTTACTAGAAGGTAAACTTCAGCTGGAACACCAAGAATTGTATTTGTTGACATGAATGAAGCGGCTAATGAAAGAGCTACTGGAATCACACTCAGGTTCCGATTACCTGTTAAATAGGCTGAATTGTTGGCTTTCTTTCGATCTTTGCACCAAAAGAAAACACCGATTCCAGATGAGACGGCAAGAAGAGCGGCAAAAACGAGGTAATCAATTATGGTGAAATTGTGTTTGGAATAAGCTATTGTTGTTTGATTATTCATTGTTGATTCTGACGTCGATGAAAGTAACTTAAACTAGTGTTAAACAAAGTTGACAAAACTTTTATTGAGTAAAGTTAGGTTTGGATATTATATTATTTTTGAACATTGAAGTGCTGTACAAGTTTGATTTGAATGCAATTAGTTACTAACACTTAATCGGGAGAAAGAGCGAGTGAGCTGAGTTGGTGGGGAAACTTTCATTCACGATGAGTCTGAGGAAAGAGGAAGAAACTGGGAGGAGAAATGATTAATTGAATCAAGTATCTTTGATGCGGAAAAATAGATTCACAGTTTTGCTTTCATATTTCTTCATCAGCTTAACCTTCAAAAGTAATTTAATTTATCCAAAATTCATTTAGTTTCATTGCAACAATGAATTGGGCAATCATGAAAATGAATTGACTCGATAATCGAAGTGAATTGAAGTCTTTAAACTTCTATTTTCGTTGAAATAACTAACAATTTTCAAAGATTCCATTCACTCATGAACAATCATCTGTAACATGAATTTGAAAACATGATGCACAACAACCAATGTGTTATGGGTAAGAGAAAGCACGAACACTAAACTAATACAACGACTACAACTAACTTATTGTTAATTAAACAAGTGTTCAGGTCAGTGAGGTGGTCGAAACTCACTGAATCCTCATCGGGCTCATTTTTAACTAATCAGTGACTTTCAATTAACGTACGAGAAATAGTTAAGTCCTACGATCGAAACGAGATGAGCTGAAAAAGTCAAAAAGGAAAAGAAATGAACCCAAGTATCGCAAGTTAAGTTGATCCTTTATGAGACTAGCAGCAAAGTTTGATGAAGTTTGTCAATTAATAACTGGATGTTTTTGTGTGTTTAGATATTTTTATGTGTTCATTTAAGGTAAGGAACTTGAGACCGAAAATCATGATTGCCCAAATAGTTTAGTTTTTATGTCCCGTCAACTTTAAAAGTTTTAACTCGAATTGATTGTTTTGTATTGTATTATTAAAGCAATCAACATAAAAAAACATTCCTGTGAATCCATTTACATCGATTCAGTAATGAATGAGCAGGCGATAAGATTCAATCAAGGTTAGATGAGATGGATTGGATCTCTAAACATTTTCCCAACATTGTTTTGTAACACTTTACCACTGATGTTTCGATAATATAACAACATTGAGCACTTTGATAAAGCACTAAAGGATGAATCATTTTTTATTTTCAAGTGAATTTTCAAGTGAATTTTTTAATAAACCTAGACTAAGCAGCTGAAAAATATTAAATATTAAAAACTCAAAATATTTGAGAATGAAAACTTATAGATGGTTAAAGCGAGATTTATTTAAATTTTAAATTAAAATTAAATTTTTATATTTTACTGTACAGAAATCATGATATCAGGATCAATTCCCAAAGTGACATAAGAAGTATAACTACCATCTTGTGATTTCAACTCAATGATATTGTCTTGGCCATGATCTGCAGCGAAGAACCTATCTTGTTCATTCAATAGGATTTCATTGGTATTTTGTGAATAAGGTTCAACTAGTCTTGCTTGTGTTGGCAATTCACGCTTAAAGTAAAGCTGTCCAATATAAGTTATTGAATCGCTTTCTGCAACTGCTTTATGGTATACTTCAACATGTATGTGTAAACAACGAGCATAATACCAACCAGGAAGAATCGTTTTAAAGTTTACTTCACCATGTTCATTGGTTTTCTGGAAGCCACGAAGAAATCGAACATCATCAATTGGTTTTGGACGATAAGTTGGTTTAGGGAAGCTATTGAACTCTTGAACACCGGAATAGTGACCTGTAGCATTGGCATTCCAGATGTGAACATACAAGTCGGATAAAGGCAAACAATCACTGGCATTAGTCAAACGAATCGTCAAATCAAGTGGTATGCCAACTTGACCATCAGTAATATCAGATCGCTCAAAGTCATCAGGTAAAAAGTATGGACCTTCAGTCGTGAATGGGGCGAGGACACAAGTGTGTTGATTGGCTTCTCTCTTGTATCGGGCACAATTGGTTACTGTACGATCATGATCAACGAATTTACCAGGTCTTTCTAAATGAGCTGAAACAAAAACAATGTTGAAGCAAATTAACAAGATTGAAATTGGAATAACTGATTTATTCATGTTGAAGTTGATTGAATTTATTTTATTGATTCAAACAAGTTAACTTATAATAGTAATAAATTGAAAGTGGAGAAAAGTTGATCTGAAATGAACGACAAATAATTGGCTTTATAAATATATTTGCAAAATTAATCAGATGAACAATACTGGGAAATCTGATGATCTCGTTTGTCATTTTTGTACAATTGTTGAAAACAATTCTGTGCATAGATAATATAATATTATATTGTTACATATTATTAAGCAAAACCATGTAATGATTAAATCTAATCACTATCATTCCTATCAATGAAACTTTCATTATATTTTCCAAGCATTTTAATCATCATTTTAATCATTAGCTAAGATTATCTATTTACGCATTAAAAAACTTTATTGTTTAAAATTGAATGTCAAGAGCGGGTGGCACTTTTGGAACACTTTTTTCTGGTTCTTTCTATTGTTTACAAAATATTATTCAATTTTTATTTTCAGGCCACTTCAATAAAAATATAAGTTCTAAATCATTGCCGATGTTTCTGTTCGAGAAATTATTTCTTCATTTATTAGTTATTATAATTTAAGATGCATTAAGATGCATTCATTTCAATCTAATCATTCGTCTGAACAAGATAATTCAAGTCATCATCAAGTTTTCATTTCCCTGTGTCTTGATCTATTATTCATTAGGAAATTATTAAGCTCTACACCGAGAATCTAAAAAGATTCCAAAATATTTAAATCTTAAATTAAAATTATTCATTCAAGAGAAGAGCGCTTTTTGCAGAATTGAATAAAGCTGAAAAAAGGTCAATTAATATGAGCTTTCAGTCGAAGTGAGTATTTGTTTGAAAAGAAATCTTTTTCTCGATAACACGAAGGAATATTTCGATTATCCGTTAAGTACCATCACGATCTAGATTGGGTTCAATCATGTATAATCAAATCTCCTGTTTAACTACTTAGAACACGTTAGTCATAAAAACTTTTGAAAAGTATATGTAGATAAAGGGCTCAAACCCATTTTTCATTAAAAAAACTGATTGGTTAATAACGATGCTCGATAATTCTCTGGAGTTCGGTGAATGGTCTTGTAACTTTTCGTTTGACTATTCTGCATATTACGAATCCCGTCTGATTTTGATAAAACTTGGTTTACATACTTATTTTGTCATGAGATTTTGATTTATGAAGTCCCTACTTGCGGAAATTCCTACTTCTGGAGATACCTAAGTGGCTCATATCTCATGATTGGGTATACTATAGTATTTAGCCGAACATGGATCACATATTTGGATAACCCAGATAAGGCATTTCAGGCAAAAATGGTTAGAATGAGAGAAATTAGTATAACTGAACCATAGGTAAAAACGATTGAAGAAAGTGATTGTGCAGGCCTGGATCGTTCATACACCAGTTGGTTCTCGCCTCGCATATGATTCGGCTATTTCGTATTGTAAATAATGAAAAACCTAGAAAAAAGGCAAAGAAATGTTAACTGAACAACGATTTCCGTGTAGACACACGTAGCATTCCCTAACTTGAGCGGAAAAAGTTTTGCAATTACAGGTACAGTGAACAGAATTTATTCTTTACTACCATGCAAGCAAACTTCGTTCTCTGCGATGTAGAAGGCTAGCAGGGCTTTCCCAAACCGCTCGGCTGCTTTGCAAGTAGCACCATACGCGTGTTAGTCCATCTAACATAACTCACATTATCATACCAAGCACTAACGCAACCTACCCTACTTTATCGTGTCCTGCCTTGTCATGCCCATACATACCTAACCATACCCTAACCAACGTAGTCTGCCTTACTGTACTCAAGCTTACCACATCCTACTGTGCCTTACCGTTTGATACCTACCCTACTCTAACCTACCCTACTCTAACCTGCCCTAACTTAACCACCCTAAACTAAACTACTATCTCTTACTCTACATTAGCCTGCCCTGGCCATCCCTAGCATATCATGAATTTCAACATGCAAGTCTATGGAAAATTTAAAATTGTTATTTATTCAGGGGTATGCAACCTAATTTCCTAATTCTAACGTAGCTGTTGGTAATTTACATGATGAGATATCGCTCAAAAGTCACAGATACATACATTATGATGTGTACTATCGAATGTTATGCTATTGATATAGTTGAGGTCAACCAATTAGTGCTTTGAGAGAAAGATCTGCAAAAATGACGTTTTCAATGGTTTTTCTTCTGTAACTTCACTGCGCATTCGTGTATCTTTATGAAATTACTGTAGAATTAATGTAGGACTTGATGTCTTCTATCGAAATACCATGTGTGTATTTATATATTGTGGGTCCGGAGATATATCAGCTACTTCTGGTATCTCCGGGAGTAAGCATTTCTGCAAGTAGGGACTTCATAGATCAAAATCTCATGACAAAATAAGTATGTACACCAAGTTTCATCAAAATCAAACGGGGTTCGTAATATGCAGTCTTACCCAATAGTCCAATAGACTCTACAAATGCATTGTACAATATTTATGTTTGAGAATCGAGGTAAGTAGCCGTTAGTAAGTGGTTCTGCCCAACTCTACTCTAGAGTTAATCGAACTATTTTATAGCCATTTTATAGTCAGTAAAATTTGATAGATGCCAATTGAATAAGATAGCTAGCCTTGATGATAGTAATCAAAATAGTACAAGGCGTCCGTCAATCAATCTAGTTGCCAAAGAAAGACAAACAAAATCTGCAAATTCAGGCATCATCCTTATGTGTAGGAGACCATTTTTGATTTATTCATTTAAATTTATATTAACTGTTTATTAATATTTATTTTTAAAGGCTCTTGAAAAGTCAACGCGCTCCAGCGGAAACATGATGCCGATCAATAGATACGATTTTTAAATCATGTTAAATTGGTTTCGTGAACAACCCCATGAACAACATTCGATGTAGCTAAAAAATAGATCAATTGAAGCGACTCTTAAAGACCTTTCAGTCGAAATACGATCTGAAAAATTCGGATAAGTCGTTTGAAAGATATTCAATTTTGAAGAGAACTTTAGCTTCAAAAAGATGACTTAATCTCAAAAATTAGTATCTGTCTATGAGAGTTTAACAGTGTATCAAAAAGAATCTTCCAAACATTTTTTTCTCTTCCGAGTTCGAGCGATGATTGTGAAGTGACTTTTGTTTTTTTCATTGTGGATTTCTCAGATATCAAAGCTACACTACCCAACTATAACATGTTGAATTTTCAAAAAAATTCAGCCATTATCTAACGAAATATAAGAAATAAACCAAAAATTCCCAAACTTTTCTCCACAGGTTATTATCACCATGGACCTATTTTAATGGGTGGATTAAGAAGTGCCCAACACATTCGGATTAGTCAAAGAAAAAATTAAATCATCTATTAATTAATCTTCTATTCTATTTTATAAAAGTTTGATAATAAATGAAACAAAATTGCTGCAAAACATCAAGTGATTTGAACAAAAGTGACAAATGAACTCATGATTTCTATACAATTGACTTCTTTTATCATATTGATTGGACAACTATGCATAATCTTGCAACAATAAAAGTATCTTGGAGTTAAAATATTTCTAACATGGGGGTCCCCAGGTTTAACAAGAAAGAAGATATCAAAGTGTTGCCTTTTTGGCTCAACATTAAGAATGAAATGAACCATACATAAATCGAATGCCATACTTAATCATACTTACTTATTATGAGTAGGTTATGCCATCATAAAAATAATGCTTTGGGATCCCATGGAGACCTAACCAGACCATGGAGTTGTATGTTCAAAATCGCACTGCAATTTTCCATTTCCAGGGAAACAATCGATGATGCTAAATCATTTGCACAAGCAATATTAAATAAAAAACACCAAAAATGAACATTTATGTTGATCTACTGACTGGGATCTCTAGAATCTATGGTTAAGTTAGGCTTAGGTTAGGTCTATGGTTTAAGCATCATTCGAATGGAATACACCTGTTACACCACATCAATCTTTGGACTTCGTGGCTATCAGGTAATCAGATACTTTCAGTCATATAAAACTATAGTTATTGAATTAACGGTAATAAGTGTGATCATCATTTAATATTAAAATGAAAAGTTACAAGACCATTCACCGAACTCCAGAGAATTATCGAGCATCGTTATTAACCAATCAGTTTTTTTAATGAAAAATGGGTTTGAGCCCTTTATCTACATATACTTTTCAAAAGTTTTTATGACTAACGTGTTCTAAGTAGTTAAACAGGAGATTTGATTATACATGATTGAACCCAATCTAGATCGTGATGGTACTTAACGGATAATCGAAATATTCCTTCGTGTTATCGAGAAAAAGATTTCTTTTCAAACAAATACTCACTTCGACTGAAAGCTCATATTAATTGACCTTTTTTCAGCTTTATTCAATTCTGCAAAAAGCGCTCTTCTCTTGAATGAATAATTTTAATTTAAGATTTAAATATTTTGGAATCTTTTTAGATTCTCGGTGTAGAGCTTAATAATTTCCTAATGAATAATAGATCAAGACACAGGGAAATGAAAACTTGATGATGACTTGAATTATCTTGTTCAGACGAATGATTAGATTGAAATGAATGCATCTTAATGCATCTTAAATTATAATAACTAATAAATGAAGAAATAATTTCTCGAACAGAAACATCGGCAATGATTTAGAACTTATATTTTTATTGAAGTGGCCTGAAAATAAAAATTGAATAATATTTTGTAAACAATAGAAAGAACCAGAAAAAAGTGTTCCAAAAGTGCCACCCGCTCTTGACATTCAATTTTAAACAATAAAGTTTTTTAATGCGTAAATAGATAATCTTAGCTAATGATTAAAATGATGATTAAAATGCTTGGAAAATATAATGAAAGTTTCATTGATAGGAATGATAGTGATTAGATTTAATCATTACATGGTTTTGCTTAATAATATGTAACAATATAATATTATATTATCTATGCACAGAATTGTTTTCAACAATTGTACAAAAATGACAAACGAGATCATCAGATTTCCCAGTATTGTTCATCTGATTAATTTTGCAAATATATTTATAAAGCCAATTATTTGTCGTTCATTTCAGATCAACTTTTCTCCACTTTCAATTTATTACTATTATAAGTTAACTTGTTTGAATCAATAAAATAAATTCAATCAACTTCAACATGAATAAATCAGTTATTCCAATTTCAATCTTGTTAATTTGCTTCAACATTGTTTTTGTTTCAGCTCATTTAGAAAGACCTGGTAAATTCGTTGATCATGATCGTACAGTAACCAATTGTGCCCGATACAAGAGAGAAGCCAATCAACACACTTGTGTCCTCGCCCCATTCACGACTGAAGGTCCATACTTTTTACCTGATGACTTTGAGCGATCTGATATTACTGATGGTCAAGTTGGCATACCACTTGATTTGACGATTCGTTTGACTAATGCCAGTGATTGTTTGCCTTTATCCGACTTGTATGTTCACATCTGGAATGCCAATGCTACAGGTCACTATTCCGGTGTTCAAGAGTTCAATAGCTTCCCTAAACCAACTTATCGTCCAAAACCAATTGATGATGTTCGATTTCTTCGTGGCTTCCAGAAAACCAATGAACATGGTGAAGTAAACTTTAAAACGATTCTTCCTGGTTGGTATTATGCTCGTTGTTTACACATACATGTTGAAGTATACCATAAAGCAGTTGCAGAAAGCGATTCAATAACTTATATTGGACAGCTTTACTTTAAGCGTGAATTGCCAACACAATTAAGACTAGTTGAACCTTATTCACAAAATACCAATGAAATCCTATTGAATGAACAAGATAGGTTCTTCGCTGCAGATCATGGCCAAGACAATATCATTGAGTTGAAATCACAAGATGGTAGTTATACTTCTTATGTCACTTTGGGAATTGATCCTGATATCATGATTTCTGTACAGTAAAATATAAAAATTTAATTTCGATATATTCTAATGTATATTATGAGACAAAATCATTTAAAATTTAAAAGGCAAATAAATCTATTTTCAATCATCTATGAGGTTTCATTTTTAAATATTTTAAGTTTTTAATATTTAATATTCTTAAGTCGCTAAGTCCAGGTTTATTGACAAAAGCGACATAAAAATAAAAAATGATTCATCCCTAGTGCTTTATCAAAGGGTGAAACTCCATGTTATCATACTATCGAGTGAAGAAGTGTTGAAAAACAATGTTGGGGAAATGTGTAGAGATCTAATCTATTTTTAATTCAGTTTTCATAACAGTTGTATTCAGAGAATGCTTACCCCTGACCCTAATTTAAACTCCATAAGCTGTATATTTGACTTATTCACTCTAAATTAAACTGAAAATGGAAGAAGGCTTTGAAAACGTCAAAACAAAATAGTGTGCGGATGTACTACTTGGGCTTAACGAATCTGGACACAATGATCACGCGACTGATGCAACAAATCTAGCAGTATTAGAGATCCTCAGAAAGTTAAGCATATGATGAAACATTTCTCCATCTCGGTCAATGAAAGAATGTTGTTTCAGACTGTCCAGTACAATGGGAATGAAGCCGTTGAACATTCGCGTTAATCTTGACTCTAGATACCTAGAAGTGTGATTTGATGATAAAGTTTGATCCGTTGATAAGATTGGCTAGTAATAGTTATTGTGAATGGCTTATGTACCACCTTCCATAGCCTCGTTAAGCTTGGCACAGCTCTTACATTAACGTATCTGATTGGTAACTCTGAGTTTTTCGAAATAATTCAATATTCGATTTTCTTGTTAATTTATAATTATAATGGATAAGATTAGGGAAATTGGTTTAAAATCATAGTTGGTTTAGTTAGTTTTTCTTATGGTTATATTCAGTAATATCGCGTGTGATCACAACCTACTTCATTATATTGTCTTTCTTACGAATAAGAAAGATCTCTTTTCTTGTTTATTCTTTGACATTCGATTGTTGCCACTTCTAGTCAATCATTTGAATAAAATTCAGCACGCAATTATGATATCATCATAGCATTTTAATTAAAGTTAGAGAGAGGTTAATTTAACACAGCTTTTAAGGAAGCTTTAAGGCGCCAAAGAGTCAATAACGCCATCTGTTGTTTCTGAGAGATGAAATAAAAAATGAAATTCATTAGTTCTTGGAAAACAGAAAAATCTCTTGAAAATCTTACCTTTGTTAAATTTTATCCTCCTTTAACTAAGTAACTCGTTCCCTTAGCCGCTTCATCTCACTGGTCTTGCTTAACCTAGTACTAAACTAGTAAGAGTCAAATCGGTTGCCTCTGATGAATATGGAAACCAAAATAGTCTGATGAAACATCACCTTCTGCTCTTCTTGTCCATGGATGATGACGATAAAACTAAACTAAGAAATGACCTAAACACATGAAACAAAATATGAAATAAATAGAGTAACTTTCACTCATAAATGAATAATAAACTAAGGAACTTACCTTTTTCAAGTGTTCTCAATGGATCTTGAAGTTGAATCGATTAGAAGCACCAACAATCGATTAAAAAACACACAAAACATAGAAATTAATGTTTCTTATCACATAAACAACATAAAACTAAACGACTTTAAACATTTGAGAAAATAGACAAACAAAAGGTGTTTAAATAACTTAAATTTTATTATGATTATAAGGGAGGGAAATTATGAGAAAATGAGGAAATTGACATGTAACTGAATTGCTTTATGAAAATTATCAAATTATCTTTTTTAATATTTAAATTAAACATTTCCTTTTTTTGGAGGCTCTGTCTCTGGCTCTGGCTCTGGCTCTGGCTCTGGCTCTGGTTCTGGTTCTGGTTCTGGTTCTGGTTCTGGTAAGGAAAGGAAATACAAAATTAATAGAAAATAACTAAAAACAATATTATAATCAAAAAAGTTACTCACATGGTTGGACCCTATCATTTATCAGTCGATCAGACTCATGTCTTGGCCAAAGGATAATTGCTCGCCATAATTTGTAAAGTTGCTTGACAATAACCATTGGTCTATCGTCGGTAACAAAAGAAGAATGATAAACTTTTACAACTTTTAAACCAATGCTTTCCAGTTGGGTTGTGAATTCCTTTAAATCTCTCGGTTCAACATCCACTTCATCTCCAAGGAACATGGCTTTAATGGTCACAAAAAATGAAGGATAAACGGTGTCAGGGATCAGAATCCTTTTAACCGTACGGTCAGAGGTGAATAGTGGGGCGAACAATGTCGCGACAGAGGAAAATAGACCTTTGTCCACCTCAAACGATCCTCCCGAGTGATGGGCGACGATAACATTTGAACTCGATTGGGGTCTAAGACGCACTGACATGGTGAGTAGAAATACTTGTGAGAAAATATTTTTGAAAAAACAATAAAAACAATTATAAATAATATCGTAACACAAATATGAATTCGATGAAAATATTTAAAGAAAATAAGACTTTAACTAGAAATAAATGATTAGAGAAAAAGAAGAATGAAAAGAGAACAAAACTAGTTATCTATTCAAACTCTAAAATTGAAATGAACAGCTTGAGTAAATTTTCTACACAAATCATTGGTAAGCCAAAGGATTATGGTCATAATGTGGATCTTGTCTCCTCTTTTGTCTGCAACTTCTGTTTTAATCGTCATTTATCATCATCGTCTGATAAAACAGCCTTACTTAACAATAAGTTGTCGGTTAAAGTAAACCTGAAAAAAGCAAGTTACCCGATCTCGCCTCATATTACATTTGTAAATATTCTTTGGTATTTATAATGTGATATCAATCAAGAAGCGAAAAGCCGAGGACAAAAAAAGAAGCAAACAAATCATTAAGATTTTGTCTCTTGTCTTAATTAACCAAACGGGTTAAACAAACAAATGATTCAATTTTTAGTCAAGTAAGGAATACTATTAGGCTCATCTTACTTAACTGAACTTTTGGTCAATGGCATTGCGTGAAGTCACACATGGATACTGTTTGTTCAATCAACCTCTATGGCCAACTTGAGTCCACAACAAACGGCGAAACAGCAATTAGATTTAATTAGATTCGACCATTCAATCCTAAATAATTCAATTGGAAGTACAGTAGTAGTTGGAAGTACAGTTGTAGTTGCGAACAGTGTAGACGCAAGTAAGACCCAGTTTATCTATCAAATGAATTAATCTTGCTCATCTTGTGCCATTACCAGAATTGATTCACATATTTAAAGACTAAAGTTGTCCATCAAGGATTATCTGTTGTCCATCTCATCAACAATCTAAACTTATTTTGACCTGGAAATGCTAATTGTCTAAAAGATATCAAGGCAAATTAAGATAAATATACAATCGTCATCATCATCATGATCATCATCAAATTCACAGTTACATTAATATCTCAATTGACAAACATGGGAACAAGTGAAGAGAAGATTTAGTCACGATGAGTTTAAAATTGCTTCACAATCAACATATTAATTCATTTACATGTAATTGACGTTCATTAAACAATCAGTTGAATGAAAGATAACAAAATAGTGATTATAATAAGATTCTTGTGGTTACTCTGTTTAGGTGGACCAATGCAATCATAATAAATATGTGTGTTACTCTGGTTTCTGGTTCATTATTACACATCTATGAGCACTTCATTTGAATAAATATATTGTACACAATTGGATTTGATTATATTGATTAACCTTAATTGTGGGATCATGAATAATAATGGGACAGAAAAGTTTTCTCGAAAAAAAACTAAATCGATTATTTTTTATACATTTTTTTACTAGAATAGACTATTTGCTGGTAGTTGTCTAATAATCGGCGATATAATCAGCTATTATGGTTGAAGTCCGGTTGTATTGAAACAAGAAGGAGCTTTGATTAAGAGCTGTTATGTTAATGAATTTACAAAGTGGCTGACAATTAAAGAAGCTTCAGAGCAACTTACATCTCTTTCTTTTTTTGTGTTATTCTAGTGTTTTGGTTCTGCGATTGTAATGACAATCAACTTCTCCAAATGAGCACTACACTCGATTCCCTTATAATCAGACAAAATAACCTTAAATCTTTGAATAGATTAACATGGAAATACATGTATGATAAATCGACTATTTCAAGGTAGTCTTAATATGCGTGACTCGAGTCTAGTTGTATTCAGAGTATGCTTACCCCTAGTCCTTACCCTAGACTTTAGTCTAATTTGAACTAAAAATTATCTTGAATGTTGTATTGAAAAGCATTGACAAAACTTAAGGTAGCATAATCTGATCTGATGAACACATTTATACCTATTTATAACAAGACTCAAAGAATAGGAAACACCCTTAGAAAGTATCTATCGAGACCTTTAGTTATCGCTCTTGAAACATTGCAATTTAAATGTTTAATTCGCGATTATCTTATTTTATCCACTTGATTAGTGAATGTGACATTTATATTGATCCAATTGTTGAAAAGTTGAATTCTGAATGGAAAGGCATCGGCTCAACTGTTTGAGATATTATTGAAACTATTTGTATATCATCTTGAAATGACTAAATAGAAATAGTTTGTGCAATTGCAACAAGCCTTTGACTTATCCATCAAGACGATTAATCTTTGACAATTGACTAGATTTAGGTCCGATTCGTGGTCAATTTAAACTCCATGAGCTGACCTTTTGACTTATTCATTCTAGATGGAACTGTAATGGAAGAAGGCTTTGAAAACGGCAAAACAAAATAGGGTTCGGAGCAACAAAACACTGAATCGGTAAAGAATCGTGAATTTCTAGACAAGACATTTAACCAATTTCGTTAATAAAAAGTTAATAACGATGATGGTCAATTGAATGTTGAATAAATGATTATTGATGGCTGAAGATGATTATGATGATGATTGTAGCGAATAAAGAAGCGACTTCATTGAAGTCAGACGAGCGAATCAAAGTTAATGCGTGCTTTTTACACAATTGAGGCTTATTTTGCTATTATCATTATGTTCCTGATAAAAGCATCATCTTGATCAAATACATTTGTTGATTTTTCCTTTTCTGATCACAAATATTTTCTTTATTGAAAGAACCGTTATTTTGCCATCATTTTACTCATTATTTATTTATTAAAAAAGGATGATTTGAGTTACCTAGAAAAAAAGATGAAAGAAATGAAAGAAGGTAAAAAAAGGATGAAAAGGATGAGAGGTTAGCCTTTTCATGTTATATTCATCAAGTTATGTTGTGATATTTTAGAGACTTGAAATTATTAAAGGTCAAGGTTGAAGACAAAAGCTATGCTCATCAGTGCAGTAAAATTGACCTCAAACAGGTACCTTATGCTATCTTCATCTGAACATCTTCTTTATAAGCAACTTTTTTCTCTTCCTCGACTTTTTTATAGTCTATTCACTGTCTAAGGTAAAATACCCATAACTTTGAAGGGAATCCAGAAAAGAAAAAAAGATTCCTTTTTTTCTCTCTTTTGCTAGAAAATGATTCTATTATTCTTAAAGGTTCAGAACTGATAATTTCTCACCCATTTTCACAAATCAGGCTCTCATTAGTCCGAGGGAAAATCACTTTTTGCAGATGTTCGTTCAGTCAATTCGTTGTTTCTTTTGGACTTCAAGTTATGTCTTTTCCTTCTTTTTATCAACTCATTTGATTCGTTGTCACTTCCATTTTCACATACTTCCGCATGATACTCAATGTTTCAGGGTGAACTTGAATTTTTTTTATCATTGTTACACATTATAATCTTTTGCCTCTATCATTATCATTCTATTGTTGTGATGTTAATCAGTCAAAGTATCATTGAACCAAGAATGATTAGAAAAGGTTAGTCCGAATAGATTTTTGTTTCATCAATGATAACCTTTAAGAGAGAGACAGACGTAATAGATCGGTAAATGAAGGAAAAATGTTGTTGGCTAATATGAGGAAAGGATGAGGAAAGGATGGCGAAAAGATGGCGATGATCAAAATGTTGAGTATTTTGTGATTGATTGACGATTTGAGTGACAAAAAATGTTGGGACACACAAACATTATTTCAAGTATTTCAAATTATTTCAAGGCACAGTTTCATTCAACACTTTAAACGATCAACAGTTGACTCGGTTAACAACTAATTCAATTTAACAAGCTTTTGATTTGGTTGAGGCTGATTTCATTCAATGCAAATCGAGAGACACAAAGGATCAACGATTTTGAAACTGCAATAATGAGGAAATCGCTTACAATTGTTAGTCTCACTATTCACCGAGTAGCTCAATCTTATGACCTTATGTTTACATATCTTGTAAGATTATCCCAAAGACTTTTTCAATGTTATATGATCTATTAATCATCAGATGCAAACTCTCGATAACTAATTAGTGATGATGGGAAAATTGGGGAAAAAATGCAGAGACTTTTGGGTTTAATTAATAGTAAAGAAAGGCAATGTTATGTTCAATTGTCGAGTCTCCAAAATAAACTTAATCAATGGTATTTGAATGTCTTCGATTGTATTGGATTGCAACTCGCTATTAGTATGGCTGAATACCAGAAAAAAGGATAATCTTCTGTTCGATGGCGATAAGAGATGAAATTATTCCAACCATTGTTACCAACCAAGAAGATAATATAAGAATTAAATTAAAAATTGAAAAAAATCATGATTTTTTAGACTCTTGAAATTGAAATTGCATTCTATTCATGACATTGCAATGAGAATTATTTGGTGTTTTATATCAACTTGATGAAGTGACTGTTTGATGAAAGAAGTTCCAGTGGCAAGTAATGAGCTTCACTTGTGCAAGTGTCAAGACTGACTTGAGTGTCTTCAGTAAGACCCGGAAATTGAAACACTCAATGGATGTAACTTTTCAAATGGAGAATGTCAGAAGATGAGAGAAAAAATGGAGACAAAAAAAGACCAAATGATATGATAATAATCGTAATGATGAATGCGAGTTGCAAGTTAGATTAGAAGTGAGAAAAGAAAAGAGTTTTGTGTAAAAAAGAAGGTAAGTTAACTGTAGAGCAAATTAAAGTTTAATCTTGTTCTGAAAGTGACCAACGGAAGATGAGCTTGAAGAAGAGGTGCGAACTGGGAAATAAGTAAACAATAGCCATTAAATCAACTTAATTAGGCTCACACAAGAATTTAAAATGTATTCAAATGTAAAGCAAGTCTTAGTTGAAGGTCACCAGGAACAAGTTTATTCAGCGAATGTGATTTAAATTACAATTGACCATTTAAAATACATGGTCATTCAGGCAACAGTAACTTTGTACCGAAATGCTCTGTATCCACAAGTTATCGAGATAATCGGTATTCATCAAGTGTTAAGGTGACATTGATTAAGTTAACTTACGCTTCCTTTTGGTCATCATTCAAGCGTCTTTTGTTTCATCAATCAACCCGTTAATTACTTTTACTTTTGCCCTTCGACATCGTTCTGAAAATTTGCGTTTAATTGACTTGAACAGTTTAACCATATTGCATCTTATTAATGATTAGAAAATTGAATTTCGTTAACCACTGAATTCACCTGATTAAAGGTTTTTCATCTTTCTCTTGTTTCCATAGTTGATCAATGATCATTCACTTCAATCGTTTTACACCTCAAATGACTTGAAATCAACAATTGAATAGAAACAATGATTAAAATTGTGTAAGAACTTGTTTAATGTAAAAAATATTTCATTTGTTTCTAGTGTTTCATTCAGGTTGAACAGAGATTGGAGATTCTGTTTGATGGTTGTTTACAGTTGGAAGGATTGAAACAATTATTGCTGCACAATTAATACAAATGGTTAATAACAATAATTATTGGCAAATAACGGACTCTTTACGGTTACTGATTGTTTCCGTTGAATCAGAAAAGAAGATGAAAATAACGAGAAAAACTTGAATCGATTATGATTTAAAGTTAAATGGATTATCGAGTTACAGACACTTTCCCTTTACCTTTCCAGGAATAGCATTGGTTAAGTTAATATTTAACTTATTTACTGGTTTACCTGGCACAATCTAATCTCGCCTCTTTTCACCTTTTTTGTACCATAATATAATAACGTGTTAATAACATGATGATAATGTTACTTTTGTGCGTTGAGCACTTGCTTTATTCAGAATTGATCTCATTGTAAAAAAAAGCTTTTCGCTTATTCAGTCAGTTGTTCTGTTTCTGCTTCTTTTGCTTCTCTTTTTCACTTCTTCTCACCGCAACTTCCGTGATACACTTGATTAAACTCACTGGTTAGGTCAGATTGTGAGCAAAGAATCTGCAAGAAGCAATGAAAAAAGTTAAGAAAAAAGAAAAAATTATGAGTCTCAAAGAGAAGGAATAACAAGTTGGAGAAAAAAATTAACTTTACCATTCTTTCTGCTCACCGTTTAACTGCAAACTAATATTTAAAAGCATTAACGAGTTGCAAAAAATGAGCTCAACATGAACAGTGAATGAGTTGAGATGGCAAAAAGTGCGAATTGATGAAGGAAAAGGAATGAAAAAAGTTGCATTTTTACTTGCTTGTCAAAGCTTTTCTATCGTAAAATTGTTTCAAGTTCATTCATGTTTGTCAAATTTCTTTATAAATGGTATCAACTGAAGAACAGAAGAATGATAATGATGAGAGAATCAAATGGATGTTTCATCCAACATTCCGAATCAATGGGTTATTGTCAACCAACTGACAATTTCAATATTCATATCAATCTAGTATCAACATTGAGACGATCATCTTGACACATCGTCCTATTCAAGTTCACTGAATTGGACAGTCGGTGGATTGACATTTGTTTTTTATGTTAATCAAACATCTAAATGAACCATTCATCGTTTACTCTATAATTAATCGAGAGGACACAACTTAACCCAAACTTTGTATCAAAAACTGTTATCAAATTGACTGGATCCAGTCAATATGTAGAGTCGATGAAAAATGAAAAAAGTCAATTGTTCTGAACCTCTTTAACTCAATCTAAATGATTGGTAAAGTGAGTTGTGTTGACCTCTGTTATTATGAAATGACCATTTAGTCTTTGTTTGGACTAATGTAATTGAGCCATTTTAACAACAGTTTGAAGATGAACAAAACTATGATTGAAACACAGGTCATCTAACTCGGAAGAATCAACAGATTCTTTGACATTCTCTTTCAAACTAACCAGATGTATTGCAATCTTGTTAACAGTTGAATATATTCATTGTTTTACTCGTTTTTCGCTTCATCAAACCCAGACTATTTTGGTTACTTTAGTGAAACAATCAACAGCAAACGACTCGCTTTCTTTGAATATCATTACCAAATTAAAATCAATTGTAATCTTTATTTACAATTGCCTTCAAGTCAATGTGTTTCGCATCAACCAAAAGATAATCATCTAGTTTAATCCAAATAATTGATTATTGTTTGATTAACAATCGATATGATCAAAATCTAAACGAATTTATGTTTAAACAAAAAAGTCTGCAGTTATTGGACAAAACTATAACTGCCATTAACCTAAGGGTCAAATTAAGTAAGATGAGCCTAATAGTATTCCTTATTTGCTTAAAAATTGAATCATTTGTTTGTTTAACCCGTTTGGTTAATTAAGACAATGACAATCTTAATGATTTGTTTGCCTCTTTTTTTGTCCTCGGCTTTTCGCTTCTTGATTGATATCACATTATAAATACCAAAGGATATTTACAAGTGTAATATGAGGCGAGATCGGGTAACTTGCTTTTTTCAAGTTTACTTTAACCGACAACTTATTGTTAAGTAAGGCTGTTTTATCAGACGATGATGATAAATGACGATTAAAACAGAAGTTGAAGACGAAAAAAGAGATAAGATCCACAATATGGAGCCACAATTATGTGGAATCTTTGTTCTAACAAATTATTCTTCCTTTGGGCATCATTAACAGAGGTTTCAATTTGTGTTTGTTTGCACCATGACAACCCAACAAAAAAGGTCAAGATTATGATTGAAAGGCGCCTTTTACGAAAGATTGTTTCACATTTACTTGTACTTATTGTTCCAATATTAATAAAATGTAAACAATATCAACTTGAAACTGAAAACTAACTGTAATCACGATTAGCTCTCTTATAAACATTCAATTGAATGCTAAATAACATTAATCAATTGAGAAGTCACTTGTAAATAAATGTAATCATATCTTCTGATGTATTAATAGCTGTCAAAAAAGCATATTTTGGTTGGTTAAGCCAAAATCAGATGATAATGATGAATTGGACATTGAAGATGATGTCAAATCACAATGAAAATCAACAAAAAATCAACTGTTTGAATACCGAGGAATTGCAAATACATTTATTAATCAGGAGCCCTGTTTGACTTTACTGGTTTCTGGCTTTTCCTGGTCTAAATTTTTACACCTTGTCTACCCATTTTCGGGTGCAGACAGTTTAAACTATCCGATAATTAAGAGCCGAGATTCGAAAAGCTGTGGACAATCCGATGGATCTACTGAAAAAACATTTGCCATCAAAAAAAGCAAATCGTCAAAATGCAATCATCCAATAATATTTAAATATCAGGTGTATCAACAAGTTGTGTCGTTTTTATTGACTATTTATCCAGTACATACAACATGCAATCTAATGCAATGTGATTATTGAAATGATGAATCAGAAATGAATGGATGAAATTGTTACAGAATCAAGAAGATGATGAACTAATAATTGTGATGAGGGAGGAAGAATGGTGAGGGGAGGATCAGGATGACATGAAGAAAGGTGAATAAGACAGTTGATGGTGAAGGTTGAAGATGAAGATGAAGATGAAGAGCCCCGGGAGCATGAAATAAAGACTGAGGGAGTCAATGAAAGGAAAGAGGATAAGTAGGTTGTTAAGAAGGTAATTCAAGTTCAGTTTGCCAGTTCACTCTTACGGAGTTATGTAGGTATTTTATTTGTGTTAAGTGATAAGTGTTTATGTACAACTTGAAGACCAAAGGATAACGTGATAAAATTAAGCAAAGTTTCTTCTTCTTCCTCTTCACCTTCATCATCCTCATCATTTATCACCACTTTGTCCTTTCAATTTAATATTATCAAACATATCCATTCCATCGGCATCACAATCATCATCATCGCCTTCATCCACTCAAACAAGAGCATTTCTTGTCTCTTGTTTATCTCGTGATACAAACATTATTACAATTAATACCTAGTAAAGCCCAAAATAGCAACAATGATCCAGTGCAAAGTTAATCGGAAATCTTATTATCAACATTGGTCCTTAACTAGACCATCATCAATGTCCATTGTATTGTTATTAACTTTAGTTTTGCCAATAATTCATTGTAAGTTTAACCTTTTATTTCAAATTTTATCATTAATTGCTTTTCATCAAATTCAACTGATATTCATTTTAAAAAAAGACATTCTTTTCAAATTAAACTCTTGCTGTGCTTGTAATCTGGTGATTAGTGTTTCAGAATGCATTTCAGTTTGGATTAACTTTCCATTGAATAATATCGAAGCTTTCATCTGCAAACAAATCAATGATACAATTTAAATATTTATCTCATGCATAATTGAGTCATGATACATCAATTCTCATAATCTGCTACTTGACTTTAGACAATTGATTAACAAATAAACAAACCAAAGGTAAATATTTGCTTCAAATTTGAGTTTCAGGCTTGGAGAGTTACAAGGGATTTCATTCAGTTTTTTATCATTTGAGAAGCGCAGTGAGCTTTACAAAAAAACTTTGCAATTCAAAAGCTAATCGATAATCACTGATTTATTCAGCAACTATTTTCAAAGCGAACTTGTTCAACTCTTCGAATTTTAATTCACCTTTCAGTTAGAAAATGATGAACCTGAAGTTGAGTTACTTTTGTGCAATTGTCACATCAGTAGACAAATCAACATAGTTATTGAGATGAGAAAACTGAATTAAGGAACTGATGAAAATCGTTGACAACTCTTTACAATGTAAAGTTTACATTGATATTGAATTGATTTTGAATTTGAATTTGATAACAAGTATAATCATCATGTTGATCATTTTCAGTCTCATCCTCTTTTGTCAGAATTTGATTTTGATAACAAAAGGTCGATTCTTATTGATTAATCTTGTTTCACTTCCTGTCATCATTCTCAGCCTTTCTTCTTCCTTATCAGATAATATCATATTCATTTTGACTACAAAGTAGACATTCAATTGAATTTGCTCAGAATAATTATATTTGCAACAAATATATTCAATTTGTCAACATTTGTCAAGCGAGTCTCGTTGCTGTTTATTGTTCAGTCCTTTTACTGATTCCCAGCATTTGTAGGAATTTTGATAAACTTTAATGATGAGTAAAATTGTAAAGTTTTATAATAGCTTTTCCATTGTAATCTTGTGAAGTCTTATGTTGGTCAACTTTTAATCTTCACGGTCAATCATAATGAATGCTTTTTTTGCCATAATTTACAGTTAAATGATAGTTTTGTTGTCTTTACGTTATCATCTGTTGACCATCTTCATCTCTCTCCCACTAAACGATGACACTCCTTTTCTTCATGCCTTATGAAATAGTAAAACGATGAAGATGATAAACAAGATGAAAACAAGTAAAGCATTAAACACGCACAAGAAAACCCTGAACCGAGCATAAATCATAATAATAACAAATGTGAATAAGTAGACACATCCAAGTGACCTCTTTATATGCTATGAAATTTACCTGCGATAATAAAACAATCCTGTTCTGTCCAGCTCTTCTCTCTCTCTCTCTCCCCTTCTCTTCACCTTACCTTGCATTAAAGGTCAAAATTATTACCTTACTTGCTTATTATTTGCTCGTTGTTGTTTACATGTTACAACAAAACAAGACTATTTGGCCCGGGTAACCCCAATATTTTTTGGTGGTTTCCTTTTTGTCTTAGTGATGAGGTAAGTTTTCAGTGTGAATGTGTGTGAATGAAGGTGTGAGTGAATGCATATGCTTTTGTTGAACTGTTTTGTTTGATGAACATGATGATGTAAATGATGATGAACAACAAAAGTTAATACTGTTTAACTTCCGTCTTGTTCATTTCCTTTTTTGTTTTCTTTTCATTTAACAGGTAAAAACAAAAAATGATCAAATTCCTGTTTACCATTTGTTTGTTGTTTTTCACTGTTTCTTGTCTTCGATCAGGTTAAACAATAAGAATACAATTTCATTGAAATGCCTCTTTTAATAGTCTTTCTTTTCACCTGATTGCTTAATTGAATTCTGGTAGAAGCGAATTGATTGCTTGCAAGAAATCCGGTAAATGTAACTGTTGAACGTAATTTCAATAATTTTCATCACCAATCTTGACTTGACTTCAAAAAATAGAGAAAATATTGCTTCTCCAATGTTGACTGGTCAATCAGGAATAACACTTAATGATACAGTTCTAGTTCTGCTTCTCTAGTTACCTCAAGTTATTGCAAATAAATATATATCTTGTATCAGTTACCCTCTTTTTCAGGAGAAAATGAACAAAATAAAAAATGAAATTCTAATGCAGAAAAGTTGATGATTATAAGTTGACAATGTTGTTATTTTCACAGTTGACAAGCAATCAACTACACCTAGGTTAGATTAGATTAGGTTAGGATAGATTCATAAAAGTGCACTTTTAGTTAGACGATAAAAATATTATCCCATGCTAAGTTTCCAAGTTGATCATGGTTCATTGTCACCATTATCACTGGTATATTATGCTTGGAACTGAAAAAAAAGTTGTGACCAATTTTTTGCTTTCACTATTCACTTACTTGTTGCAAGTGAATAAAAAAAACATTTTATGCCTAATGAAAGGTGAGAGACCTTTTCTCGGTCAATACACAACTTTGGCATAACATGCGACTCAGGCAAACCATCTCATCATCATAATTAACTATCTTTCCTCTTTTCCCATAAATTAGTTATTCTCAGGTAGATTGTTGATTATTAAAAATACAACAGCAAAAGTCTATTTTTTCACACAAGAATCATTTCCAATAATAAATGTTTTGCCAAATCAATTGCACAAACTCAGTCATTCAGTCACTTTGGGAACTCAGTTTGTAATCTTTTCAATAATCATGGTGACATTTCCCTAAAAATGTCAGATATTAAATGATAATAAGTTCATGTTTTTGGCTGAGATTTGAGTCATTAGACGTTCATTAGGATTACTTCATTTGATCATCAATTTCACCAGTTATTCATTTCTGGTCACAACAAACTGTGATTCTTCAATGCAAAGAAACTGAATAATCGTGCCTTTGATTTGCTGAGTGCAAATGGCGAAGAAAAACAATTTAAATTTTGAATGCAACACAGGGCCAATAGGTTGAGTCTTTTAACCATCAATTGATAATAGATGGTTGTTTTTAGGGTTGAAAGGAGTGAAAAGTCTCATTAGCGTTGCTTATCTCTTTTAAAATCTTGTGATTCTCTTCAGCACGTTGTACCATTTATCTATTGTAATGAAAATGATTCTGACTTTTATTCATCATTTGCACTTGCTTAGTTTCACCCTTAATCATCATAATTATTCAAGTTTCTCTTTCTTTTGCTGGAGAAAAGGAAACAATTTTTCATAATCAATTTTCATTTTGGTGATAATTTGCTCTCATCAAATATCAACTTGTTGTGCAAATAGAAACCAAATGATTTATTATGATAATAGCAGCTTCGTCAAGTGTAACATATAAATCAACCCAAATTAGCTCAACAATTTGTTTGAATTAGCCAATTAAATGATTATTATAAACCCACTGGACTTGCCTGGACGATGTTTGATCAAGATTGAAAAATGTGTTAATTTCAATTAAATCCAATTAGTCTATTCAAATGTTGGGTTATGTTGTTAATGCAAGTCCATTAAAGTGAAGAGCAAAAAGCATCAATCATTTTACAAGTTATTAAGCTAATCAAGTCCAAGCAACAAACCCTTTGAGTAAAGTAAAGCAAAATATTCAATTCTTAAAATCACTTTTCTGCTGTTGATCAAGTTTCTCAAGTTAACCTTTGCTTACAAAACTGGTAACACAGTGAATTCAAATTGCAATGACTACTCACCATTAGTCTACTTACTATTAGATGCAATGCTAATTGTTATTCCCAATGTGCTATTAGCATAGTCATTGGTGACAAAATGATTGCTATTGGTGTGTTATTCAGTGTTTATTGTTATTGCAATTTGATAATGAAGCAGTTTCAAGTCATTTAAGTGTTAATGCCAGAACCTTTGCCTTTGTGAAAAAACAAAACTAAACTAATGGCAACATTAACACAAATTCCCAACATTAACATTATTGACACCAATCTAGAGTTTAAAATCACGTTAAAATCTTACACCTTCAGTAATAGCAATGGTATGCTGAGTAATCAGAAAGGCAAGAAAAAGGAGGATAAATAAGATGATGATGATGATGATAATGGTGAAAGAGAGTCGTAATAATAAAATGAAAGGAAAATCTTTGTAGATACAAAATGAGGAGAAAAGGTGGCGAAGAAGAAAAGTCTTTATTCAAATGGACTCTTAACTATTGTATTTATGGTCGTAAGATGCGAAAATGATGATAATGTGAAGAGAAAGAAAGAAATGCGAAAAACAAGAAACCGGTCAACCTGTTCTCTTGGTGGGCTTCCATCAAAGAGAGTTACTCTTGGTTTATCCGAGTGGAAAGTTAATTATTTTTTTGGTTCAACTTGTTCCAAGAATAAGAATACGAAAAAATAGATTTGCTAAAATGGTGACATTTAAGCGCTTCTTAATGGAAGAAGATCAGAAGGAGGAGAAACAGAAAGGCAGCAAAAAGGCCAATGTTAAAATGATCATCTTTTCTTCAGGTGTCATTGGCCTGAGGTCGCTTTGGAACACATTTTTTTCTCCTGGATCAGGACAATCCTAGAAAAATCAACACCATCTTCTTCATGATGATGGGAACTTTTTGCAGAACAAAATAAATGAAATGTTCTTATTCCTTGTTCTTAGGACCAAATCTTTGACCAAAATTCCCATAAAATTGAACGCTTTTCTGTATTTGCAAAAGTTTCAATTTCTATCTATCAATGGCAATCTCTTCAATTATCACTTGAAATATCGATAAAAATTGAATATTTTTTATTCTTTACAATGATTCTATTGATGAAAATTGAACATTTGATTAAAGTTATTGAGTTCATTTTCAACCTTTATTTACCTTAATTAAAGCCTCCCACACGATGAATCCGAATTAATCTCAACTTTGAATCGCTCTTTAAGCAACCCTTTGAGAGATGATCGTGAGTTGTGAACATAAACATGTTATGAACATGATGATAGTTGGAATGGTTAGAGAGAGAGGAAATAGGTAATCTCCTATTGAGAAGATAATCCGAGTAAAAATGTTGAATTAATTTGGTGGTTTGAGCAATGATAATGCATAATAACACTTGAACAAATGTTGGTGCCTGTCTCCATCAAGTTCAAGGTTTCAACAGATTATCTGGATCAAGAATAATATCAATGAAATGGATAATTATCATGTGCTTTATGTTTGTTTATCATGTTATCAAAGAAAACTTGAAAACAAGTTTACCATTTGAACCGTTGTTTGAAAAGGTAAACCTTGCAAGTTGTGATTGTGATCAAACTGAAAATATCAATGGGTGATAATGAAGATGATTGAGAGATGGTCTAAAGAAATGAAATAACAACTTGAATAGCCATTTAAACTGAATTTCACCAATAATTAATTGCAAGTTGGACTCTTAATCAACTAAAATACGGATGAAATTGCTTCAATAAATGTTCAATGAACAGTTAAATGATTTCAAAGGCAAGTTTATATTTATAAATTGTTTACTGAAACATGAAAAGAATGTCTTTTTTTCGCTAAAATTATTGTTTCTTTGTTTTTTCACTTTCTTTTGTGTCCTTTTCCCATTTGAATGAACTTTGATTTGACATTGACCTTTATTGTCTTGTTGCTTTCACTTTAAAGTGATTGACCATATTCGCCTCATTAATGATTGACTTTGTTTCTTGTCATCTCTCCATTTTCCAGGTAAAATAAGCTTTGAAAAGATGACCAATCGAGATTATGCTGGATCAACTTACTTCACAATGAAAAATGCATCTTTATATGAATGTTTGGGTTGGTGTCGCGAAGAAGCTGATTGTACTTCAGCTTCATTTTCATTTGTTGTCAATCCCTTGGCATCGAATCAGGAAACCTCATGTCGACTACAGAATGAAACTTTATCAACCAAAGTAGCTCAATCATCCATAGGACCTCAACAAGGTGCCTCATCTTCATCAAGTAACCCACAGAAAGCCAATAATGCTTACTTCTTCTCTAAATTGCATTTAAGATCAGGTAAGTCAGAGAAGAAAAAATTCACAAGAAAAGTAAAAAAAGTGTTGAAGGGTGAGAACAGAGTTGGAAAAATGTTCTAAATGAGAGTCTATCTGAAAGCTTCATCAGACTAACCTGTTCCTCATCATCATCAACATCATCATCATTTAAACATCTTCAAGTCTTGCTCTTTAGTCTTCCTCACTGTTGATCATCTCCATTCAACTCGAGTCTTTTATTATGCTCTCAGTGCCAATGAAAAAAGATCAAAATAGCGTGACAAGTTAATCTAAATTGCAGTTGAAAACAATTTCTTTATTATCTTTAAATGATAGTTACAAATGATTCTGATAATCATGACGATAAAAATAAAACACATTGAACAAGATTAAAATTGAAGTTTTGTAGGAAAAAACGCAAGAAATTTTCATTTTCAGAGTTAATCAGGCAAATAATGCAAAAATATATTAATTATGAACTGAGCAAAACTATTGAGCATTGAATTGTGTTACCCTTCAATAGACTAAACTCTTTCACCTTTCTTGTCCTCAGATAATGTCTGTAATCGTCTTTGGACTTTTGAACGTTATCCCAATCGAGTACTTCGAGGCTTAGATAATGCAATCATTTACACTTCCAACAAAGAAGCCTGTTTAGCTGCTTGTCTCAACGAGGTAAGTAAATCACAAGTTGATCAACTAATGATATTCAATAATGTTAACGTTTTAATGAAACAAAATAACAGTTGATTGTGTTTAAATGGAAATGATTACATTAACTAATGATGAGTTAAATATAATAATGAAAAATGTTTCCATTTCAACACTTGAATGGATTGTGTGTTTATTGCTCTGTAATTTTAACTTTAATTTTGCACATCACTAGACTTTTAACATGCTTTAAACCGATTGTTAATTGAATAATTATACAAGCGTAACGGGTTAACTCACAATAGAGTTAATTGCTAAACTAATTGTTTGTTAACTTTTCAGTTCAAACATGAGCTTGTTTCACTATTTCATAGTTGCTCAGCAAATCCTATTCATGGACTTGAGCTTACAGCTGATGTGACAGGAAAAGAGATAAAAAGATGAGAATCAGATTCAAAATTTCTAAAGATGAAGTTTCTCAGCTAACAACCGTTACATATAATCAGCAAATAATCATCATGAAAATTGATATTTTTAACAGCTTCATGAGAAGATTGAAGAAGATTGGAAAAGGTAAACGAGATTCAAAGGCACAACCAGTGATTCAGTTTCAATTATTCACAAAAGTCTAAAAATATCATCTCATCAGATTAGCTTGTTATGCCAATTGAACATTTTTCATCTAATTGTAGCACTGCATGCCAATTGATTACAATTTTGTTTCCGTAATTTCAAAGCTCAACTATTAATGATTATCAAAATGTTGATCAATCTTTGAGTCGTCAGTGCAAGACATTGAGCCAGACAAGTTGAATTGAATGCAATTGTTATTGATTAAAATTAAAAAAAACCAAAGTAATGTTAACAAGGACAAAACAAGAACGGTTTTGTGGTTCATTTTAGGAGACAAATAAAAAAAACAGTTTTGATAGGAAACAATGAACTAAATTGTTCCCTTTGATTCCTTCTTCTTCATCTCTATTCACCCTGAAATTGAACTTTTACCTAACTTGAAATAGTTGACAGTCACAAGCATCTTACTGTCTACCTTGTCGTTACTTTTTTTTCCTTCTTCTGTCTCTCAAAATAATGTAAGCTATTTGTCTTTCTATCTCACTCTTTCCTTGTTCTGACTGATTCTTCATGTTGAAAACATGGGAAAACAAGGAATCGCTTTGATTCTTCTGGTTGTTCTTTGTAAATGAATGAACCTTGTTTCATAATCGGAACAAACTAACACCATTTATCAGTTCTGTGTGACATAACAATGAATCTGAAAGATTGTCTGAAAAAGGAAAAGAAAAGAAGAAGAAAAAAATTGTTTAAAAATAATTTCTTTTGTATTTCATTTTGCTTATTGTCAACCATTTATCGAATCAATGAAAGTATCAATAGACTGAATTATTGTGAAATAATGTCACTCTTTAACTAATCATCAAGTTGATTATTAAAGCAAGAAATCAAGTTCAATGGAGTTCATTAATAGATGCAAAAAAATGAGTGAAATCATTGAAAGGTTAAGGTCGCTACAAAAAGCTCAATTAACTGACGAATCGACATTGAAAGATAATCGCAGATCAATTGACAATTATCATTCACCAAACGAAGAAAATATTGAAATGTTGAGCAAAGTGCATTCAAGTTTATTCAACTTGATTGTTCCGCTTTCCTGTGTTGATGAAGAAAATAATAAAAAAGCAATAACATGAGTTTGCTATCCAAAAATGCGCAATAAAATGAACATAAATTGAAATTCATCTGAAAAACAGTAAATGACTTTGAATTTGCTTTTTATTCTCATTCGTTTCATTGTGATTCAAAATGAACCGATTCATTGGTTTAAACTCAATCATCGTTATTGCTTCCATTATTATCAGACTTATTCATTATATCAGCATAAATAACCTTGTCGAGTAAATTCCGTATAACAGTTAAGGTAACTGTGAGAGATTAATATTGAATTCTGGTCTCGTCATGAGATTAAAATTAGAGTTGACCTTAATTTTTCATTTCCTTTCAAGTCAATTAATATTCATCTGAAACGGAAGAAACCATGAAAAGTTTGTTGAAATCAATGTTTACAACTTAACATGATTAATTACAGTTTCATGATTAACTTGTTTGTTATTGAGTCAGTTGACCAATTAACATGTTGAAACAAAAATCAAAGCTTATCGTTAATCCTATTTTTGAGTTAATAAGTTAAGCACATTAACATTAAACGATTAAATGTTTAAACACAAATCTTGCAACTTTAATCATCCATTAATTCCTAATCCTGTTGCTGTCATTTATTACACTTGTACCGTAATACAAGACACTTAAAGGATAAATGGTTAACACGATATTCAGATTATCATAGATTATCATTAAGCAAAGGTTGACTTTTGTATCAAATAATTCAACAGTTTTCAGAGCTTTCATGAAATGTCCACAAAAATGATTTGATATTATTTTTGCAATAAAATTGACAAAGAATCGAGTTTCGTTTAATTGCTACAAGCTGAGCCCCCGATCATGGCTGATCGTAAATTTCTTTTCACTGAATACAATAAATTCAATCCACATTTAAAGACTCGAACTGTTGATGAAAAATCATTGTCAAAGAGAAAAACTAAAGAATTTTCGTTGATTTTGAGAGTTGTACAGTTACACAGTTACAGAGCACCAGATATTTAACTTACTCTTTGCTCGAAAGACAGTTTTACATAAACTCCTAGCCCAACAATAAACCATCAATCTGAATGAAAAAAAGTTTTTCTCCCAAAGTCAATAGTAAAAGATACGGATTCTGCATTTTTCCCCTACCCTGTTTAAACGCTGATTTCTCAGTAACCTGAATTCCGAGAAAGCTCTGACTATTTTTCGTAATTGAAGTTCAATCAGGGCTTTCATTCGATGTGAAAATTTTCTTTAGAACCCTTTTAGTTTGGTCACAATCTTCCCGCAAAAATTTCATAGTTTGACTTTATATTAGGGTGTCAAATATATTTTGCGGTTCACTATGAAAAAAAGATTTGATTGTGATCTTTTTTGGCTAAAACATTACTTAGCCTTAATTAATCAGTATAAAACAAAAAAAATCAAAATCGGACAAATATTCACAAAATTATTGCATTTTTACAGCTTTTTAAAGGGTACAAAAATCGACCAAAATTTTTTTTTTCACCAACTTTTTTCATCAAATTTTCTAGCGACGCGTCACAAAATTTTTAACCTCAGATTCTCAATACTTGCGAACCTAACCTAAGTACCTGATCTCATCTCTATGGACCTCAATCTATCTTAATTTTTAGAAAATTCATTCAAAGAAGACTAGGTCTATTCAGGAACAGAGGTCAAAATCAATTTTGTCGATTTTTTCGCTATAAATTTTCGGACGCTCACAAAAACGCCATCAATTATTCAATTTGGAAAATTGAAACGATATTTTAATACTTCGAGTCCATAATTTGATCTAATGAAATTTCAGTCAATTCTAAGCTAAACTTCATACCCAACCGCAAAACTTATTTGACACCCTAATATATTGTATAGATTATAACTTATTTTGTTTCATTGAATACTAATGAAGAAAAGGTTTGTTGTTATTATTGAATTGAATTTAACCTTGTTTTACATTTGATTATTAATTGTTGAATCTGAAAATTAATTAAATTTTTTATTTCTTGTGTAGGTTCGCTTCCTTTGCCGTTCAGTTGAATTCAATTATAAAAGCTTATCATGCCATTTATCTGAATATGATCGTCGATCTCCTGGTGCCTTTCCTGTTGATCTTATTGAAGCTCAAGGAGTTGATTATTTTGAAAATGCTTGTCTTCAAGGTAAGTTCACATCTAAAATTTAAATGTTCAATCATCTCTTGTGTTCAGTTAATTGGTTCAAGTTATCTAACTTTTTATTCTTACCATGCTATTGAGCTCATCAAGGATTAATATTGCCTTCGCTTTAAACTATTCGTCTCAACTTTAAGAATCTAATCTTGAAATTTTCCAATCAAATTGAGTTTACTTTTGTGATAAGAGCCCGTAGTTAGACAGTCGACCACAAAGGTGTTCACTAAGGAAGAGAACGAGACATTGTCTGAAAGAAACATCGAACTAAAGAAGCAAATTGTATTAAATGCAAAAGCCTTGCGATTTTTGGAAACTCTGATGCGTCGACATCGTTGTTATCATTTTACAGAAAAGTCTTTATTCCTGTGAATGAACTATTCAGCATATTAATATTGTATTACATAATTTTGTTAGTTGGGTCAGTGCATTGAGTATATTCATGATCAAGATTGGGATGAGCAGTTTAACATACAATTATTTTTATTACATTTGATGATAACAGTGATTTAACCTTCTCTTTAGTCAAACCAATTGATTAACATTTTACAATTTAGTTTATCTGATACTTTTAAGAGCGAAAGAAGCTTTTGATTAAATTTTTGACCATTTTAAGGAATCATCAAATCAATAGAGAAGATTTAGACAATCAAAGCATTTATTTGGCGCTGAAAAAGGGTCAAAAAGGTGGCCTGTTGTAGCCAACTAACTTGAATAATCATTAAAAGTATTAAAAGAGATTTTCATTGAAAATTGACTTTGATGACTTTAGACTGGCCATTTTAATGGTCACTAGCAAGTTTAGCATGTCTTGATGAAAAAGAAGCTTAAAGTCCAGTTGATTGTTACCATGAAAATGAGCAGCTTTTAAAAGAAAGCAACTCTCGTTTTTTCACAGCCATATGTATCCATTAATATACACAATATTAACCATTCATGCTCACTCATCTTGATAATAATAACCATCATCATCATCATCATCACCATCAACATCAACATCTTAATACATTTTGTTTGAATGAAGAAGAGACAAAAACTATCAACAAGTCAACATTTTAAAGTAGCTTTTTAAGGAATATCTTTTTTTCAAGGCTTGTAGATACTTTAGTAACCCTTGAAGACAAGAATTATTCTGAATGAAACGAACCGTTGAAAGATGAAACAACTTTACATACTCAACATCTTCTTGCTTCTTCAATCATCATCATCATCTCATCTTTTATCGTGCTTATACTTAGTGCTGCCAGGCGCGGAAATAATAAGCATACAGAGTTGTTTTCAATTGTATTTTTGTACTTGCAAAACATTCCCAATGAAATTTCCTTAAAATTTCCTGACTTTTTTTCCCTTTTCAATCTTATAATGATTATAATAATGATTATCACTCTTACCGTAAAACAATTGACTAATAATGAAGACAACCATTTAAACCTCATTTCTCATAGTCTATTAATCCGGTTCCCTCGGAGGTACCAATAGACCCAAGTAGAAACACCGTTACCTGTCTTGTTGATAATAGTTGATAATAAATAATTAGAACCTTTGAACCCATTGATTCTCAACTTATCAGCCATTTAACTGTTAACCAGCCAAAATTCAATTCCATTGATCATCAAGAGAAGAGTTTCTTTAAAGGAACATCAAAAATAACAAAAAAATTTTGAGCAATATTATACCTTTGTCAAGTACAGTTGAATGATTTTTTAGTTATTTTCACCATTTTTTTACTTGTTATTACGATCTTTATTCTGGCAACTTTATCATCAACTTGGATAATATCAGGTTGTTGATATTATTGATGTAACTAAAAAGGTAAACTCGGAAGAAGCGATTGCAATGAAAAATGGTTCCTTTAATTGGTATGTTACATGTTTAATGTTGCATTGTGGTGATGATAATGATTAATAAATGTGATAATTATGGTGAAATGATAAACTTGAACATGTATTATTTTCACATTAAAAGACTGAGCTTTTCATAGTTGCCTCAATAGCTATTATCTCTGTTGATTCATCTGATTGATCTAATCATGATGATTCTTGTACATTTGATTACTTTGTTTCTTTCAATTTGTTTTAAATTTAAAATTAACTGTCCATTGTAATTCAAATGAGAAGTCAATTGTTTCAAGTGTAATTAGTCCAGGTTCACATTGCCCTTAAAGTGATAACAATTAAATTTGATTCTTGTAATGACCATAAACACAGAATGTAAAACAATGAGTTGAAACAATTTCATTGTAATTAGGTTATTCTGTTAATTGTTAAGCTTCTCATCCCAACAGTCAACAGTTGATATTTGATTGATGAATTAAATAAGATTTGATGGATTTTATTGCTGTTGATCAATGAAAAGTAATTTGTTACAGGATCGTGGTTCACTGATTTCAAACTAATAATGGATCAGATTAGTGCTTCCGGAATCATGTTAATATTAATTAAGCATCTTTCCTTTTCAATTGTTATTACTTTGATTTTCATTTTTCAACATTAACCTTGCTCCATTGATTATCCAATTGATTGTTCAGTTACAGAGCAATTCCGCAAATGATAAGCCATCTTGCTTGTTTACTCATTCCCATGATTACCATAATTAATCTGGTTTCATTTCTGGTAAAGCATAATCAAGTTTACCTGAGAATCGGGTTAACTTGCTTTTGTAAACATTATTCCATATTTAATCTTTGGGTCAAAACAATTAACTTTAATCATGACTGAGCAACAAGAAAGAGATTAACACATAATTCTCAAGGAAATGATATTAAATTGAATTAAACTAATGATAATTTTATGCTTTTCTCAACAGCTGATGATATCTGTCAAGACCAACAGATTTATGATTATGCTAAATTGGGTTTACCATTGAACAAGATTGCCTATTTTGTTGAACAAAATTATTATCCAGACAAAGAGTTACTGGTAAGTAATCATGTTAATTGAAGAATCACTTTAAATCAAATAATCAGTTGATCAATTAGGTTTAGGTTAATGGTAAAATCGCCTTTCAACACAATTTAATAACAATAATAATCAACGGCATTTTCCTTTATATAATATCATATTCCATTGAAAAGGCCACAAAATTGAACATAATAGCCATTACTAAATTGGCCTTGTGATTACAAAAAGAAGCTCTACTTTGCTTCCGCATTTTCCTATTAAAGTAACCCTTCTTCACCTTCCCTCATAACGATGATGATCAATTAATGTTTATTTGTTGGATTGTGAGCCAGAAAAAAACGTCTTTTCTCGTTTTTTTTTCTTCTTCTAACCTTTTCTTCTGTATAATCAATATCTGATAAATGCTGTTATGTCGCCGTCATTATCGTTATTATTATCATCATTATTATTTTTATTACATTTTATGAAAACAGTGATCGTAACTTCAAGTTTAGACTAGTTGCTTAACTGAGCAACATTTATGTTTTACTTTAAGGCCGCATCGCAATCATGATAGTAATGATGATGATGATTGAAATAACAAGGAAGGGATTCAGTTTGCACTTAATTTGTTTACATTTTTTTCATTATCATTGAAAATGTTTATTGTTAGCAAAAATTGAATTGGATTGCATTAATTGAGATTTGCCGAAAACTAATGAATAATTTGTATGATCAACTTGATTATTTGGTCTAATTGACTTTGATTTTTCATTGCAACCAATCAACTCATCAACAGATACTTTCTCCGTCTTCGTGTGATTAATCATGGCGATACAACAAGTTGAATCACGACTTGAATTTAAATGAGCAAAGTTGCTTTAAATTTGATTATTTGTCTAATTGTCTTTAACATGTTCATTTACAGGTAAAATCTCAAAGTGGCTGCATCCGAGCCTGTGCCATTGAAAATGAATTCATTTGTCGTTCAATCCTTTATCGTCCAAGTTTCAAACAAGGTCAACCCAATTGTGCTCTTTACCATCTTGACCATAAAACTTTTCCCGACGGATCTGAAACCTTTTCATCGGCCAATAGTCCATTCCCATTATTTGATTCCGGTGACACAAGTTCAGTTTATCTGGAAGCCTCATGTACAAGTAAGTTACTTCATTTCTCTTTAAATTATGCCTCGCAATTGAGTCAATCAGAATTTAATATTTCATCTTCGAAGCCAATATTAAGATGAAGACTATTATTAGTCAATGATGTTGATTCATCATGTTGTCCTTATTTTGTCTATTTATCTACAAGACATGGCAAGAGAATAGCCAGGAAACTCCATTATTATGATGATACCTTTCATTTTATTCATTTTATTCATTATCATCATCATGTTACCTGCAAAAAAGAGGAGGACAGAGCGAGATAAATAAGAAAACATACAATTAGTATATTAGCCATGATGCATTGAATAAAAAAGGAGATTATTCTGAATGTCCTTTTAACACGCACTAGGAAGAAGAAATTGTTATGAAAATTGATGAAATTAGAAAAAAATTTTGTTTCAAATTCCATTTGACCAACGAAGCTGAAAAGGTTGAAAATGATGAGAGAAGCCGTTAGGTGAGTTAAATGGAAAATGAAAAGTTTATAAAAAGAGAAATGATGAAAATGGTGAAAAATTGATTAAAAGAGTAACCTTTTTGATAGTTGATTGTGTCTGTGTGAACACTATTTCAATGGACCAATGTGTTTATTTGTTGAGATAAATTGAGATTGGCACCTTACAGCATGGAGTCGCTCCTCTTGGCACTTCCTTGTTGAAACTTTTATTCCTCTTTAAGGCTGAGAAAAGTTCTTTGCTAATTGGTTCCTCTTCATTTTTTTTCTCTTCTCTTCATGTTTATATTTTGATATTGACTGCTCCAGATGATTCAGTACCGGTTCCTCCACCCCCTCCACCACCTTCTTCATCCGGTCCATCGCATCAACAAACCACAACATTGAATGGTAAACCTTCCGTCATTCCAGCCTCAACACAACCACCAATTTCATCTACTCTTCCGGTTCGTGATGAAACCAAAATGGATCCATCCTGTGATGCTCTTGGAGTTTGTTATGATGTTACTCTCAAGTGCACCGATACAAGAATAATTGTCAATGTTCGAACTTCAAGGCCTTTCCATGGACGAATCTACGCATTGGGCCGAAGTGAAACTTGCAATGCTCATATTCGCAATAGTCAACAGTTTCAATTGGACATGTCATTGATTGGTCAAGATTGTAATACTCAGTCATTGGTAAGTTCATTTTTCAATGTTGGTTAATCAATAATCAGAATGCATAATCAAAGAATGTTAATTTACTCATTATTCAGTATATTGGGCGACAATTAGCTTTCATTCCTATCAAATGTAATCTTCAATCAATTTCCATCTTCCACCCACTTCTCTTCATCATCTGCATCCTTTTGTTATTACCAAGTTATAGTCACAAGTGTTCAATAGAAGCTGCCAATATCATTCATTTCTAACATGATGAATGACCACTTAATCTTATTTCTCTTATTCTTTTAAAGCTGACCCAATGCCATTCATACCGATTCTCAGGTACAGGTTGATACCACAATTTCCTGCCGCAATTAACAGCAATTCGTATTGTTTAGAGATTAGCCATCAAAAACTCTTCCTTAACCTGAGCAAGATTCATTTTTTGCTTGTATCGGTTTTGTTTGTAGCTCAATACATTTTACCTACAAACACTTTGATGTTACATGATGAACATATAAAAACAGCTTTAATCAGGCTTGAATAACTTCAGGAGAGTTGAGACCGAACCAATCAAAACAACGGTTTTCTTCATTTAAGTGATTCGGTGTTATATTGATCTCAAGATTCTACTCCTTTTTTTCATCGCCATTCCTCATTTATTGATTAGATTAGGTTAAGTCAGTTGTTGGCCGATTTCTTGATTCTCGGTAATCATCTAATGCTTCTGTGAATCAGTTTAAATCCGGTAATTGCAAGAGAAGTGAACTCAATCAAATATTACATTTGCTTTATTGTAGATTAACCTTCCTATTCAGTTCATTTTTATCTGAATGTCTATTTGAGCGGCCAGTTTCTAGCAGTAAAGGGTTAGAGTACAATTAAGCCAACGAATTCAGACCTTGACAGTAAATCAACACTAGGAATTTATTCTGAACAAGACTAGACTTTTACCTTTGAAAAATGCATTTCTATTTTTGTTTTTTATTTCATTTGGACATTTCTGTCAAGATTTATCAAGTTTGCTCAATTCAACTTAAACCGCATAAATTAGTGATAACTCAACTATTGTTAATCGTCTTTTTTCATGAGTAAAGTTGGCATTGGCCTAATTTGATGATATACTAAGGTCAACAGGCCTTTATTAAGTCAAAGATTAAGATGTTGGAGACTTCCTTGTTGCTATTAACAGTCTTTGTTGTATGCATACACCTTAACCTACTACCGGATAATTACTGTCTCTAATTGAGATAATTAATTTTTCATGACAGTTATCTTTTTTTAAAGGGCTATTTCCTCTTTCTTTTGTCTTTTGGGAATCAATTTCACTGAGATACTGAGTAGTTCATTCCAGATTTAATCAAGATTTCAATTTTGATTATGATTGTTCACAGCATATTGTCATCTTTTCAACAAAACACTTGACTCTTGACTAATTAATTTAGATTTGTTTTGTTTGAATGTATAATGATGTTATTTTGGTTTAAAACGGTGATGTAGGCAATGCCAATGATCTCTAGTTTTTTGGATGATATACAATGAAACAGTAGAGTGACTCTTGATTAGTAATTAAACTTGTTTCTTCCAATGAACATAGTTGTACACTTGATCAACTTCTGTTCTCAGTAATGGTAAAGAGCATTGCCAGTAATTAGAAACCCGAATTACGGTAATAAACCAAACTAAATTACATAGAATGAAAATGTGTGATATTTTACTGATATGCCAATGGATCAGTATGGTAGTCCCAAATTTTTCAAATTGACAGACAATTACTCTTAAAACCAGTTTCATGTGCAGTCAATACTAAAGGATTCAATTGATTTTACTTTTTAAACTGCAACTATAGAAGGCATATGATTACAATCCCCCTCTGCCAACAGCAAACATATCGGATTACAATTCAAATTTCATTCCAATAATGGCAGAAACATTGATCCGTTTGCTTAGCATGATTCAAAGTTTTATTGATTGTTGATTTTTTAGTTGATAAGAGAGTCAACATTTCAAGTTTTGCGCCACTGCAGAGTTGAGTAAATCAGCTGATCAAACACTTGATATGCAAAAAAGTAATTCACAGCTGGAAGTCAAATTGATTTCAAGAGTCTCAATTTTAATTGTTTCTTTTCAATTTTTGTTCTTTTAGTCTGGTGTATATACCAACACAGTAGTCCTTCAACACCACAATGTAGTTCTCACCAAAGCTGACAAAGTGTATCATGTGAGATGCACTTATGAAACAACCTCGAGAAATGTATCTTTTGGTATGATGCCAGTCAGGTAAATACAATTTTATTTATTTTTCCTTAACTCAATTCATTGAACTACAACCGATTCTTGACTCTATAAATTAGTGTCTCATTTAGAGAAAGTATATTGATCAATTAATCATCTAAAATTTGTAAATTTTACAGAGATCCTGATACCTTACAAATTACTTCGTCACCTGAAGCTCCATTACCAAAAATCTTAATCTATGGCTCCGATGGAAGGGAAGCATCGACTGTTAGAATTGGTGACAGATTAACATTCAGAATTCAAATTCCTGAAAGTACGCCTTATGGTATATTTGCTCGAAGCTGTGTGGCTATGGCCAAGGATGCTAGAAGTACCTTTGAGATTATTGATGATCATGGGTAAATATACATGAGTTTATTTCAATAATTGGACGACTCTTGTTAAAATTGGAAGATGCATTTATTGAAATAATTTATGTTATTGTTACTTGAATTACATTCTATTCTTTTCCTGTTCACCTTAGATGTCCTGTTGATAATTCCATTTTCCCAAGCTTTATGGAGAACGGAAATGCTTTGGAAAGCAACTACGAAGCCTTCCGTTTCACCGAGTCATACGGAGTAATCTTTCAGTGCAACGTTAAATATTGTATTGGCAAATGTGAACCAGTAAGTTAATTTGCAGTAATTTTGTTTCTTTTTTTTGTTATTCATGTCTGTTAATAAACCATTATTCATGGGAAATGAGTAGAGAACAGTCTTCTATGAAATCAATTATAATCAGGACACTTTTGAAAGAAAGAAAACAACATTAACAGCTGTGTAACTGTTTATTCGCTATTTAACTTGTTTTGTCATCTATTGAAAAGCAAAACATTCTTGGTAACAATTACTTAAATTATCATCGTCACTTTTTTCAATTTTTTAGGTAATATGCACTGCTGGTCGGGAAGAAATGGCATCTTGGGGAAGGAAGCGTCGGTCAGCGCATTATGAAACAGACGATGAGATGACCCTAAGCCGTGAAATTCTTGTTTTAGATTTTAATGATGCTGATGCTGCTAGATCAACAATGGACCAATTAAATGCCAACGGTATGTTAATTGAGATTATCTTCTAGATTATATTCTAATTTATATTTTTGCTTTATTTTTATCACAGAATCATTTTATAAGGAATCAATAGCTAATATGGATCGATGTGCATCCCGAACTTCCTTGATGGCTTTAAGTGTAATAAGTGCTCTTCTTCTAGTGATGTATGTCTGTACAGTGGCTTATTTCACCGCACATCGACGAATGAAATTACCAACAAAAGTTACTCTTCGTTGATTAGTTAAATTTTTTTACATTAATATTTACATAATTACCGATGGGTAAACTGAAAGAAAACAAAACCTGCAAACTGTGAATTTCTTAATCTTCTAATCTACCTTCTTAATTCCTCTCTTCTCCATTGATACCTCTCCATACTATTTTTGCTCATCATTTTCATCACTCCAAAAAATCTAACCCACCTTTATCATAGTAATTATAAAACGTCAAAACTAAAGAACAAACATTAAATTAAACAGTAAGAAGAAAGGACAACTAATGAAATCAAATACACTTGTTAGTGTTGGTTTCTTAAACACTCAACTAAACCCACCTAACCTAACATTCTGTGTTTAATTTTTGTTTGTATTTTGACTTTTTTTCTTCCTATTTTGAGGTGATGAGAATGACCTGATCCCACCGTTTAAAATGGACAGGTCATGTGTCGAGAGACAAATGATTGTCTTTGTGATTTATTGCTTTCTCCCTTTCTCATCCTTCATATGATGATGTTTTCATTTGTCATCCCTTCTTCCCGTTTTCTTATTCAATTCTATCTTCCTCTAATTTATAATTCAACTTTGGGAATTTGTCTCGCTATCTTTCCCTTGAACTTGTCTTTTCTTTTCTTCTTTCATCTCTTTCACTTCACATCATCAGAGGTCAAAAAATGAATTAGTTTCTCTCTCAAAAGTTGACTTGGACTTGCAAACAATTCGTTATTTGCACTTATATTTTGGCCTTATTCCGATATAAAATAAATATTAAACTTATTTATCTGACCAAATAGAACCAGAAAACAATATTCTTGCAACAATCGGAATTTGACCAATCATTCTGAGTTAACTTTTGACCTAGCAACTTTTAAACCTCAATTCGTTCTAAGTCTGGTCAGTCTTGATCTTGATCATTTATTACAAAACTAATTGTTTTCAAATTTTCTCAATGTAAACAACTATGAGTTTGCAATGTTTTGCAAAACGAGACAGAAAATGTAAAGCTTATTTTTATTATTTCAAATGAATGAGCAGAAAATGATCATTATCCAGATTTGACCTGATACTTGATTAAATCTAATTGAATTGGTACTTATGACTGTCCAATCAACTGGCTGTAAAACATTATTGTTCATCAAAATTAATTTATTGAAATAAAATTGTATATGCATATTGAACTCAACTTTTCGTTTTGTTTTCTTCATTAACTGTCTTGACCACTATTACCATTATCAGTTATAAACCTTAAAACATTGCCTTCTTTGTCAACCTCTGTTTTCCTAGGCAAAGTTAATGACTAGTTGATCAATTATAACTAAATAGTTATCTGATAGCTGCTTACGGTTGGATACTGAGCAATCTCTGGTTATATGGGATTTTTTACTCAAAATAATAGGCAATACTTCATTGGATCTAATTTAATTTGAGTAATTTCAAAGGAATTAAGATTAACTTATTTTCACACAATCTAAATAAAATTAATTATGAAAGTATGAATCAATACCCATAATATTTAGCACCATGGGTTTGCTTATTGAATTTGCCTCATTCTTTGAATGTCTACCAAGTTAGTGATAAGCAAATTTCGGAGCAGAAAATTTTTGATAAACCCTTTTCTATTTTCATTTCTATATGAATGTGTAGATAAAATGGTTCAAAATTGAAAATGTGTAAGCATTGAAAACGATACGAATGAGTAAACCTGACGGAAGCTTCCAATCATCAAAACATAAATTTATTCATCGTTTGAATGGCATTCTTGGTTCCGTTGAAAAAACAACAAAATACAAGATAAGATGTTCATTTTTTGAATAAGAAGCTTGAAAATTATAATACCTTGACAAGGGTAAAGACGAGGGTTTCATTGCAAATTATACTGATCACAAAAATGCATAGTTGATGATGATGATGAGAAGCAAAAGTCATTTGACCATCAAGGCACGGGTCAATTGATATCAAAACGAGTTTATAAGTTAACCTCTTTTGCTACATCTTGAGTCGCTTGTTTGTCACTTTACCTGATTTTTTCTCACAATCAATTGAATGGTTTACTGGTTGATTGTTATTTGCCAGTTGAATCGGAAAAATCTCAGGACATGGCGGAAACATTGATGAATAATCATCATTCTCACAATCAAACACATATTTTGTGCAAAATCAACAATCAAAGACAAGGTACTTTAAAACCTTTTGGCAAATACAAAAAAATGGATTCAGTTGATGTAATAAACTGGGTTTTCTGTTATTTTTTGTACTTTTTTATAGCTCATGAACCCTTTCAAGCTACAGACTTCATATTTCAACAGTGACTTTCATGGGCGTAAGTATCATAAATTCAGAACTTCAATCACCGATCATTCGTTTCTGATAATCTTTCACTTAAAGTCTTTTGCTGCAAATGAGATCCATATCGACATAAAAATAACTATTGATAAGTTTGACTTGGGTTTCACGAATAAATGTTTGAATGTGATCCAGACGACTTTGAATGATATACTTCAATCTATTGGTCACTACAGTTCTAATGTGGACCACAATAGAAGCAGAATATTCATGTAACTATTTTTAATATACTTTTTGTTTCCATTTAATTTCTCTATTGTTAAATGCATTAACACAGCATGATACCAAGTGTCAATGAACCATTAGACTAACCACTTGTTAACTATTTAAATCGTATTTTCAGCTGTTTATTCCTGTTTGATTATTTCTTTGTTATTACATGAACTTCCTGGTTTTAGCGACTTACTAATGAAAGTTTATTTGTTTTTCAGGCAAATTTCATAGTAAATTATTTTTAATGAATCAGTGTTTCAAACAAAATTCAAGATGACTTTAATAGACATTGGAATGATTCAACAATAAATTGGGTTTACATACAGTTAATCACTTTAATTTGGTCTCTCTGGCTTCATAGTAATAGATTCTTGTGAAAACATAATTAGTGATATATTGATTAAGAGTTGGAGAGGCGTCCATTTCAGGATAACTTGCATTTACATTTGTTATAACAATCGATTTGGTCTCATTTGTGTGTTCTAACGATAAATTACAGGAATAAGTATAACAACCATTTAAAGATCACCATTGATTAACACAAATGATAATGATTGACATCGATATACTGTAATAGTAATAACATTAATAACATGTAAAATTGTGAATAGCAATCAAATATGGAAAAGGATTCATTCGTTTCTCGTTTTCATCCTCATGTTCATGCATTCAAAGAGTCAATATTTTACAGTCAGAATAGCTTGTGTTTCTGTACAATTACTGCAAGGTAAGGGCAGTCAATCAATAGCTTTCTAATTGAGTTCCCATTTAAAAGATAAATAAGTTCCTTTGAAATTGTTAGCTTTTGAGGGTGAAAATTGATTCAAATTGCGTTTATATTAGCGTTTGTCAATTGAAGCGAGTTAAGCAGATAATTATAAAATTAACTTTCCAATTTGGGAGAAAATATTTCAAGGTATTTGTGTGATTATAATTGACGGTAAAATAATTTTCATTATTATTTGCATAATCATCAGTAATGCTTTTCGATTACCAAAGATTCGTTAGCAATTGAGTCGACTTTTACATTCAAGCCAATTACTGATAAACTGCCAACAAAGAAAAGTCTAACAAAAATTATCTTAGCGTTATTTTATAATCACAACTTGAGGTTCTTTGAATGAGAACAAAATATGATAGGTTTTACTGCTATTTTGATCGACAAGATAATGTCCAATGTCCATCATTTTTTATCCTTTGAATCTGAATTATTCACCACTGATGGAGATGAAACTGGAGTTATATCATCTTGGAATAAAGGATTTTTCACTTCCATTTCGCCAGTTGAAGCTAATCCAGGACATTCATAAACAGTGTAATCGCCTTCTTCATTTTCTTCTTCCGAGTCAACATCAGATGCTGAAGTATGACGAGATGCCACAACCCTAATACATACACAAATGAAATGTTAAAGTTATTAGTTGATTTTAACTGATTCAAGTTCTATTCAACAGTTTATATTAATATTACTCATGCTTTGATATCATAAGTTGACTCACTTTTCAGAAGCAATCATTTGCTGTTTTTGGTGATGATAATGATACATTTGTGCACTTTGAGCCAGTTTTCGGTCTCCAACAGGCGAAATATTTCCAGAATTTGCTGATTCTTTTGTTATTGGACCAACGACGCCATATGCAGGGTAATCAACATCAGCAGCTGATTTGCTGTGCTGTTGGAATCGATAGAAACAGTAACCTGCACCAATTACAGCGAATATCGCAGCTCCACTCGAACCAACTACAATTGCTGTTAAAGAAAGAGTTGGTCATTAGTTAAATAAAATATTGGATAAAATATAAAGTGAACTTACCCACAAAGTAAAGGTCACTGAATGATGGTGATCCTGGCTTACTTGAATGAGGTTGATTTGTAGATCGATAAGGACTGAATAATGAGTTTGATTCATCAACAGATTCGACAGAAGCTTTCTTCATGTAAGCAATTCGTTGATAATTGAATGAAGATAAATTTGGTTGAACAGATTCCAACTTTGATGACTTAACATTAGAACTTTCAGTGTATGTTGGAACAATTTCATCGGAGCTTTTTGCATTTTCGTGCTTTTCGTTTCCAGTTTTTTGGGTGGAATTAGAAGATACTTTAAGCTGGTCATTTGTCCTAAAAGGGCATAAAAGACAAAAAAATATCAATTAGAAACACATTTCATAAGAAGTAGGTTGCGAATCAGATCGATACCGGCCACAATGAACCAGGGTATTTCTCAGGTTGATATCTATTACTTAAGCTTGATTACAAAAAAACATTTCTTTCAAAGTTTGAAATTCAAACGTTTTTTAAATGTAAATGCATTAAATGTTCATCTGCTCACCTCAAGTGTCCGTCTGATGTGTTTTGGTCTTTCTGATAGTGTTGAGGTTGATTGTTATTTGACTCTGAATCGTTTTCATACGAGTTTGGATTATTGAGAAAGCTGTAGCGATGATGATTCAAATAAATTGGTAACCTTTGATGGTTGACAAACTTAATTGGATTAATTGGTTGGTATCTTTGACTAATGAACGGTCCTTTGAATTGTCCATTTGAAAACCTTTTTTCAGTCGAATATTCGTCGTCAGAATATGTGTAATACCTTTTTGAGTTGTCCAGTTTGGAGAGTGGATAGCTTCGTATTATATCATTTGGTGTCATCAAACGCCATCGACCTGATGAAGCTGATGATAATGATGATAAACCTTTATTGAATAAATACAAATCTAGATTACTGTCAGATCGATACAAGTTTACTGAGTCAATTTGGTAAATTTAATTGAAAAATTTAATTGAAAGATTTTCTCTGGTAAATTGTAGTTCGATCTACAAAAATGTTCGAAACGGTGCCATCCGATAATTAAGGAAACCAATTCAAGTGTAAATTAAAAATGAAAATATTTACCTGAAGACAATCGTCTGAATCTTCCATCAACATTGAAATTGCTCAAGATAATTAAAAATATCGACAAGTATAACCAATTAAACATGTTTTATAAGCAACATGAAAATTCGGTGATTTGGCCTTTTTTTCATCAATGGGTCCAATGAACTCGTTGAAGTGTTTATTCAGATTCAACCTTTGACGATTAAACAATATAAAAAGTCGAGTTAAAACATAATCAGATAAATGTTTTGAACTGTTGAGTAGAAAAAAATAGATGACAATAATTAGTGTTGGCCATATTGGAATCAAATGAAACTCTTTTTTCTTTTCTCCTTAATATTCCATTAGAACTGAATAGATACAATTGACGTCATATTCTTGGTTGCAATTTGTGAACAGACTCAAAAGGAACCAAAACTATTGACGAAAGGAAACAAAATAATGAAAGAGACTAATAAAGGCTACTGTTACTAAGGGGTGATCAATAAAAAATGAGACTAATTTTAAACAATGATATTTAGGTTATTATTAGGTTTAATTTGTAAAATTTAGTTTTAATTTGATTATTGAGAATTATTAATTACTATTAGGCCAAACTAGCCCATAAATTTGATTTCAATCCTATTTATTAAACGCTTAGAGTGAGCGGTGTAAATTTTTAGCAGTAAATTTCAAGGCATAAAATGTGTGCGCAATAAAAATGGCACTAACTTTAAATCCTTGTGATTAACGAATTAATTTGAATTGAACAGTGTGTTTGAGCGCGAATGCAAGAAAATGATATTCGAAATAATATGAGTGAG